ACCGTAGCCATGGATGCTAATACTGCCAATCACACGCGCAGTTAATTCGATTTTAAGGTCGGGAAAAGGCAATGGTCCAGCAATCGTGAGCCGATCTGCAAGAGACCACGAAAGACTGGGTGATGCCATTGTAGAAGCTCCTTGATTAGAGGTTGCTTTCTTGCATCATCCTGATTCCTCTGAAACCAACGAACTTTCCATCCACACAAGTCTACAGTGCGAAGCAACAACTACCTGCATCTTCCTTAACTTGAGTCGTTTGCGCCGCTGTGTTCCCTCTGCATCCCCCAGTACAGTAGCAAACAGCGTAAACGCCAGGGACCTTAGGCATCAGACCCGAAAACTCCATCCGGTTTTTCGACGTCTTCACGCCTCGAGGGGTCGTGCAGTCCGCGCCACTTTTCAGACAATGTTGTGTGAAATAGCCGAGTTGCGGATCGCCCGGGTCTACTATTGTTGCAGGTGCAGCAGGAGATGAGCTAGAGCTAGAGGATGTTGAGGAAGCACCACTTGTTGTAGCAAAAATACTAGAAGTCGTACTAGATGAAGCGTTGACAGCACCACTACCAGCTCCTCCCGAAGAAGAGCTAGACACCTGCAGATCATCTGAAAATAGTTTGTGGCTCGTACTTCCGCTTACGAATTCGTCAACACTGTCGTCACGAGCAGACAATTGCCAGGGAAGAACCACGTCTTTGATACTGGACTGGGATTGTGTAGGACTTGAAGATGCTGATGATATCTTCAAGATAGTTCTTGTTGTACGAGAAATTTCGTTGGCGATTTCATTCCAATAACCTCTCAAGTCATGCATCAGCTCAGCCGCGGTATGTCCTCTTGAAAGCAAAGGAGTCCGAGCTTGAGCACCACTAGAGGAATTGGTAGAGGATGATGACGACGTAGTTGCTGCTCCACTTGTCTGCCCACTTCTCGTAGTTGTCTCTTCATAGGCTCTCATATCCCCGTAAAAGCAATCTTGTGAGCTTCCCAGTGCACTTAAGGGATCCCATAAGAGTTTGACCGAGGGATAAGCCGCGAGTTCTCCTCCGGTACGGTTGTTTACTTTCCTTGGGTAGAGATTAGAGAATCTCGAGATAGCTGCTGTATGAAGAAAGCAAGCGAACTTGTACTAATTCTGTAGCATGAAGACTACACCCTTAGTGACTTTGTAGAAGTGCAGTACCGACCCCTATTCGTCGTGGTGCTGAGTATAATAAACAAAGACAAACGCACATCACTAGACGAAGTCGCCTTAACACTATAATCCGCACCCGAATCGATCCCCAAATGCTCTGGAAAAACGTTGCTCAAACTATCGTCCGCCAGATTCCATGATGGCGCTACTACCAAATCGAACGCCGTTCCCACTGGATAAAAAGTCCCGTCTCCTGCAGCAGCCGTGGGATCAAATGCCGAAGCATCGTAGGGCGTCACGATAGCCAATGAGTGCAAGTGCACGTCTCCCGTTTTCCAATATACCCTAGTCCGTGTTTGCAATGCGTCCACAGATGCTGGATCACTTGTAGTAGTGGTGTTTGCATTCGCTGAAACCTCTGGATAATGAGAAAAGCAAATGTCTCGAATCGCCCCGGCAGTGAAGCCTGATTTCGTCCGTTGTTTCAGAAAAACGCTCTCGAATGCGATGCGACTGCCAGCGGTGTCGAGGGCATAAGGGAGCAGGTCGGTGGTGCAGATTAGAGAGCAAATGGAGGGTTGAATTGAATCTCGAGAATCCAAATTTTTGAACTCATGTAAGTCTTAGGGATATCCATAAACTTTTGATTATATCTCGTTTAATTCGAATTCATTTCCAAGTAAGCACATTAGCATTAACACTCTTCTCTAGTTGAAATTCTTAGATTCGAAATTTGAAATTTTCAGATTTCTTCTTGATATCAAAGAATTTTCAGTTTTATGTACTTTTTGTTGAAATTCATTTCCTGACGAGCTCGAAAACATCAGCAGCATTCTCATCAGTGAGCAATCGCAGATTGGTCTAATATGTGTCTAGAAGTTGCAGTTCTAAGCAGTCGGTGTCTAGAATACTTCAATGATAACATGTTTGATGTATTTAGAGATGATAGTTGATCATAGTGTAGACATGACTTCAAAAATCTTAGGTTTGGACACCCAAATTTTCTCAGAGATTCAAAAACACACCTATTTTTGAGCTGTACAGGAGTAGGTTCTGTATTTTCGCTGGTTCGGTCTTCTACCTAGCTCTTCTTCAATCTTCCTCTTTACACCACTACATTCTGAAAAATATTCGGTCATCAAAACCCAAGATCAGAGCGTCCGTTGCACTTGTTGTTACTTCTCTTAATGTACTAGCTCCCACGTACGAGGTTATGGTACTGTTTTCTGGTGATCGGAGCTGCAAGCGTTGATTTTCCAGTTCCCCGATCGGTGCAGGCACTTGCCAAAGATCTGTCCTCTCGAGCAAATTGCATCCTTTGCCCTGACTTAGACCTCATAATTTATGATAATAAACCTTCTGCTGGCATATGAAAATCCTGAGAATTATCTACGAGGGATACCACGATGAGAAACAGTCTCTGAAGATGAATCACCAAGAGCCTTAACTGACTTTGCCAGTGCGGTAGTGCATTATCTGCATGTGGCGCAACCAATTTGATCCTTTCTGTTGGCAGCAGACTTGTTGTGCTGTTCGTCCCACCTGCTCCTGACCCACACTCTTCGCCTCCACAGTCTACTACTAGGACAAACGATGTCCCAGGAACAATTTGCAATCGTTGCAAGTATTCCACCACAGTGCTTGTCGGTCCTGTGGATGTTGTTCGCTCCACGTAAGTTCCATACTGCGTCATCAGAACTATCACCTTGCCCACGTGCTGGATGTAGTTAGCTGGTTGTGAACACTGTCCAGCTAATCGAGGAGGGAAGTCTGCGCAGAAACACAACTGGTAGGTCCATCCGCTGGTCATGATGTCCACTGCAGAGCCCAGAGAAAAACGGACTTCTTGCTCCTTCTGAACGTTGTAGTCCATAGTTGCGTTTTTCGACGTATCCCAGAAATGCATCCTGCGATAGCTCGTGTCCTTGAAATTCACGCCCATTGCTTGATGGTTAGAAGGTTTTTGACGTTCTACTTAAAGGTTATCAACATCGTAGGAGGTTGCATTTCATAGTGATACAGAGGAGGATTCTTAGTAACTATAGTCTAAAAGTTGTAAACCCAGGTAAACTATAGTCTAAAAGTTGTAAACTAAATAGTGTAAAAGTTGGATTCTCCGCAACTAAAAAAACCTACTCGCTCCAAAAAGCTTCTCCTGCTGTCCACCTCTTTTTGCGCTTTCAGCGACTCTTCCTGCTCAATGATTATGATAAGATGAGCCTAGGACTTTCTAAGATCAGTATTTCGGAGGAGGTAGAATGTAGCAGGACATCAGTCAAGTCTCTGAGATAGCAGGCAGCGGTCGTTATCGTCATGGTGTTGTTGTTGTAGTTGGTGATAATGTGGATGTTGTAGATGCTGATTTCCTCATCATAATCATCGGACAGTCCGACCCAGCTCCAAAGCCCAAGTGCATATACTGCACCCGCCCTCTAATCGCGCTGGTAAAGGTCTCGCCATCTGTGGTTGTTTGCAACTCAGTTTCTCCAGTCTGATAACTGACACCGCGAAAAAAGACCTGACAATCTAAACCCTGCGTCGAGTACACTGAAGCTGTTTCTTGCTGCGTCGCTTGACAATAGAACCTCCTGTTTTTGAGGCAGTTCACCGCTGTGCAAGGTTCCAAGATGCCCACTGCTCGGTACTGATAAGGGACCAATGTTAAAGGATCCACATTCACGAGAGAAGCGTCACCGTTGGAAAAACTGCCATGTTTAGAGGTACTATAAGAAAGGCATCTTGGGAGCCATCTGGGTGATGTCGCTTTTTTCTTACACATTTTTTATTTACATTTGACTTTGGATCGGATGCATTTCCTTCACGCTTAACTTGTGGTGAGACACAGAGATGATACATCCCTCCATGGCGGATCGCAGCGCCTGGCGTCTCCGGTGAGAAACCTTGATTAGGATGCGCCGAGCTTGCTGGAACCAAACCACTGGCGTCCAACGGCGCTCCTACATCCTCGACAGCCTGTGCCGGGCAGCCGCCCATATTCGCCAGCGCTTCATCGAACAGGAAAGCGCCTCCACCGAGCAGAGCCGCAGGTCCTGCCGTCACGAGTTGTGCACGCGCAGAGCTCGCTGGCCAAATTCCGTACCCAGGATAGGCTATACTTATCCCATAAGGCAGGCCAGCGAACAGAACTAAGCCAGAATCAGCCAAACCATAGGTCCAGGAAAGGGCTGGAGCCGTTAAAGCTCCTTCGGCTTGCAAGGATCTCCTGCGACTGGAGGTGGGCCATGACTGATCCTCGTCGTGCTCTGGTACACTGATATCGTCTCCTTGCGCCACTTCATCCTCCTTCTCGCTCTCAAGTGCCGCTGATGGTGTCCCATCATCTGCGCGCTCAAAAGCCGGAGAAAGTCCGGCATTGGTGCTGGAAGCATCGACTCGACTCTCAGCCTTCCTCACGCCAGTAGCACCTACTTCACCTTCTCGTCCAACACCCCTTTCCTCCACCAACCCCCGTGTCTGCTTTGCAAAAGACAGCCCAAGAAGCAAACATAGGAAGAAAGATGGCAACATTCTGTCTACAATTATGATCCCGACATGCCATTGTTCTGCTTTGCGTCTAAATATTCACTCTACTCTCTACACCTAAGAGGAATCTGATTGAGTGTATTGACCGAGTCTCTCAGCAAGTTGCCGAACTTTCGTCCCATGCGTTCGTTTCCTTGTAGCAAGGCTCCCCGATTTGGGTCTGCTAGCCTACTCTCAAGGCATGCCTCCTCAGGTCTGCTTCCGTTCTCGATGGCGGACTGTCCCTATGCTGGTACCGATGGACCGACATTGGGCCTCACTGATCTCTCATGCGCATAGGCAACACTTCCACCAGCGAGACTTTGCGCTGACTGTCAGTCTGATTCATTAATGTGCGAATATTCCCATACTGTGATTATTTGATATACTAGTTCTTGTACCCGAGTAGTTCTTTCATTGTTGATGTATCTCAAGATTCTGCTCTCTAGAGCAGTTTCAATCACTCGAGTCAGTGGTAACTACAAGCGGAGCATCGTCCAAGTGATTTAGAGTACAACATTCCCATTTCGATTGCATTTTGTATATTTTTCGCGTGTAATTGCTTTCATCGATGACATTCATTCTTGTTTTTACTTACACGAGAAACGCCCCTCTGTACATGTTTTCCAAATCAATCCACAAGCTTTAGTTTCTATGTATTCAGTTAGTAGTGTACCCAAACGCTCTCAATTTTGGTCCAAAAGTCAGTCCTACATCATAGCACAAAGCCGCGTCTTCTTCGAAGACAAACTGTTTGGCGCTACGTCAAGTATGCAAGTTCATGGCAGGCTCTCCCCTACAATAGTCCGACGGCCGAGGAGATTGGTCGGCTCAGATCTGCCACCTTCATGTCCGAATCCAAAAATACTCCTGCAACATCATTACACCGAACAAGAAAAATAGAGAATTGCCATAAATTCACAAGTCTGCCTTTCTCCATCTATGACGGCTCTTCATCTAACAGTGCCCACAGTCTACCCTTACTACAACAAATATCAAAGCGATCTCTTCTATGCAGACCTCCTGCCGCTACTGCTACCCCTCCTCCTATCCTACTTCCAAACTTCTAAACCCTAAGATCTACTAGCTTCATTTAGGCCGCGCCGTAAAGGATTTCGTCCTCCTCTCCCGCCTCTGCCTCGATCTTCTTGTCGAAATTAGAAAAAACAAAGGATGAATGACCCTCCTTCAAATGTCTGTGAGCAGCTTAGCTCTTGTTTTAGCAGGCTAGTTTGTTGAGACTGTGAACAAGGTGGGCAGACTTGGCCACATCTACTACTATTTTGCCACATTTCTTGGCTCGCGTTTGCGTGTGAGCGAGTGGGGAATTGCCATAACCAAAACCCGCAAGGCTTTCTCGGCTTCGGTCGGGCGAGCCCGGCGCAGAGCTGCACGGAGGAGAAGGCACAGCGTGGCGATCACAGGAGCAGCGAAAAGCCCACAGAGGACCACGACAGAGAGATAATCGTACGTGCTACTTGTGGCGGAGGTCGCCGCTTTCCGCACAGAAGCCCTCGGCAATTCAAGAGCAGAAAGTGGCTGGGCCTCTCGCGGTTTGCAATAATCTTTCATGAATCTCGGAAACTACTCGATACCCAGCGGAAAAACTTGAGTAGTTCTACACAAGGGTAGGCGCCAGTGTAATGCTTGCAGGCGCACCTACGTCCGTACTCAGGTGAACCTCTGGGGGCCGGTTCATCTTTGTCCTAGCAGAGAACAAGAGGGGGAATGGGAGTCCGCCGCTGCGCATCACTGGCAGGCAGATAAGTAGCCGGGGCACCGGGCTTCAGGTATTTGTGAAAGCTCACTGAACTTTCAGAAATCGCCGAGGCGCGAGGGGTCCGCAGTCCGTTGTTCCCGGCAGGTCGCTATTTCTGAAAGTTCAGTGAACTTTCAGGAAGGCAACATCTGTCAGAAAAACAACAACTTTCAGAATTTGTCGGATTCTGCAAGTGCGAATCGGTGTGAAAGTTCAGTGAGCTTTCAGCCGTTTTTTCGGATGAAAGTTCAGAGAGCTTTCAGACACGAGCAAAGGAAAGACCTGCCGGGATTGACAGACTGCGGACCCCGAGCCTCGAGGGCCGGCTGTTTCTGAAAGTTCGCTGAGCTTTCAGAGGTGCCGGCCGTCCGAGGTCCCTGGTCCTCTGCTTGCTAGTGGTGCTCGCAATGACAGCTTTCCCGCTTTCCCCGTTCCGAACGCAAGAAAAAGCAGCCCCCCGAGATTCACTTTGCGAGAAGAAGGCCACATCTGTGGACCCTGTACGGAACGCCCGGGGAGGGCCAAATGGGCCCAGTCCGAGTACTCAAGTCTTTCCGCTGATGCGTCTCAAGTAAGACCAAGCATAAAGGTCAGGAGCGAGGCGAACGTCTCTGAGAAGTGATTTGATGAATTTCGCTGAGGGACGAAAAGGGGATCTCTTTCTGCTTACAATAGCTTCGGTTCTGGGTGCTAGAGATGACGCTCTTTGTTTTGAACGATGGAAGACCTTCGCTAACTAGCCCGCTGCGAGTATACTATAATAGCGCGCGCTGGTGAAAAAAGAAGTGCCAGACTTATTTGATACGAATTGTCAGAAGAATTGTCGAGAAGAAGAGAGGATACCTGGCGGATCGTCGAAGGAAGCCTCGTAGAGGATTTGGCCCTTGGGGGGACGAGAATGGCGCACTCCTCTTTGGTCGAACGGATCGAATAAGACAACGTGGTTTTGGCCGTTCTCATCGCACGAGTATATGGCCTCCAATTCGTAGTTCCCCACTTCGTGTGTGCCGATCAGTACGCGCCGCTTGAAGAAGAGTCGGCTCCCCTCTGCAGTCACCTTGAATATGTCGGCCTTCTGCGCCTTTACCGGCATGACGCATCCTTCGACGGCGCTTCAGATTAGAGGCTGAAAGCAAATTTCTGCAGCTTCCCGGGGCTGCGTCATAACATGTAGAAACTTCTTTTGAAACCTGTCAAAAATTCGACTTTTGAAAAAAAAGTCGCGAGATTGATGAAAAGTCGCGAGCCTCTATTGGCCGCGCTGATAACTAACACTAGCGCGGCCATAACAACTTAATCAGTGGAGAGAAGCCTCACAACCAACTCGCGCGACATAAGGAGAAAGTGCGGGCGAATTCTTTGTCTGCTTTAGGCTTAATCGGGTTCCATATCACCCGCGGTTCGACCCGGCCCCGTGGGAGTTGAAGGTAGTTTCTCTGCAGATACTCTGGCAAGACCTTCTTAGCAACCTTGGGGACGGCGAGACTGACGTCAAACTCTGTACACACGGTTCCTGTGGATGAGTTGATTAACGGGAAGAAATCTGTTTGAAAGAGATGGGGGCTGCTTTCGTTTCTTTTCGAGGAATGGAGTCTGTATTTTGTGTGATATCTTCTGTTTTGATGTAAGTATGGCATTCATCGCCCGTTAACAATCTTGCATAGTTCTGGTCCAGCCACACATATTGAAAAAAAGACTAAGGTACCAACTTTTCGCCCGGCAGTTTCGCTCACCATGATCTGCTGCCTAGTAAGAATTTGGCCCGACCCCGGCAGGGCCCTGACGCTCTCGTCATTCACCTTCACATCCTTGTAGTAGAGAAAGGCAGGGAGCTCGTATCGCTTGCAGGTACTCGGATTGTCGGTCGTTTTGCTAGGCATCAAAGTCACGTCAGCCATAATCTGCCTCGGAGCCGCGGACTTCGGCAAAAGCCCTTCCTCCGCGTTTAAATGAAAGCCGTGGGAAACAATGCGCGGTAGTCAGGTGTAATATCTCTCAGACTGGGATAGACATAGGGATAGACATAAGTAGGAGTCGTGATTCTGACGGACTGGAAATGGAATGAACCACAACCAAGAATATAAGATTAAGAATTGGATTATTAGTGTAACTCTAGAAGATACAGTAACTGAAGTGTGAGCTCATAAAGATCCGGGGGCTGGACCCACAGGCGTACATTGGTGATCCCTGCTCCTACCAACTTCTTCTTTTTCTGATGTGTTAGAGGAGTTACAACCAGGAGAAGCAAATTAATCTTATCAACCTATGGCTTCGGCGACCGTCATCACGCTCTACTTGCTGTACCTTCATGCGCTATCACTTCGAATAAAAAGGAACAACGCCTCAGAGCAAGTATGTGTAAAAGACTCGTATCCAGCTCATAAGAGTATGCCCTGCAGTTCTTCTTGGGCGAGATCAGTAAAGCTCCCCACAAAAAGCGCCTCCCCCATCCAGTCGTCGAGCCTGTCCGGCAAAGACTGCTGTCCAGTCTTCCCAGATGTCAAACGCTCTGCGAGGATTTTCATTACCTTTTTTTGGTCCTTATTGAGGATCGACATGCACCCCTCCTCCTTATTTCGCATTTTGCTTTTTCGTGCTATGAAAAACCTGCCATATGATAAACTGAAATACTGCTATGGCAATTGATACACTTCGACGCGCTCTCGTTTCCACGAAACGCACGAGTCCCAGTATTTTTTCTTCGTCTATAAAAACGAACCTCCTGAAACGATCCTCCAATTTCTAAGTTTAAGGAGGTTCGTTTTAAGCTATTCTGAGCAAGATGCACAAATTCTAAGCTGTGGCTGTTCTCCTCGGAGGTCCGTTACGGGCGAAGAAGGGGGAGGAAAATGGTCTGAGGATTTCCTGTTGATTTTTCCTGTGAGTAGTTTTAGGTGTTATGAAAAATATGTAGTAGTAGTAGTTTACCCATTCGCGGGATAAAAATATGCAAATTTAAATTGATTGATTGGATCATTTGTCGAAGGCCACGGAAACGAAGTGGATGATACAGCTGTCAAAATTGATACGCAACGAACGACACTGCTATCGCTCAACATTGCAAGGTCATGGAAGCGGGCCCGATATGACAGAATGTTTGCCTCACATCTCAGTCTCTGCCGAAATCTATGACAGACATAATGACTGGAGAAGTCTCGTCTTTCTCCAGTCATTATCATTTTTCTCTAGTAGCATTCAATTTCTTCGCGTCTAAATGTTCACTCTACTCTCTACACATAAGAGGAATCTGATTCACTGTATTGACCGAGTCTCTCAGCAAGTTGCCGAACTTTCCTCCCATGCGTTCGTTTCCTGGTAGCAAGGCTCCCCGATTTGGGTCTGCTAGCCTACTCTCAAGGCATGCCTCCTCAGGTCTGCTTCCGTTCTCGATGGCGGACCGTCACTATGCTGGTACCGATGGACCGACATTGGGCCTCACTGATCTCTCATGCGCATAGGCAACACTTCCACCAGCGAGACTTTGCGCTGACTGTCAGTCTGATTCATTAATGTGCGCATATTCCCATACTGTGATTATTTGATATACTAGTTCTTGTACCTGAATAGTTCTTTCATTGTTCATGTACCTCAAGATTCTACTCTCTAGAGCAGTTTCAATCATTCGAGTCAGTGGTAACTACAAGCGGAGCATCGTCCAAGTGATTGCTCTTCATGTAGTTAGTCTACTCGGTACAACTGTCTAGTTGTTAGAAGTCTGCTCCAACTCCTCAGTACTGCATCTCCGCCAGACAACTTGTCTATGTCAGCGAGATTTATCGTTCCCCTATTTGTACTTAGTTGATTCTAATCTTTGCACTTGCACTTCTAATCTTTGCGCGTTTGCCTTCAAGTCAGTGGTAACTACAAGCGGAGCATCGTCCAAGTGAAGATAGAGTACATTTCCATTTCCATTTCGTGTATATTTTTCGCGTGCGTTTGCTTTCCTCGATGACATTCTTGTTACCGTAATGCTCATTTTCGATTATGCCAAACGACCAGCGATATTTCTAGTCCAAACCAGCGATATTTCTAGTTTCTTCGAAATTCAGACTCTAACATGTGAACGATTAACAGTTGTTTTACGCATAATCCTTGTATTGCGTGAGCAATAGTAATTCCTCTATAGTATGATCTTTTGTCTCGGCTAAACATATAAATTATACTTCGACAACATAGTGCTATTTCTGTACAAGGAGTTACAGAAGTTGAGTAGATTGATGTGGGATCACACAACCTTTAAGGTGCAACATCCTAAAAAAAGACGACCATGTGGAAAGAACTACTTCTAGGTGCCTTAACTCAAGTCTCAATTTCGACTATCAACGGTAAGCATCATAATCACTTGCTTAGAACTGGTTTGAAAGGATCTATACTAATAAATCGAACGATGTTCCCACTGGATAAAAGCTCCCATCTCCGTAGGATCAAATGGCGACGCATCACAAGGCGTCACGATAGCCAATGAGTGGAAGTGCACGTCTCCCGTTTTCCAATACACTCTAGTCCTTGTTGGCAAAGCCTCAACCGATGCTGGATCGGTGGTAGTAGTTGTATTTCCATCTGCTGAAACCTCTAGATAATGAGAAAAGCAAATGTCTCAAATCGCCCCGGCAGTGCAGCCTGACTTCGCTCGGTGTTTCAGAAAAACGCTCTCGAATGCGATGCGACTGCGAGCGGTGTCGAGAGCATAAGGGAGCAGGTCGGTGGTGCGGATTAGAGAGCAAATGGAGGGTTGAGTTGAATCTCGAGAATCCAAATTTCTGAACTCATGTAAGTCTTAGGGATATCCATAAACTTTTGATTATATCTCGTTTAATTCGAATTCATTTCCAAGTAAGCACATTAGCATTAACACTCTTCTCTAGTTGAAATTCTTAGATTCGAAATTTGAAATCTTCAGATTTCTTCTTGAAGTCAAAGAATTTTCAGTTTTATTTACTTTTTGTTGAATTCATTTCCTGACGAGCTCAAAAACATCAGCAGCATTCTCATCAGTAGGAAATCCTAGATTAGTCTAATATGTGTCTAGAAGTTGCAGCTTTGAGCAGTCTGTATCTAGAATACTTCAATAATGAGATATTTGATGCATTTAGAGATGATAGCTGATGATAGTTTAGACATGACTTCACTTATCATAGGTTTTGACATCAGTATTTTCTCAGAGATTCAAAGCCACACCTATTTTTGACCTTTACACGACTAGGTTCTGTATTTTCGCTGGTTCGGTCTTCTACCTAGTTCTTCTTCAATCTTCCTCTTTACACCACTAGGTTCTGAAAAATGATCGTTCATCGAAAACAAGATCCTCGTCCCCTGCAGCTGTGTCTCCTTTCCTTAAATTTAATGTACTAGCACCCTGGTACGATGTGATTGTGCTGTTTTGTGGTGATTGCATCTGCAAGCGTTGACTTTCCAATTCCCGTGTCGTTGCATGTATTCCACCACAGTACTTGTCGGTCCTGTTGATATGCGGAAGTTCCCCATGATAAGTTCCATACTGCGTCATCAGAACTATCACCTTACCCACGACGTGCTGGATGTAGTTAGCTGGCTGTGAGCACTGTCCAGCTAGGCGTGGAGGACAGTCCGCACAAAAACACAACTGGTAGGTCCATCTTCTCTTGTAGCAAGGCACTCGCGCTCAAACTGCTCTCCCCAATTTGGGCCTGCTAGCCTACTCTCAAGATATGTCTTCTCAGACATGCTTCCGTTCTTGATGGTGCAGCGTCACTATGCTGGTACCGATGGTGCCCCTCATGTGCATACTCAACACTTCAGACCGTGAGACTTTGCATTGCGTTGACTGTCAGTTTCTTCAACTGATGTGCGAATAGTTTCATACTGACTAAGTAGTTGAAGATATGGTACTCTAGTATTTCCTTTATTGTTGATGCATCTGATAAAGATTCTACACTGTAGAGCAGTTTGAATTATTCGAGTCAGTAGTTGTAACGATCGGAGTATCCTCCTAATGATATTCAAGTCGCACTTTCGTTTTCAGTTTGATTAGTTCTCGACTGTCCATTTACACGCTTGCGTAAAATGTTTTCTACCGACGATACTTTTTCCAAAAGATTGTACTAAGGTAATGCTCATTTTCGAATATATCAAGTCATCTTGTGTTATTTCCAATTTCTTCGAAATTCAAATCCTGAGAGTACTTGTAATGCGGATGCTATTCTGTGTAAGCGTGAATTGCTTTTATTTTCCGATAGTATCTTTTATCTCGTCTCAGCTTCTGTAAATACTATTTACTCCGTTTGATTTGATGAATATGCGGACTGTACTCAGGCAGCTGATAATTATGCCATCTCGATTCTCGAAACAAGGGTCCTCTTCCTGCTCCAACGACCTGCCTTGTTCTCCAACTGACTTACTCTTCCGGAACCTGTTCGTCAGTGCCCTTAAATCCGGCAGGCAAATCCTTGAATTTGGGCAAGCCATCCACAATGTTCAAAACACGTTGCGAATACCTGGAAATGGGTAGATGAAACGAGAGGTAAGCGTTTATTATACATGAAGTGTAAGTGTTGTTGTACTAGTAGGTGCAGGTAACTATAGCGGATTTTTGAGTCATCTCCACGACGACCACAAAGTACAACTAGCAACAGGAAGTACAACTAGTACAACTACGAGTACAACTACGTAGATCCTAAACGAACAAGTATCAAAAAATATGCTTATAGGAACGTATACCAAATATGCATCTCCGGTTTGAACGGATCCTCAGGGGAGGTGTAGACCAGCCCAGCTGGCACGTCCACTTTTCCAAGCATCGGATGTTTGTTGATGATGGGATGTTAGAAGAGATGCTGATGGGATGTTAGAAGAGGAGGCGGAAGGAGTAGCTAAACGCGTAGCGAGTTTCAAACATTATAGACCTCCTTCTTTATGTGCTCCGAACAATATCTACCCCGTCCTAGAATATAATCTGCCTGGTGGAGCCGTTTCGGAATCACTTGCGATCGTCCAGCTACCCATTAGCACTAAGCTTATCCATAACATGATCCGCATTTGCGACAGCTGTAGCGATTGGAAAGCCCACCATCCGGCGCCAATCCCGGTGTGGTGATATCGGATTTGTACTCGATCAAATCGTCCTCGCCTTCAATCGAAACCTTTTCCTGCAGCCACATCGTGGCCTGAAGAGTGGGGTGGGTATATCGAGTCGAGATTAGGTGGAGATATGTGGGTATTGGATCTTGACAGCATGGATAAGGCAGCAGCTATTGAGTGCAGATTTAAATCTTTGAAGTCACTCTTTCGATGTTGAGCTCATCTACGACCACTACTTCTACTAAGACACGATTTCATATTTGAAATTCAAAATTTCGAATTAATCTAAGAGAAAATCACTAAATTTTCAGTTTTATGTACTTTTTTTCAAATTCATTTCCTGACGAGCCCAAAAACATCAACAACAATCTCATCAGTGAGAGATTCTAGATTCTTAGAATGAAATGTCTCTAGACTTTCCAATTTCGAACATTCTGCATCTATCATAGTTCGATAATATGAGCTATGGCATGCATTTGGAGATGCTAGCTCATGATAGTTTCGATAACAATCTAAAATCTTAGGTTTTGAGACCAAAAAAGTTTCAGACTTTCCAACTTTTGGGTGATTCTGGGTGTTAAAACGACGATACGCTCGCCAAAAGCAACATGTTGGAGTCATGCAGTAAGTATGATCCGAGTACAGCATGCTGCTATGAAGCAGGCTTCTAACACCAAATTACGTCGGGTACTACAAAAAGACTAAGAACTACTTAATCAAATATTAAAGCAAGATCTTATACTTACAACGCATGGGCTTTGCGGCAGGCTTTAGCTTTGGCGCGCAGGCTCGCTCGTATCTGCAGGCTTTGGCTTTGACTCGCAATTCGGGTTCGAGGCCTACCAGAATACGTACCCTCGAACGCAGACAATAGCAAAACTACAGCAGCTGTTGTTCGTGGATATCGGCCTCCGCTTTGCAAATCCTCCCTTGATCCCATCCTGCAAATATTGGCTTTGGCGGGCGCGGCTTTTCTATCGGCAAACGGGCGTCGCTCCTTTCTACTTCAAATTGGAAATATTGGCTTTGGCGGGCGCGCTTTCTTCGGGCGAGTCTGCAACGACAAACTAAAAAAAAAGCGCAGGATTCAACACTAATTCAAAGAACATGGGATGAAGGAAGTTGAAGGCACAACTACCTAGACAAGGAATCACAACGAGGACATCCTGAATTCCTAAACTCTCTATTGGCATTGATTTTAGTACCACATGGAAGAGAAATCGTACTCGTAGCCGCTTCCTATATCAAAACAATTTCCTGTATGTTCTTGTTACCTAAATACAGTCAAGTACTCAGTACCATCTGCAGAGACCCTGTCCATGCGCGGCAGTCACGGCAATGACAGATGGCCTTGATAGCTGGGTCCCCTTCACAGGTGACTGTGACCGCACCACAAAGGCATTTGCCCTTGCGCACTGAACCCGTCTCAGGTTGGTCAGACATCTTTTCTTCTTCTGGAATTGATTGATTAATTGATGTGCCTTCTGGAAGATGATGAAAAGAGTTGCTGATTTAGATTCAGACTTAACTGCGTTTGCTTAAGCTGTCTTAAAGAGTATGTCTGGGCGAAATGAGATCACTCTATCAACTGTCTTAAAGATAAATCAAATGCTGATGTTTTGGAAGCGCATAGCTGCGTATCTTTTGGAAACCTAGCTGCAGTAATAGAAGTTGCTACTACTCTACCTTTTCAAAGCCTGTGAAGGAGTCGAGGGCTAACACCACCAGGTCCTGTCCTTTTGGATTCAGGTTCATTTGGAGACTGCTCAAAAAAATCTTTCTTTCGGGGAAATTGGTAGGAAGGGTGCCTTGATTTGCATATAATTGTTGCACGGGATAAGCGTAATACTGTCGAGGTGAAAGCTAACCGGTTGTCTTACTTAGTGCTTTGAGCGCCGCAGGGCCTAAACCTTCACCAAAAGCAAAAGGTGAAAGCCAATCCAGATTTACTCGTTTTGAAGGCAAAATGAAACTTTCATCTCTCAGATGAACACGAAACTTGCAGCATGGTCACTCGTTACTCAAAACTGCTACCGCTTCTCGGCAAAACATAACTCGTGTCACTTTCATCAGAATAAATACTCTAATGTAGTCAGGAGTCGACAAGAATTTCTTGATGGTGGTAGGGTTGATTTCATGGTCAAACTTAAGAATATGGTTCAAGACGCTTAGTTTCTCATCCGGAGGCTCGAATTCTATGGACGATCGATGCCACAGTTATTAGAACACCACTAGAAATCGTGTAGTATTATAGCTAGTGGTAGCGGTACTAGGCAACCTACTTGAATAATTCTAGTGGTACAATGTCTGTTGTCTCGGCGTAATGGCTAGTGTGTGACGAGTCATCGCGAAAGGCCAACTCTTCTAGATTTCAAATTTGAAATTCAAATTTTCGAATTAATCTAAGAAGAAATCACGAAATTTTCAGTTTTATGTACTTTTTATCAAATTCATTTCCTGACGAGACCAAAAACGTCAGCAACGTTTCATCAATGGAAAGTTCTAGATTCTTAGCATCAAATGTGTCTAGAATTCCCTACCTTGAACCTGCTATATCTATCATAGGTCTAAAATATGAGCTATTGTATGTATTTGGAGATGATAGTACATGATAGTTTAGCTATCATTCTAAAACTTCAGGACTAGAGGCCAGAAAAGTTTCACAGTATCCAACCTTTGCCTCATTCTGACTGTTAAAACGACAACACGCTCCCGAAATGCAGGTTGGAGTTAGTATGAACATAGTGGGGCATTATGTTGCTGGCTAGTCTTATATATACTTACAACGATGATGTTAAGCAAGATGGAGATGAGCTTGCTCGCGTGTTGGGCTGTCCTCTCCACCAGCAAATAATCGTCCACGCAAATAGAAATACTCGACCGCAGATGTAAGATCACAACGACTCTTCAGACATCCAATCGGCCTCCACTCATCGGCAGATACGTTGATATTGGGATTGCTTGGTCGGTGGTCCCTCCTGATCTGAGGCATATTCCCTAAAAAGCGATCCTCTCTTCTCTCGTCCAATCGAAGAAGTTGTATCTAGACTGCAACTAATTTCAGAATTCTTTTGTCCAGCCTTATGTTGTTAAGAATCTCCTGTTGAGTAGTTTGAGTTATAATTAGCCTTTTTGATTTTGTAGATATAGGCTATTCACTGCTTTACTTCTGAACGACTTGTAGATTGGATGAGTCAGCACGACTTGTAGATGATTTTTCTTTTTCACTTGTGGGCCGATCTCCATCGTGTTCGTCGGTATGATCATCAGCGTCTTTGTCATCTCCTTCTACTTCATTCGTCGAAGAAAATACGATCTCTTCTAAGAAAGTCGAGCATTAGCGCTCATGATAGAGATAGAATCCCCAACATCAACGTCTTGATGTTCATGCTGCGCTTCGACTTGCGTATGCATCTCAAATCTGATTCTGTACTACCATACGGAGGTACGATTTAGAACCATTCTGCTGAAAGGCCGCACATGGTGTGACCACGTACTGATCAGAACAAGGATAAGACTCCTCATTTTTAGCAAAGCAGAATGTGTAGTGTCGTGATGAGATGAACCGACGAAGCCCAAAGTGCGCCACATTCCTTCAAACAAAGCTGCGCAACCGCATGGTCATGGTCATGTACTTCATGTTCGACCTTTACTGCCACCACATGGTCATGGTCATGTACTTCAGGTTCGGCCCTTACTGGCCATTTTTGAAGCAAAACTTACACAGAGGCAAACTCATGGTAAGGAAGAGATGTCACGATCGTCTCCAATAAAAAGCTACGCTCTCTTTCACCCATGACAATGTCGAATCCCTTCGCATCTGCGCTGTAATGCCTTCGTCTCTTTCGAAGCCAGAGGTTAGAACTGAAAAATCTTGATAGAAGACGGTGTAATCACATTCTCGATTGACAGACACAAATGTACATCAACAAATCGTACAAAAACCAAGCATCCTGACTCTGTTAATGATGAGGATGATGATGATGATGATGATGATTGTACCTGATGACTCGAATCTACTCGGCAATCTGCCTAAGATTTCCCTGACGTACCTATCTATCATGCTTGAAATGTTTACGACGAGTTTGCTCAATGTTCGTAACGACGATTCTATCAGAGCTACTCAGACTTGTCTTAACAACGATTCTATGAGAGCTTTGGAGTCGCTTTCCTCTTTGCAATTCACGTGGCCTTCACCAAGTATGTGCGGAGGTGCCCACGACAAAACCAGACCCAAAGTGGCGAAGTCCTTTAGGTTCTGGAGAAAAACGGCCTCGCGCGCAGGTGGGATGTGTTCCGCGACCTCGATGCAGAGGACGATGGAAGCGGAACCGTTAGAAGAGGTGGAGACAATGATTTTGATACCACTACTAGATCCTGCTATAAATACTGACTCAGAGATTGTTGTAGAGTAGACGGAACAAGAGTGTGAAATTAGAACTTATTTGTTTGCTGTAGATGAACAACAACAAACATAGTCGCAACGGCGACCATAGCACAAAACACACGAAGCGCAAAGAAATTCGGCGAGATCGTACGCGTTGCGCGGGGCGCATCAATACAAACAAAACAACAACAAGTCTTTGGTATCTATTCCAACACTTCCAAATCCAGATTCCTTGATGTTGATGTAAAAATAGAAGTAATACTAATAGATACTTATCTAATAGTACATAGAATTAATAGTAATAACTTCTATTATAACTAATACTAATATCCTTTGGAGGTGAACATAACATTTCCCTGTGCTGCTCGCAGAATCGAAGCATCTAACTGGTCGTTTAATGGCACAGTCAGGTCCGCGAAATGGACGCCACTCACAATCTTGTCCGCATTAGGAGACCCCTCGATTGCGGTTGCGGAAAAAACACCCGTATCGTTCAACCATCGTGAGTAGGCACCGTCCAAGGGGTTAGAGATTTATCGCACATTTGAAGATTTTGTCAACAAAAAATCATTTTCGTACTACACTGTCAATCAACCACCACTTAGAGAAAGAAGACACCACCCCCTTAGAGATGAAAGAAGTCATCGTAGTACACTTAGAGTGTGAGGGGTGTAGAGAAGATGGTGTACTACACTAGATCACTTATCGTGTTCGTGGTACAGAAGATCCCCTAGATTAATTAAATCGTACACTTCTTAGATGACTTCATTTCGTGGTAAAGAACTTGTATCCTAGGTGGCGCGCTTATCCGATAAACTAAAATAAGCGAGTAACGACTTAGAATAACCGAGATACTTCTGAAGAGCAAAGAGTAGCCTTTGAAAGCTACGTGCCTTATTTCAATCACTAACTCGCGTATTTCAAGTTCTCGAGTAGATAAATCATCGTAGTACACCCTCCAGTTAGAGAAAGAAGATCCACCACCAAGATTGCTGATTCACCTCTTCGAGTTCATAATCGACCCAAAATCGAAGACGGGTATTTTTTGTCCCTCCGGAACCATTCGAACGCCTTCCCTGAGCAGCACGCGCAGAACGCCCTTATCGATAAGAGTCGTGTCAGGAAAGAGGTCGCGATGCACATTAGAGTTTTTTAAGGCTTCAGGCAATCCATCATCCTCTAAGGGAAAAGCAAGCCCAGGATGGATCCTAAGATGGATTCCGGGAGGGTCTAAGCTTTATTGGTAGTTTTCATCTTCTGGACTGACTGCGAGGACGATATTAGACGGAAGGAAGTCCCGGACTTCAAATCGCTAACGCTAAGAGCTACTGTACTAGCCTACAGGAGCGAGCAAACCTGCCATAAAGAGCAACGTAGTATTCGTGAACATTCCACTCACCTCATTGTGTCCCCAAAAATGCTCCGTTCTACTCAGAAATGGTCCTAAATTCTCCACCAGCATCTCCACTAGTCTTAGAGCTCCACTGGTCGTGTTCATCCGTGACGCCATCCTTGGCGTTTTCGTTTGTATATCCTCTACGAAAAAGCCAATGAGTGAAGCCATCCTACTTGGCGCCATTCCCTCTAGGAAAATAATTAAGAAGAGGGATGAATTGCTTAGATTGTAGCCGCTTTCATTAGTAAGGCATTAATCCACTTCTTGAGTTTAAGCTCAAGTCTTCCTAGGAAAATTTAATTAAATACTAAATAGCCAATGTTGATCAAGATGAAACTCCCGTTCTCTCTTGTACTCTCTTGGGAATTTCTTGCCTTAATAATTTCTTCGCGGATTCTAGGACGTTTAGAACGCTGCGGAAGTGCTTTTTGGGACTGTTGGAGTTCGACAGCATACCCAAGTCCACCATCCAGAATTGGGCGTCGAGGTAAGCCATAAAAGCGTTGCGCGGGTATTAGACTGGTGCTATTTTCGTTGTTATTCTAACTATTTTCGTTGATATTCTAAGCTTTGTTATCTCACTATTTAGAAAATAGAAGAATACCTAAATTACCTTCTGCTATCTGAGTCAACTACGAGTTTGGGTCGTTGGGAGATGGGAGCAAGATTGGTCTTCCTGGAAGAGGGGAGCGTCGTCGAGTCGTGGGTATTTATTCTACTTCTTATCTTTGTGATCTCAGTATTTTTCTTGACATTCTAAGGTCTACACGCTGATTAGAGGAGTGGTAGATCTTCGAGATCTAGATGAGGGTAAAGAAACCTTCAAATACATAGTACCTAAATTACCTTCTGCTATCTGAGTCAACTTCATAGCTACTGTAGCTCCCATGATGACAACTACAGCAGTCATCTGTCACGTTCGGACCTTTTTTTGGATATTCCCTAATGAAACTGTTTCACTACTGTAATGTTAATGATCGCTAGCAATTACGTACGACACGCAAATATTTGCGGTCCGTTCTCCTTCCATAACAGTACCGAAAAGCCGCATGCAAGAGATTTCTGACGTCTGATGCGAAGCATTCCTTGGGTGCCGTCATGATGAGGTAAGAAACGCTCTGCATGAAGTTTTGGACCTGGTCCACTATCGTCGTCAAGGGACCAAACAAAATGCTGTAGTCGGGAGAGGCTGCAAAATGAATGATGCTCTTCTTGTGGTTTCTGCAGAAGACATTTCGTTTGCAGCGTTCGTGGATTAATAGAGTAGTGATCTCAATCCTTACATTTACAGCGGAGATAAAGTGAAAAGTATTATAAGTATACCCTGATAGTTTCTCATTCGGTCGTCTTGCTCCTCTATTTAGAAGGTACAAGATGGCTGGACGGCCTCTATGACGTTAGTGAAGACGTATCACGAGGTGTCATGACATGCCATTTCTTCGTGATCTATCAGCGTGAGCTACTCCAAGTCTGGAAAGCACGTGCGTGGAAAGGTCATAGGTCTCAAATTCATGTTGTTCCTCAAGAGCCATAAAATGCGGTTTGACCTTCAAGTTTTCCGTTTCCGCTAGCAATCGTCAAGGCTCCTCCTACTCTTAAACCTGGCACTCGCATACGTGGCTCACCATCGGTGGATTCTTCTGGTATTAGACAAAGTGCAACACATGTCAAAAAAGTGGGCCTCTGCTAAAGGTAAATCTTTTGCGCATCTTTATTATGCACCTGATACGGAGGATACCACTTTTATCCCATGATCTTGAGTGTGCCTATCAAAATACATTGGTCACTTTGCCCTTTGTGCATATTGGAGATCACTTTGCTGAATTTGGGTGGTCTGGAAACATTGCCCTTACCAATTTAACCATAATGAGAGTTCCATCATCCATGCAACGGTTTCGAACCCCTTGACTTCGTGGTCTTGAGCCTCCAAAACGGTCTCTTCCAGCTCCGCTAAGCGAGAGAGCAAAAACGTGTGTAGCGATACACACGACGTTCTTCTGTCCTCGTCTGAAGAAGAAGATTCATTGCCCATTCTCGTTCTGTCTCTACTGTGCTCCTCGTCATCCTTCACAGCTGTGGCCCAAAGGAAGCGATTTATTGCTGAGGCCTCGCTCGCCGTCACTTGGCTCTGCCTCTGGTGTTCATCTTCTACGATTCCTCCAGCAGCCCCAGCTTCTAGGATTCTTCCAGCACTAAAAACCCTCCGGAAGGACTCCGCGCGCAAGGCTTGGTAATCAGCAAACACCTGTCGGGCCATCATGTCGCGGTCGCCTGAATCTGGCTCCCCAGCATTGTCAGCCGCACTCGTGTGGGCGGGGACGATGAGGAAGCGGAAGAGGGTGCTGAGATACAACTTCAGACGAATGGAGGAGGCCATCATGATCAGGTTAGGTTAGGCGTGGGCCTACCAGGAAAATTTTCTCTTCACTCAACCTCTCTCCTTTCCTACAGCAGGAGGACAAGATGACCCTTAGAGAAGCAACGCCCAACAGAATCGGATAGAGAACAAGATCTCCTGCACACCAGAGATGAGGTCGCTACATCTGCACACCAGGGAACAAGGCGTAGCTAAGTAGGCGAAGCAAGTCAGAAAATCTGCGAGAACATTCGGGATCATCCACATTAATCATAGTTAGTCAACACGCTAAGATGGCACAGATTTGATAGATGCTTACACATATTTTGAAGTTCTGGTTCTTTAGACTTTACTTACTGGATGGAAAATCGACAAGAATGTGGATATCTGTCAGTCTAAAGGCCATTTTATGCCATTTCTCCCATGACCACCTGTTGAATGGCGGATACTATTCTAGCATTCGTGATAAACGTAATACTACCAATAACTCGTAGTCTCTGTTTTTTACAGAGAGCTACCTTCTTGAAAAACTCATTATTTGAAAAAAGCTGGTGCTTCGAAAGTCGACTACACTACTCTCTGTTGAAGAATGATCTACATCTATGTATTACCCTAAAATCCCAAAAAAAAACACTTCCTTACATACGTTACTCATCATTACAAATCAGACAGCACAAATTACTAAGTAACTAACTCCACTAGCCAAACACCCCCAAACGAGTGTCAGAAACCACTCAAAGAGCTCCTTCTGCCATCGCCTCCACCACTGCCTCTTTCCTCACCCACGCTTCTAGTCGTTTAGTCAGCTCTGATAGCTGCTCTTGGAAGTCGTCAAAGCTCAAATCTTGTTCAACACCTCCGTGATCTCGTCCAAAAAACTTACGGGCAACTGCATACGCGCGAGCCAAGTGCCACCTGTATAAACGCGCAGAAAGCTGCGTTGTTGAGGATGACGAGGTAGTTTGCTTTGCGTCCAAACCACGAGAAAGCCGGTTCTTTACCAAATGAGTCTCGAATTCCGATTCTGGTGTTGTCAGAAATATGACGTAGAACCGCTCGATTTCAAGAATCTCATCGACGACCATCTCCTGCTCTCGTTGCGTTCGCTTACCGCAGTTATTAGAGACAGTGAGCTAAAGCTGGTGAACAGCTTAGAAAAAGGTTTGAAATTAGATGAAAAAAAACGTTAAAGTGCTACAGCGTTTGAAGGTACGGGCACGTCCGGATAAAAAAGAGCTCAATTTTTTAAGTTTAACTCACGAATCATAAGGTTGAGCCACTCTGCCACCGTTTGTGCTGCTGTTTTCACGTCCTCATTTTTCAGAGCGACGTAACCCACCACGCTGGTACTAGTTCCACCATCTGCTGGCGTCGGAGGCGACTGCGTGGCAGTGCCTTGCCCCGCTTCTCCTTGTGATTCGTCCGGGCTTACATCAGCATTGCTCGATCCAAGTTGTAAGAAACCAAGTTCTAAAAAATCTGTTGGTGACCCAAGGAAGTCGGCTCGACGTGGCTGTGGCACTGATTTCAACAAACGCCTCTCGGCTTCTTCGCTATGACGTGGCTGTGGCGCTGATTTCAACAAACGCCTCTCGGCTTCTTCACTCAACATAGGAAATAAGGGTCTTGACGACCGCCCTTCCGGTGTACGAAATAATCCTGCAGATATTTTTGTCTTTTTTTCAGCTAGCAGCTTGTTCGCTTTCGTCGGTCCCCGCATGCCCATATCGTAGCAGTTTTCTACGTCCTCTCGATCCTCCTCTGGGATGAACGGATTGCCTTGAACCTTCCTGTTCATCTCTCCGTCAAAATTGAGGCCAACAATCCGTTGTAATCTGGAGGACACATGGAGTTTTTCACGTCCTTCCAAGGCGATATAGGAAACAGGAGTTATAATTTGAGTAGGACTTTGTTGGTGTATTTCTGCTGTTTGATGTAGTTCATGTCCTCGCTCGTCTCCCTTCGACGTAAGGGGAAGTAGGTATTCCACGATAGGATTCCTCTGCTCTTCAAATCCGCCAAAAGCAGAAGAAGTTGTCAGAGACGCGCCACTTTTTGAAATCGACGAGATAACGTCGAGGCGGTCTTTTGTTGATATTCCGGACAGCGTCTTCCGGACAAGGTCAATGAACATCACCCGACTCCAGCCCTTTCCATATACGGCAAAGGGTCGTGCTGCAGGTGCTCTTCCACGTTGGGGCAACACGGGTGGAGGCGTTTTTTCCACTGTTTCCGCCTTACCAAGATTCGAAACCACGGTTTCGATCTCCCCATCAATCGCTGTGGTGTCCACGTTCGTCCCCTCATAGTAAGCGGACATCGAGTCGGCACTCGACGGACAGGAAACGACTAATTCTGCCTCCTCTTTCGGAGCGGCATTTACTCCCTGACGCAAAGCCCTGACCTTCCTCACGCAGTCTTCGTTTGTGTCACAAGTCTCTAGAAGCCCTAGTTCGAAGAGTAAGCGCCAGATCGTTGTCCAGGGACTTTTCTTTTCGTCCGAGGCAAAAAAAGAAAGGAGCGCATTTCCTCCAGGATCCGCCTCTTCTTCTTCTTGCCCATTGCGTCTGCGAATTGCCACCCTTTCCAATTCCTCAATGTTTCGTATAGTACGAGGGAACAAAACTCCTCCACGACCGTAGAAGCCACCCGACTCCTCGTTGATCTTGTCTTCGAACTGCTGCAAAATGGACTTGCGGATGATCACCTTGTCAGGCATCCTCTTAGCACCTCCCTGAAGGCCTCCACTCTCAGCATTTGGACTTCCGCTTCCACCCTCCTCAAATAAAGTGCTCCATGTCTCCACTATGGCCGCAAAATTCTGCTGGATCTCTTCATTTGCCTCTGCCAGAGACTCGTCTGGCCCAAAATCTTTTGTGTTGAAAAAGAGTTCCGCTCCAAAGTAATCTTTTGTGTCGTGATAGAGAGTGTCTGCTTCATCTCCCACTTTATCCCCTTCATCTCCCACTTTATTTAGCATTGCTTCGCACTCTTCCGTTTGTGGTCGAGTCAAACGGTCACGCCTATCAAAAAGCGGATGCAATAACTGCAGCAGAGGAGCGTGGTAAAAGGGATCTTTGATTTCTGTATCTTTAAAGTGCGTGCTCATATGAATTTTCGCTTTGTTGTCCAGGTGAATCTCTTCCGGGTCCTCCATGTCCTCAGGGCCTTCGTGCTGTGCTTCAGGTCGATCTTTGGTGGTCTTCGTCTTAGTTCCGCCAGAAGGTGGAGAAGACATCAGCCTTTTCAATACTTGCACAGGCGACTTAAAGGCACCACGCGCAGCCTTTGCAGCTTGGACTGCGGCTGAAGCCTTGCTGGGTGTAGTTGAAGTCCTTGCTAGTCTAGCAACAAGACGCTGAGCAGCTAAAGCATCAGGGGTTCTTGTTGGTGTTCTCCTTACGCCAGGAGCTCGCGGCGACGCGTCGACAGCGGCAATACGCTGTGCACCCGTAGTCGGCGAAGGTGTCCCGCCACCACCGGCCGGCGAAGAGTAATGATCGGCAATCCGTCGGCTATCAGGCACAGCTGCAGGCGTTCTAGGTGTTCCAGGTGTTTCTCCAATCGCTTCAGGCGTGGCGTCTATGGCCCGAACACGCTGCTCAGTCGTAGTTGCTGCAGGTGTTCCGAGCGGCGTTCCCGGCGCACCGATAGTACCTCCACGGACAGGTGGCGAGTGATATAAAGAAGCGGCAATCCGGGCGTCAGTGGTCATTAGGTTTGCAGGCGTTCCAGGTGCTGCCGCTGGGTCTCCGGCACCAGCAGCGGCCGGCGAAGCGTAGGGGTCGTGTGCGGTAGTAGTCCTCGCCTGAAGAGGCGTCGCCACGTTGGCTGCAGGCCCACCAGGAGAATCGTCGTCATATCGACTTCTGAGAGCAGGAGCACTCGGCCTCATGCCTGCCATTTTTGGATCCGGGCTTCCAGGTGAGACAGGTGAAGGTGTTGATATAGGATTAGGATGACGTCGAAGAGGCACACCAAGAAGGCGTCGAGCTGATGGTGTCGTCGCTGCACTCGGTGGAGGAGCATCCATCACACTCATGTGTGTTGGCGGTGTACTCGGTGGAGGAGCATTCGCAGGTGTAATAATGATGATTGGATTTTTAGATCCCGAAGGGCTAGAGCTAACTCCTTCAAGACCTTCTGGTTGTAATCCTACTGCCGTAGCAGCTGCACTGCCAAGCTGAAAAGGATCCGCTAAACCTACATCTGCGCTTCGACCTGTAGAAGCTTGAGTAGCTTCCGCTTGCATACCTTTCGTCGAAGATTCTGAAGCCCCTTCTACTAAACGTGGTGTTGTTGCCGTGATGATGTTCATCAGCGTCACTGCTTCCTCAGGCAAGCCCATGGCTGCAAGTGCGCTCAAAATTAAACCTTCAGCCGAATCATCGTCGCTCCCCACTAAACCTGACCTTAAACCGCCCATCATGATCTCCACTCTCTTAGACGCCGCTGCAACGCCAGCAGCTGCTAGAGCAGTAATCATCGCTGTACTTTGAGATGAACCAGTGCTGCTCTGACCAGAAGCACTAAGAATCGCATTCAAACCGTCAGGAGACAACGCAGATACTGTTGCAGAGACAAGAAGATTTTCAGTCGCAGCCTCAGCCTCGTGAAAAATTGACGGCGTGGGACCTCTACTAGGTGAGGGTCCGAAGTTTGCAACTATCACCCTTATGAAATTCGACATCTGTCCTCCTAGAAAAAAGCTGTCCGTACCCTCCGGTACAAGGACTCGAGGTGAGCTTTCGTCACTGTCAGCAGCTTGTGCAGGAGCAGCGGTTGTTTCAGATATCAGATCTGCTGCTCCAGACATGTCCACATCCGGACGCGATGCTCGGCCAGGGAGTAAGAATTCAGGCACTTCACCTGGATACGAGTTGTCCCCCACCCGTGGTCCTAGTACACGTCTTGTTGCACCGGACGAAGCAGATGGTACTTCTAAGGCAGCACGTCCCGGACCTGTCGCAAACGACGTTGCAGCAGACGGCCCAGCAGACTTGACACCAGGAACAGGAGGAGTCGCAGGTAAAGCGCCAGAAGGCACGAAACCACCACCAGAGCCACCACGTTCATCGGGAGTACCAACAAGAACTACCCTTCTCGTCGCCTGCTGTGGCACTGTTCCTCCCCTTGGTACGTTTTTCAAGCCTAAGGCTCTCCATTCTTTGCGTGTCCGCGCTTTAGCTTTTACAAGAGGTTCCCACGCCTGTCGGAAAGCAGCCGCTTTTTTCCGAAATTCCTTCTCCTCCTGGCTGCCAGGCTCAAAATCCATCTTCAGACTCGGCCAGTCGGTTGAAATCTGCGACGCAGGGGTGGCATCCTCGTCAGAATCCATGAAGACGACAAGACGGGCTGTCGTCACGATCATCTCCAGTTGCCGTACTATTTGATTCATGATTTCGTAATGGTAGAAAACGTGGGTTAGCAACTCGTTTGGCTCAAACTTGAACTCGTTCTTCCTCTCGTCGTAGACGTAGGGGCTTTGGGTGTACCTGTTTTTATGTTGGAATTAGAAACTCAATCTGCATTGATGTAAGAGTTGTCTATTATGAGTAACCAAGAACTACTGTCTGTGTAAGAGTTGTATCTATATATGTAAGAAATACGTATCCAGTGGTGCAACTACAGTCAGTTTGCTTGCTGTTAATGTTGGAATTAGAAACTCGATCAGCTGCATTGAACAAAAGAAAATCAACTACTGGGACGGAGGCACATCAAAAATTATAGAGAAATTACAACGTACTTCTCAGGAGGCCAGCGTAAAAGCGAAGCAAGTTCCACCAGCTACTTCCCCTCTATTACCACCACCTAGTTATCATAAGTATTATAATACCTGACATGCGTAACGAAGTTTTTAGCCATCGATGTGTTGATGTCATTTGTCCCTGCTATGGCGACGTCACACTTTTCGACTGGCAGAAACATCAGGTCAAATCGATCGCCAACAGCCATCTGCCACACGGATTCGAAATTATTGGTCCGCATTTGCGAAGCGGCAAGATATTTCGGTGATGCGTAGTGCCACTGAGATGTGAAAAAGGGGTGAAAGGTCTCCAGGGTTATGCAACTGATGAATGAATGAATGAATGAATGAATGTGCCTAGCAAGAGGTGTTAGGACGTCCTTTAATGTCAGACGTCGAGGTGACTGAGAGTGGGTCGTGTAGAATTATAAGTAAAATCAGATTACGGGGAGAGTCGGTGAGAGTGGGTGTAAATCATCAGTTGTTTGGCTGGACAATTTTAGGTTGGAGTGTTGGAGGTTGTAAATGATCTGCAAACTCAACAACAAATGTCAAAAAGCAAAAGGATTACCCCATCAGGCAGCGGCGCGAGACTTCTCGCATCCGCAGTGGGATTCACGTAGACGGTTTTAGCTGCAGAGTACGGCCCCAACAAATGCGCTGCATATGGCTTGTCGCCTAGCATGGTGACCGACAGATTGTTGTAGATCATCAATGCCACATTCCGAAGACCAAATACGCGACGATGGTCGGGAGTTAGACGTGGATGAGGGGTAGGCTGAGAGTAAACCCAAATCTATCATTTGATACAAGGGTAGTAAAGGTCTAAGATCAGGAAGTTTTCCTAGGACTCTTAGATTTTCTTTTTGTCTCTTCCATTGTTCATGTTCTCGTCCATAAAAATAGCAAGTATCCGTATTGATTGTTGTACAGTAGTCGCATCCAGAGATCTTTTACTTCTCAAATACATTAAGCCAAAACATCAAGGATGAGGTTAGTCGGTTCGGGTTGGACCTACGACCTCCCGGCGTCTTCTTTGAGTTCTACGAATTTCTCTGATGTCGAAGTTGTGAGGATAAGAATACTACGATAGACCGAAGAAGACCAAAGGGGTGATATTCTTTTTAATTACAGCAAACGAAAAACAGTCTGAGCCTAGAACTCAGAACTTACCACCCACTTGAATACCTAACATGATCCACGGATCTTTAGTCAGTCCATAAAAAAGCGTGTACGAAAAACCGGCGCCCTTCTTTCACCTTCCTACACATGGGTGCGTACATGTGCTTCTGTTTCGCCAGACGTTCTTGGTACCAGTCGTTGGTCTTAGCAGAGATCGCTAGATCTTCATCCGACAGTGGCCCTGGCGGGAAGCATTCCCCACTGCCGAAGATTTCGCCATAGCCTCCAGGAGACACTGGAGGCGGAGGCTCACTTGACGGACCGGTCATTGCGAGTGGTGGACCAGTCATTGCAGCAAGAATTAGAAGCACTAGTCCTTTGTACTATGACTATCGGAACTCAAGTCATCTATGTGAGAAGTCTCCTGAGTAAGTCTTCTCAAGGAGATGACTGAGTGATCTTAGTGAGTAATCATTATCCACTTATACTTCAACGTGTCTCTTATTGCTTATACCGTAAACAATCATCCCTGTTAATATTTGGTAAGTACCTTCGTGATTCTCAACAACTCTTCAAATACAAATACAGAGTCCTCACTATGATAATGAGATGAAACTCATGTAGCCTTAACACTTCTTCTTCCGCGTTTCGCACTACTTTCGCATTTTCCGCTACCTCTCGCATTGCCTTAATAACGTCACCCGATAGTAGTGGCCCGACCGCAGGCGGAGGACCAATTCCTCCAAAGAGGACACCTGGACGATGTAATACATCAAAGGGGAGTACAGAGTCACCTGCACCACTGAAACCAAAAGGGGGGTCTTTATCTTCACCAGTCGGCGGACCTTGTAGATCTGGATCATGTCCAGCACGGTTCTTAAAAGGTGGCGGACCCTCTCCACCGATCTTAGGCCGTAGACCACCAAAACTTCTAAAGGGGAATCCCTTTCCTGGTTCCATAAAGGGGAATCCCTTTCCTGGTTCCAGAAGTTCACGTCTTATAGGTGGTGGCATCGCTCCAGGTCCACCAAATCCAGGTCCCGATCCTGCAAGCATTAGCTTTTCAGTAGCCCTGTAAATCTTTTCATGTTCCAACTTTTTGGTAAGATCATCTTCAGCACCATCACCCGCTAATCCAGTCCCCGTCAAAGGCTTACTGTCACCGTGGCGTTCTTCTAACTCCGAATCATATAAGCGTTTTCCTTGTCCATCCTCAGGTTCTTTTTCACCAGCTTCGGAATCATCTTCGGAATGAAACGCGTCAGTGGGACTAGAAGGCGCTTGTGGCTCCTGCCCCCTCCCAGAGGAGACGCCCTTGGCCAGCAATTCAAGGTCATCACCTTCCATGGGCTCTGGAATAGCAACGCCTCCGTGACCTCCTCCTCCTGTTTCACCCTGTTCAGCAAATGTTGATACTCCTTCTTGAAGTGCTGGTGTAGGCGTACGAGAGGGCGAAGCTGCCAAAGAGTCTCCAGGATAAGGCGGGCCATCGGATGCAGGAGCATACGGAGACCCTTGGCCAGCACCAGCACCATATGGGGAAACGTAAGGAGGAGCCTCCTTTCCCTGAGGCTGAGGAGGAGATGATGGATAACCAGACAGCGAACCATGTGGAGATGATGGAGACGAATAGGGCCCTTCCGGGCTAAGGTGCATCAAGGTCCTCGCTTCCGGCATGGCCAGAGGCCACGAAAGGCAGATGAGCACCTTGTCGCGGAACTTCAACATCTTTCGTACGTTGAGGAACAAAACTAAGGGACACAAATGGGGATAACTACAACTTTACGATCGAAAAAACAAATGGGACACAGATGGATTCTTCAAGAATTTCAAACACTCGTAAATACAACTACATATCATGTATGGCGGGACAGTTGTCTAGCGACATACATACTTTCTCTGCTGACTGTTTTTGTGTGCTGAGGATCAAGAACTTCAACAACATTAATACACCAACAATATTTATTACGGCCATTATTTACAAATAAAACGGTTGAGCATGCCTAGGATAGGATAGGAATTGGCTCGCCACACCTTAGGAGCTGCACTCCTCACACGCATTCCGATCCAGAATATACACTGCAACAGATTTTCATTGTCATCGTTCCAGTGGATCAGTGATGCACGCGGCTACCTGAGAGGACCAGTGGACCGTGTTATTCAAAATGCAGGATAGCATAGAGAGAGAGAGAGTTGTCCAGTCGTGGTCCCTGATCTTCGATGTAGAAGAGGAAGTGCAGGATAGCAAATATAAACCCCTCAAAGCAGAAAAACAGAGAATAGTTTCTCTTCACTCGACTCAGCATGCATCAAGACAGAGGATGGTGACCCTTGAATAGCGCTTTTTCTTGCGATTTTCGCGGTCATTTCTCTAGATTCCTCTCACCTCCACCAGATCAGTAATCTCACTAGCTCACTCCTCTTCTTGCGGACAGAATTTATTCTCGTGTTCTCCTGATTACAGAAAACATCAGATTCATCAATCCCTCTACTACGCAAGTTTCCCGACATCATCAAGGACACGAACTTTTCGCCAAAGATGTCAGATGATGATGAGGTGACCCCTCGTTCTCTGGAGACGAGCTAAATAAGCCATTGCGTTCCCTTCTTTTTCCTTGCACCAGATTTGTTTGAGTTAGCTTCTTCGAAGATACACTGAAGCGTGTTAAGGATAAGGTTAGGTCGTTATACGAGTTACAATGTTCTTGATACCACGAGTCAAAATTAGATCATGATGGATAATTATAAGTCTACTTGTAAGCAAAATACATGGGAGCTGGATAGCCTGGGTTTGATGGCATTGTAAATGATCTGGGAGCCAATAGGATGGCATCGGGTTACGATACATGAGAATCCTGCTATACATTTCTAAAGTTGAAAAAACTGTTTGACGACGTTTGCGAAAATTCCACTACGTCTTGCTGCTTTCCAGATGCTGTAATAGTATTTGATCCGATAATTATACAATGCTAAAACTATAGCTACCTACGAACAGCTCCTCGGGAGAGACTTCCTGACTCTGAACTAGATTGACGTAAGATTGAACTATCCATACTCCCTTGTACTATATATAATGCTCGTCAAAAAAACAAGCAAAAAAACAAGCAAAAACGATCGCTACGCTACTGCTCCCGAATTCATCTAAGTACTTACTTAACTGTACATTTCTGTGGCATAAACCTTTAGAGTGGCATGAACCTTTAAACTTGGTTGAAGAATTTAATTTCGATTCCGTTCTATCCATAGCTGCAACGGAACTCTGCTACTATCGCTAATTTCAGACATTGGTAACTATATCGATGCATATTTTCCTGCGTTACTGCATCCACTAGTGTACCGAGCAGTTCATTCTTTTCGTAGTTGTAAGTATCTATAAGGTGATGCAATGGAAAATTTTCAAACTGTTTCTACGAAATTGTGAAATAAAAGCAACTTGTTTCTAGTTCGAGAGATTAGTGCGACTCTGCTAGTTACAAACATCTACCGAGTGAGTGTTGAGTACAGATGGAAAGTCTTGTGTGCTCTACCAAAGAGAAAGCATCTTCAAGCTGACTAAGAATAGCAAGAGACCTTCTGTCGGTACCGCACAGCCGACAAGATAAGCGCCCCCTCGTCCGCCTTTCCTTGAAACGCTGCTGCCTTCTTGAGTTAGAGCTTTGAAATCATTCCATCAACTGCAATGAGAATGTTTTTAAGTAAGTAGACTTCTACTGGAAAACTAAAAGCACTAGAGACGGTATGGCTCGGGTAAAGTGTGCAATGACAAAAGAACTCCCACTGGTATCAAAGTAGCTGCTCCCACTGGTATCAAAGTTTTTCAGGGTCTTGAGGGAAGCAGTGGGAGCAGCTACTTTGATACCGACGGACCGACTGACCGACCGACTGACCGACCGACAACACGCTCCAGGCAACCGTGCTGGCCGACTGACCGACTAGCTCCAAAGTAGCTGCTCCCACTCAAAGTAGCCACTTTCAAAAGAACTCCCCCTGGTATCAAAGTAGCTGCTCCCACTCAAAGTAGCCACTGTCTTCACTTATCAAAGTACTTATAGCATCCATTTTATCGTAACTGTGCTCCGTCTTGTCCTCGTCCTGCTATGCTTCGATCTGTTATCTTCGTGAACCGCTCCGAGCCAAATCCGTCTGGCAGAACGATGAAATCGTCTCTCGTGATTTCGTCATATTGGAAGCCAGGCGTCAGAAACTCCGCTTTGTTGTCCACACAAAAGGGAAAATCGTCACAGAACTTGATCTTGAAGAAGTTGACGTATTCTTTTTCGGCGTCAAACTCCGTGATGTTGCTGCCGGTGGGGAGCCTCAGTGGCAATTGAAAGGCGAGCTGACCAGGTTCTATACCATCATAATCCGCGTCGTCGGTGTCAGGCATGTTCCGGATTAGAGGTGTAGGTATTGTCAGGCATGTTGGGGATTAAAACTGTAGGTATTGTCAGGCATGTTGGGGATTAAAACTGTAGGTATTGTCAGGCATGTTGGGGATTAAAACTGTAGGTATTTGGGGTAGTTGTTGTTGGCACAAGCTGTTGGTAAGTGAAGATACTAGGACAGCGGATTATTCAAGAGACTGCCGTCCATTGGACGTGCGAATACTAAGTTGTAAAACGTGATGCAATTATCACAACACCAAGCTGGTTAAACTGGTTAAACCATCTTCACCATCAAAAAAAGGTGATAAAGCCATAAAAAGAACAATTGTCTAATTGGATTCGCATTTGGGTCCCAACCCCATGCGCGAACCGGAAACGCTTCTGACAGCATCTGGACGTCACTCGGCAACGATATCTCCATGGCAAAGCCAGGGGGGACCTCGAGTTCCAAGATCTTGAACCCCTTTGCTCGTGGTATCTTGCGCTTGATAGCGATGGTGACAAAAAACGGTATAACCGTTCCACCTGGATTCACCTCTCGCCTCGTCAAGGCATGGTCGTACCAAATCGTGAAGTTTTCGACTATCTTTAGAAGGGGTCGTGAAGTTTTCGACTATGTTTAAAGGTCGGCACTCAGTGGCCACTGATTCAGAACAGGGGAAGGGCCCCATAGATACCCCCCTACTTGTTTTCCCTTTGTTTTCCCCTGTTCTCTAAGGGTGGGCTCTCTTCGATCTCAGTGCCCAACCCCAAGGGCCCTCACTCAGGTGACCAATGAAGGTGACCACTGAAGTGACCAGTGTCACTTCAAGTCTACGTACGCGAGTGACCAATGAAGGTTGAACCAGTGACCAATGAACCAACTTGAGCTCCTCCAATGAACCTTAAGGTTGAGCCTTAATATGTAGTCCTGATAATACGGCGATGGGGGAACGCTCACGTTGTTATCGATGGTGCGCTTCAAGCGGTCCAGGACTAAGACGTCGAAATCGTTGTACCGATTCGGAGGAGGTAGTTGTTCTTCGGGAAGCTCGATGCGGATATTGAACTTGTACACCATTATTGGTACAGCGACCATCTGCTCCTGCGTAACCATTTCACCCGTGATGAAATCACGCTTGGTCTTCGTCGAGAATTAGAAGAGGAGCGAAGGGAGGTATGCAATGAATAGAAGAAAGATGAGTGATTTAGTTTTACCTGCAAGTGGTCTTCTATCATGAATTATGTGTTGGAAAAACTATCGAAGCACGATATCGATTGTCTTCGATCACAAGTCATACGCTTCTTGGTTTTCGTCGAGAATTAGCAGAGGAACGAAGGGATAACTATGATGACCTATGTGTTGGAAGAAATATCAAAACATCAGCTTGGTTTTCGAAGAGAATAGGAATCATGAATTATGAATGTGTTGGAAGAAACACCAGTTCAATCACAAGTCATACATCCGCTTATCATAAATTTTCGTTCCAAAAAACGTTGGTGGATGCGTGGCCGTCTGAAAAGCGAACAGGACTTCATGCCGCAATTCACAAGGGTTCGTTAGAGCGGAGCCTAATCCATCCTGAGATCGATCCCTCTGGGACCTCTTTTCCCCTTGTGGGACAGCTCCGAGATGCTTCTGGGGATGGATTGGGAACAGCAGCTTTCAGATGCCTTAAGATCGCTTCCTCCATCTCCTGTCTCAGCGCTTTCTGCACCTCTAATTTCGCAATTGTAGAGTTCACATTCTCCGCAATGAAGTCCATCCTCTCCTGCTTCGTCATGTCCCTAGGTTTCTTCAGCTGCAAAGCCTGCAAATAGATCGTCCGGTTCTCCAATCGCTCAATTTCGAAAGTCGTTTGTTCCAAGTCGCGCGCCAACCGGTCGCAGCCCTGCAGCAAAGGATGAATCGGTGCGAAGACGCACAGAGGCATGTACGAGGGTGATGGGACCATTATCGTGGTTATCGGACACCGAAACTTGAAGTTTGGCGGCGCTTTCAGATAGAAAGCTCCACCGACTGGAACTGGGACACGCAAAGAGAGTTCAAACATGGCATCGACTGTGGCACCTTGAGTCCATTTCGTCAACGGGTTCCATTGCACTGGAAACTGAGAAACCAGTAGGTCATTGGCCTCGAATCGTTCCCAGCCTACTTGAGAAACGACGCCGGTGACTGGGTCTTTCGCGTTGCCGATGATGTACGAGAGTTAGAAAGGTGGCTAAGGGTGGAAAGAGAATTTAGAGAGACTAGACTGAATAGTAGGCAGAATTAATACAGTTAAAGTCCAGCATAACAATGAAAGTCCTGCACTGGCACAACCTCCTTGTCCAATGGCCTCGAGTCATTCCTATTGCACACCAGTTTTAACGTCACGCCTCCGGGTGACTGCACGAACATTCCTAACGGAAACAGCGTCGTTCCATTGATCTCCACCCTCTGAGAAAACGGTCGAATCTTCTGCACACTCATCGGCGAAAACTGAAAGGGCATGATCTCCTGTCGATCCGAAAACGGCGCAAATCTTGGCATGAAAAAACCACTGGTCGGCGGATAAACCTCCAAACTGGTGACACCGACGTTTTTCGGAAAACGTTGGGGAAATTCTAGTTGCACGTCTAGGAAACTCTCTGCGGCAACGAAGGATTGCCAGGCATCCGTGTAGATCATGTCATCGTCGTGGAAGGCTAGTTTAGACTTCATCACCCTGAAGGGTAAGCGTTGGGTCATCACGAAGTCTGGCGAACGACCTGCGTCATTCGGATATTCGCCATTCGCTACTGCCTCTACTGTAGTAAACCGGATGTGGAACTCGTGGTTTGGCGGCTGAGCTGGCTCGTCTGGTGCAGTGATCTGGCACACTATTAGAGGTATCCTCGGGAATTCCTCTCAGGGAATTTATCACTGGGTCCCTGTTTTATCTCCTCTTGTCTTTCTCTCTACTCTCTCTCAGATGACTCCTCTTGTCTTTCTCTCTCTCTCTCAGATGACTCCTCTTGTCTTTCTCTCTCTCGTCTCAGATGACTCCTCTTGTCTTTCTCTCTCTCTCAGATGACTCATTTGGAGATGATGAATAATTCCCTACACCCATAACACTAGGCGATAAGCCCGGTCAGGCTTGATTTCGTTCTCCGGCATAGCGGATGGAGGCGCTAGAGAAATCGCTTCTGTGCTATTGATCGAACCAGGCGTCAACGTTTCGTCTAGCAAGCCTCGATCGATTAAGTAGCGGGTTTTGGGGTCCTCTAGGTTGAGGGGCACATCGCGGTCGGCCAAGGCTTCGATCCTCTCGTACATGGCTAGCCAAATGTCACTGAATTTGTCCACTGTCAAAACAATCGAAGGCTCATCGCCGCCGTTGTTCAGCACTGCGTTGAGAGACAAGGCCATCAATGGCCAAGCGCAGCCCATTACGCCTGGTTTCACAGGACAATCCGAGATGTCTTTCAGCTCCCAGTAGTCGGGTGCGAACCTGTAGCCTGCTGGCGCCTGCAACTCAATCACATCGCCTGGTGCAACTGGCCCAGAGGCAAGGATTTCAAACACGATAAAGCTCTTATCCCCGTATCTGATTGGTAAAGAGCTTTCGACCGGATATCGGTCTGGCTCTTGGCCGAATCGATTCAAATTCTGCGCACTGAGAACCGGCAAGGATCGTGGAATACGGAAGGACAGAGCTGCCGTACTCGGATTCTCGATGCTCGGTCTACAACAGCCTAAAGACTCATCCTGTACCTCTCCTCGGAAGTAAGTGGTCAGATCGAAGCTAGTTTCGCCACCAAATTGGGGCAATTCCACGCCAGAGATTAGACCGTCGTCCTGGAATCCATCTTGAAAGTCATCTTGGGGCTGTACTTTTTCCTTGGTTGAATGGTTAGTTGAAAGTTGGATAATTAATAGGAAGTTATCTATGAAATAAAGCTAGTGTATGAAGTTCCAGGAGTGGGGTGCCCCAAGGTGCTTCTGACGATGGATTCCCGGTTCCCTTAAATAGAGCAACAGCTTAATCGGATAGTCTTTGGGAGCGTTCATTTTGAGGCGTAGTTCGTTTTTGAAGGCATAGTCTATGGTGATGGGAACCTTGGTGAAAAACCAGTCAGGCTGTAATTGTCGAGCGGACGCGGAGGAAGAAGATGCTGGTGCTTGTGCTGTGTTCAGCCTCAAACGGAATGACTCTACTGCAGAGAGGGTTGAAGGAGTAAAAAGTTGGTAGTCGTCTTCCTCTTGTAGAAGTTGTTCCTGCAATACTCTGCTCGCCGCCTCAGCAGAGGATAATGCAGTTGCAGCAGAGGATAATGCAGTTCTTGCACCTCCAGCGCTATCTCTTCGTTTCCGAGCTCTCTTCAATTTGGGTGTACTGAAAGCTTCTTGCGCGTCACGACTAGTTTGCAAAATTGTCTTGTATTTTCGCATCCTTGAGTCCGCAGCACTAGATGAGGCTGAGGTCGTTCCCGTGCTAGAGACCTCTAATATACCTCGACTTCCACCCGGTGCATCAGGAGCATCAAGACCCTGACTTGCTAACCGTCTCTGCCTAGGAGAGTCTGTGAACAAAAAGCGGTCCTTCAAACTCTCACATTTCTCGACGAGGTTGGGGTCGAGTGATCCGCGATAAGCGGAGAGAAGCCTTTCCCATGCTGAAGCTTCGTGGCCTACAGGTTGCTGAGGTGTTGTCTCTCTAGCAGATGCACCCTCAGTCTCTTTCACCCGGCTTGGCTCTGTTGTCTCTGTCGACGCCTCAGTTTTCGCATCAACTGTATCTGCTTTGACGTCCATCTTGGGTCTACCTTGCCTCTCCACCGAAGTCGCACTGCTCTCCTTCTTCGCTTCTAGAACACGACTATGTCCCAGCACGAGATCAGCATCAGGCACTCCGCCAGCTTCCCGTTTTTGTACTCTGAGTTTTCTGATCTGGTCCAGGACGTCCTCACAGTGCGGATTCGCAAATACCAAGCCGTCCACCTCTGGGTCTCCTTCGGTGTAAATCTCGCCAGCCCCTGCATCACTCCTATCTTGTGGCCTCTTGAACGCAAAATCTCTCGCGGCTACATCTTCTGAGACATAGCGCCAATCTAAAACTCTTCCGGCTGCGTCCTCGCCACGTGGATCCCGGCTTTTATCTACTTGTTGTTGAGTTGATGCTCTCTCGGTAACCACTGTCTCCTCCGAGCATGGACCATTCTGAGTATTTGCACCTCCCAAAAGAACCAGCTCTGCCCAAGTTTTAATATCGTCGCTACTCCTACATCGCCCGCTTCGTCGCACACCTCCTGCGCCCTGCTCTCTAGATGGAGTTTTCGTCTTGCTTCCTCCAGAAGCGGCCAAAGCATCCTGCGTCTCAAACAAATCTTCTGCCACCGTGTCCGGCAGATCTGGGTAGTAATACTCCTGCGTACTTCTTCTAGGCACAAATGTTCGTGGAACGAAGGAACTACGCAGTTGTGATGATGAGGACTCGACGTCTTCTTGTCGTGCTCGTCGTGCAGCTGCAGCTCCCGTTGAATCTAACAATAATTCTTTGTTGTCACCGTCACCCCATTCCTGTTGGGAATCACTGCTGCTGCCATCCTCAGCACCTGCACTAGAAGCAAGCATAGCCCTATTAGGAGCCCCTCTTGCATCAACACCTTCAAGTGGTGGCACCACTGCTGCAGCTGATGACTCGGAACTCACGCCACCATCTTCGAAGATGCCGGAAACTCTTTGACGGCGTTGAGCATCACCAGGTGGTCTTGACATCAGCGGACCTCCAAAGCTGTTGCTCCTCTTTGAACTAGTGCTTGGTCGTGAATCTGAACTCCTACCGGCATCAGTTGTACCATGTTGAAGCTCATGAGTCAACTCCTGCATCAGATCTCGTTTTTTAGCCGAAGGAGAAGACTCTTCTCCGCTGTTCACCATAGGTGGCATTTCAGGTTGCGCTTCCGACGATGCCTCTCCAAAAGGAAAGGTCGGCATTTTACTCCCCGACCGACCTAGACTTGCATCACTGCGGCATTTGTCTTCGTTGTAGTTCTCCAACCGCATGATGCCTTTTTCAACAGTGCGCATTTCTCGTAGAAGTACCCCGATCGGCGACTCAGGATCATCGAGAGGGGTCGCTAGTTCTACGACGACAGGAGGCGCTAGCTGCGCTACTTCTGAGGAAGCTGCTTTTTCCTCGGTCGAACTAGATGAAGATGACAGCAAATTCTCCACCATTGCATCTGCAGCTTTCGCACTCGCTTCGACAGCCTTTCTAGCAGTTTCCTCATCGATTCTCATGCCCTGTAGCCGTCTACGCATCTCTCGAAGCTTTCGCTTCAAATCGTGCGAGCGGTCAATGGCCTGACTGGACTCTTCACACTGTGGGGCACTGGCGAAGCGGAGATCGCGGATGTCGCCGCTACCGAGTGATGAGGCATCTCGAAGATCGTCCTGCTTTATTGGTGTCTTTTTCCTGTGGTGAAGAGTAGCTTTATCAGTAGATTTCTTCGACAGTGTTGCTGACGTTAGACCTCTCACCTATTCATCCCTGTGGAAATCCCTCAAGCATATGCGTCAGTATCTCCCTTGTATTGGGGTGCATATGCTTGAGGGATGTCTATACAGCTGGATTAGGGGCAGCCTTAATGACGGACTCTGCTGTTTTTCCGAGGAGGAGTCTTCATCTACACGGCCTTCGTCTACACGTAGTTCTCGATGTCCGTCCTCCTCCTCCTCCACACCCCCACCTCGAATCGCTGCCAGTGCCTTGTGCCAATTCCGCTCTTGCTCCGCGGCTTCATCCTCATCAGCGTCAGGATCGACGTCTAGGACTAGGTCAGGAGTGCTGCTCCCTTGAAGGAGTTCTGGACCACTCGATGAAATAGTATTTCCTCCCTGTCGTCCTAATGACCATTCATCTGGGCGATCTAGTTCCATAAAATTAGAGGTTATGGAATTCCATTCTTCAGAACATCCTTGGCCTCTCTTCTACTAGGAAAAGAGTCAGGGATGGTAGTGAGGAATGCAATTCAGAAACCCTTAATAAAAGCATCGCTTCCGCCCAGGAGTTGTCCACGTTCCATGGAAGATGCATCAAAAGTTCTTGCACCATCTTCAAAAGCATTCCGACCATATGGCCCCAGCAACCTCGAACTCTCGCGCACGCGCAATGCCCGTCTTCGCTCCAGATAAGCCGACGCTGCTAGCGGCGTACCCACGGACTCCACCTTGACTCGACCGAAGTTGAACCCGTCAGGCTGCTTCGCTATCAGCGTGAACGAATCTGCGGTTCCTCGCAGCATAAACTGCACGACAAGAGTCGCATTATCCAGTGTTCCTGAGATGATTAGAGCTACCGCGCTCGCATCCCCGAGAACCTCCCTGCTCCCTTTTTCTCCTTGAAAAATGGGCGAAGGATGATGTTGAGGATGGTTCAACGGTAGCCTTAAAATGAAATCGAGTTTCACACCGTAGATCTGCGTCTCGATCAACCAGGACTCGAACGTGGCTTCGGACAGCTTGCTGTACTCGGAAACGCCAAAACGGTTCAAGGTGCCAAGATAGTGCTGCGAGAACCAGTAGTTTTCGAAGCCGAAGGGGGCGCGGTCGGCGTTGCGGTAACGTGGGTGTTAGAGGTTCAGAATGCATGATTATAAAGTAGCTCTTTTTAACTATGGGTGTTAGAGGTTCCGAGAAATCATGCAATGTATCCTTATAAGATAGCTCTTCTAAGAACTATAGCTTCGATGGATTATGAATTCACAACGAGCTAGCAGCTGGTCTATTAATTAAGCAATTATCAAATATCACCTTCAAACCCATAAACCAAAACCCCAATCACGCCCTTGTAGCCCTCTTCCCGCACGCTCGGATGTAGTTCCGTGATCCGGTTCCAGCGCAACTGGTTGTTTATGCAGATCGGATCTTGACGAATGTAGTAGTGCTTCAACCTCTGCGCAGTCGCCTCTGCCTCTGACATCGTCTCGTTCACCAGGAAAACATATCTGACACGGAAAAACTCGTACATCGGCGCTCCATTTACGGCTTCAGACCACGAAGGACGTGCAGTAGTAGTCTCGAAATCAGTCGCATCTCCTGGGTAAGGCGACAGAAAGTCCTCGAGCATGGACGTGTTGATCTGCGAAGGTGGATCTACAACCATGGCCATGGCTGCTTCGAGACTCATGCCATCGCCTTCGAGTAGTTTGCCTTGCAACTCTAGAATCTGCGTCAAAGTCGCGTTGGTGTCATTGCCCAATGCCGCCAAATCTTGGACCTCCGCTTCGAGAACCGCGATTTCAGCTTTCAACTGCGCTTGAGCAGCATTGGTGCTTTGCATGATCGCCATCCCTCCTTGACGCCTCAATTCGTCGAAGAGGGCCTGTTCCGCTGCTTCCACGTCCGCTGTCAGCATTTTCATCAATCGGTAGGCGTGACCCAGTACGCTGGTGCCGTAGGTATCCATAGGGCCAAATTCCATAGGCACAGGGAGCTCCTCTGGATAGGGAGCTTGTTGCGCTTGCAAAGCCTGTTGAGATTGAAGGAGTGCTTGTTCTGCGTCTTCTGAGGAGATCGCTGCTACTTGAGCACCTGCCATCATCATATCCGACGCACCAGGAGGTGGAGGTGCCATTTGGATGTACGTGGGCGAAATTAAACCGTCTGCTGGATTTATGATGGGTGAGATGATGTCTCCAGTCGTAGGGTCTCGGTTTGGATAGACGTACTGGGATCTGTGAATAGCCTGCAACGGTGCGCCTCCCAGCGACATGATGCTTTTTCCGCCTAGGCCATTCTTGGGCCACGTTTCTGTGACTGGGACAAAACCCGCCAGAGCCGTGCCTAGAGGACTTGGCGCTCCGAAATACTGCGTTTTGACTGGAGCAAGTAACTCTGAACCGGCATGGTTTTGCAAAGCGCCACCCCGATTGGCGTAGCCGTAGGGTGTGCGCGTCTGACGATAGGTGTTGTCGACTGGCGTGCTGTACTCGTGAACACTGTCGTAAGCGGCGCTGTAGAGCTCTGTGGTGTTTCCCCGAAAGTCCAACGTCACGCCGGACAGACCGCCAGTGGCTTCCGTGTAAAACGGATAAGTCCCGTTTCCAAAGTCGTTGCCGACAGCAGCTCCCTGACCCTCGGCTTCGCTGATCAGATTGGAGCAGACACTGGGACCGACGTTCGGAATGTTGTAGTCTGCAGCGACGTAAACTGGATAGTTGTCAGCAGTGTACTCAATCGTGACGTTTTCACTGGTGTCGCGTGGCAAATGCTCGATCCTTGTGTGGCATGTCATGCGAGACTTGTTCGGGACTAGAATGTCGTGGCAAAGAGGGTAAAAGATCGAAACTTCAATCGGAAAGGTTCTCTTCGCTTTGACTGAAATCCCGCTACGCCTTTTGAACTTGCTCAACAACTCCAAAGTCGCTAAAGCCGTCTCGCTCAACTGGATAAACGGACCCATCTCTTGTCCTGTGCCGTTTCCGGCAGAAGCGGCTCCTGTTGTACTTCCATTCGAGGAAGCTAGAATCGCTTGCTCGTTGATCATCTGCTGAAAGAGTGCAGCGCCAGCTGGGTTGGACTCGATATCCGCAGAAGTTGTATCCGTTACTCCAGGATAGCTAGTAGCAGAACCCGCCGCCGCTCCTTGTGGAGTACTTGCATTCACCACTGCTCTCGTTCCAAATCGCTCAAAGTCGTCGATCGTCAACGTGTGACGCCCATTTCCACTCGTATCAATACGCTCAAGTAACGACAGAGCTGGTCCCACATCCGGCAGCCTATGCCAATTCTCCAGGTCACACTGCTGCCCATACACTGCCGTAGTCGTTGTGGTCGTCGTCGTGTTAAACTCTGTTAGAGCTGCGCGTAGTGCATCTTTCAAGTGCATCCTTGAAAAGTATGGGGGAGTCCTTTTCCCTTTGGTGGATACTCCTCGTCCATACATTTCATCGAGGACGCAGCGTCCTACATACATTTCATCGAGGACGCAGCGTCCTACATACATTTCATCAAGGATGCAGCGTCCAAAGATGTTCTCAAGCAGTACAGCCTTAACTCTGTGATGTTTTCAAGCAGTACCTGGTTCTCCGCATCCAACTGTGTTTGCGCTTGCGCTCGACAGCTGCGTGGACTCATATTTGGGATTCCGTGGTCTCGCAAATTTTCCTCGAAGAACAACTCGGTGTACAGGTATTGCCGCAAGTGGTGGATCTCCCGCATCAGGTTTCTCGCGTAGTGAATCACCGCATTCACGGTCGGCGTGTCTTCGTACAAGATGGGGAATTTCAGCAGCGTGCAAAACGGCACCATGCGAGTCACTTCGTTGAACAAGTAGTCCGAACCCCTGTGGAACCAATTAAACGAGCTCAAGCCAAACACGTCGCTCAGAATCGTTCGTCGCAAAACGTTGGGGTAATCGGGATCGCGGTAGAAGATGGAGCGTTCATCGCGGACTCTCACACGTGGGTCTAAGAGGACGACAGGGGTTGTTGTGGTAGTTGTGGTAGCGAAGATTCTGACGCCAGAGTTGCGAGGAAAATCTGGATCCTCCACGAATTCGTAACTCGGACACTGGAATCCGGAGATTTAGCGAAGAGAAAACCCCAACCTTACGCCAGCAACCCAGTATGGATTCCCCTTGTGTAAAAGGGGAATGAGAAGAATGGGCTGTGTAAAGGGTTGGGTTTTTCTGTGCCTTAAGTGATGTTGCCCCAAACACTCCAAAAACCCGGCATAGGATAGCGGCTCTGCATGGTCCAGTTCTGCGTTATGTTCACCTCTAGTTGTGTAAACTTGTCCGCGTATTTCTCCCCATATATGTTCTGCAGATGTTTCGACAAATTCCACCCTTGAGCTCGCACCATGAATTCCGCTTTGGATTCTTCTGCCCCTTTTAAACGTCGGCATTCATTGGTCACTGATGCTGAAAGAAAAGGGCCCCATACCCCTCTACTTGTTCTCCCTTTGTTTTCCCCCCATCTTTCCTGAAGGGAGCACCTCTTCGATCGCAGTGACCAATCTCAGTGACCAATGAAAGTTCCCCCTTAACCCTTGTTCTAAAATGTGCGCCTTTGCGTCGTCGTTCATGGTTTGGATGGGTTGTAGAGTGGGGTCGCGGAGTTCGTCGATGTGGTACAATCCTGCCGGTAAAGGATTCCACACCATCACTTGCTCTATCCTACTTGGGTCCGTCATTCTCAAAATGTTGTTGGTGTCGACCATCAAGCAAGTGTCGTTGGCTCTATGCTCCATACGGAACCCGGTGCCCTCGTACTGCAGCTGGAGATCTGGCTCTTTGGCTAAATTTTCCGGCATATCCTCCGGTGCAGTGACGTTTCTAGTGTTGTTCAGGAACATGATGCTCGCATCGTACTGGAAACCCAAACACTTGCCTCGTACGGGGAGAGCTAAATCTTCAAATTCGTACCGCGCTGGTGCCTGTAGAATAACGCGGTCGTCTAACTTGACTGGGTCCGTGAATTGAAACTTAATTGCTTGATCTGTCAATTGCAGAACGTCGCCACGCTTATCGGTTGGTATCTGCACGTCTAACAATGGTGCAGGCAATTGAATCGCGAAACCGGTTGAAAAGGTTTCATCAAACGCGAGCCATTGTGGAAAGCCTTTCTCGTTCGACAGTATCGGATCGTACGTGTCGCCGAGAAAACGCCATGGCACCGGAGACAACGTCAAGATCGGCGGATTGAACACAAACAGCGTGATCGTGTACCTGTAACTCCCCGCTCCTCGGAAGCCGTCTGCACCATTGAAAGTGATCGTCGCTTCGTTGTATGCTGGATTCCCCACCACGCACTGCGTTGCATTCGCCTCGCGGTCATTGGTAGAGTCCGTCAAGTAAGGCACTTCACACACCAAGCAGTCGCCTTCGCGGATCACCTCAAAATTGCAAGCTGCGGTCATCGGGTCGACAACCTCGAAAAAGAACCCTTGTGGCGCAAAAATCCTCACTCGACCATAGCTCAAGGTCGTCGTTCTCCCAGGCAAGGCGGTCCAAGGCGAGAATGTGATCGCAACTGGCGTTGCGCGTGGACCGCCTGTCGTGGTCGAAATCGGCACAACAGATAGGTCTCGCCAAACCCAAGGTTCAAAGCCCTCTGCAGCTGCTGATTGAGACATAAAGCGCAAGCCCCAACGATTCGACTCTTTCTGGATCAACCCGGATGGGTTCTTCTCCACGTCAATCCTCAAAGCGTATTTAGTCGACGGCGCAAAAGTTGCGTTGTCCGTGTCCAGGTAGTAGACGTTCTCTTCTCCCCAACAGCGGTACTTGTATCGGTAGATGATCCCTGGATGCGATCTGTTAGCCGTTGGATACCCACCATAATCCCTCAAAGTCGTTGTATTCGTGAACAACGCGTCTTCTGGATGTCCTGTGCCGTATAAAGCAAATCCAACAGGCCATTCCTTCGCGTCTTGCAGATGGCGATTGGTTTTCCACTTATCCCCTGGCAAGCCTGGCCAAATGTCGTCTGTGTAATTCAAGTGCGTGGTGCAGTCCAAAGTGAATTCGTACCCAAGCGGTGCCACAATGCGTAGCAAACCTCCCGCAAACCTGGCCGGTTGGTCCGCTGGTTGTTGGTCCACGAACACCGTTCCTGCGTAGGTGCAGTTTGGACACAAAATTGGGTCGTAGATTAGAGCTCAAAAAAAATTCACTTCTAGGAAAAAATGCAATGTAGACATGAATTGTATAATTGAGGCTTAAGTAGATATCGGCTTCCGCTTGCAACACACCCGTTTCATTCGCCAATGCAATCGCAGCATCGTCCAACAAGGTTCCGATCGTCGCCCATCCGCCCAATGTAAACACAAAGACCAAGCTGTTCTGGCAGTTCGGCCTGTCGCAACGCATCGACGCTCTGATTTCAGCGAAGCTGTCGGGTTCTGCGATGTAGACCTGTTTCATCGGATGCCGTATCTCAGGCATGCGAGTCGAATAATACATCTCATGCTGGTACTGAACGATCTGATCTGTGTTCGAGAGCCAGTTTTGAGTCGCCGGTTGAATATAAGCTGGATAGGGAACGAAGCCGGACAGCTGGTTCTGGTTGTTCAGGTTCGGGAGATAGTTGGCGAGCCATATGGAGGTTAGAGGAAGAGGAGGCAACTTGATGTTCATTGGTGAGAGGGCCACCAGATGAAAAGTCAAGAAAGTAGCAGTGCATTTCTCATTTTAATCTATAACGGTAGTAAGTATCTGCAAATAAAATTCAAATTGCACGGTAGAATCAATTTCTTTGGTGTACTCAGAGTCAGAGTTGTGATGTTATCATCTCATCATCCCTCCCAACATAAAGACTCTCCCATTTTGAGCCAAGGTATCATCGCACTGTTAATCTCTAATGGCAGAGGTGTTGCAATCGTCGTCCACGAGTATGGCGTTCCTGGAAATGCCGACGGATCGGAATCGAATATCCTCCTACTTTCTTCCAAGGAATCTATGTCTCGAAACATCGACACCAGAGTAAAGCAATGTGTGTAGCCGCACGGCGTGTCTTCGCCGGATTGTTGAAGTATTGGGTCCGGTCCTGGGTTCTTCACTTGCAAGGATAACGCGTAGCGACCCTTGAGAAATCGTTGTCCGTTGGCCTCCGGAGACTGAATGATCACCCGCACATTGTTGATCGGATACTTCGGCAGGACCGGATCAGAGGTGTCCAAGCTGAAGTAATACACGGTTCTACACGTCACATCAGTCGGCAATGGGTTGTAGGGTTCTTTGTAGCGCTCGTTCGATGTCAACTCCGACAAGGCTTGGACCGCCGGATCGTCGAAAGTGACCGTGACCGCCACTTTCGCATTCCTGCTATTCGAGATGTCTTTGACAATGCATTGAGGCTGCGTTTCTCTTACTACTCCGTCAAAAGGCGGTCTCGTAGGCACTGCGCCAGGAATGATCGGGAAGTGTTGCGCATACTCGAACCTATAGGGCGAGTCCAGCTCAATGGTTCCGTTCTCTGGCAACGGCCTAGAAAGTTCGAAGTCTAACTCCAAGGCCCCTTCTGCATAGGTTAGAACTAATAGAGAAATCCATCTTCGCGCGCATCCTGGAACCTTTTCCCCCTTCAAAACGGTCTCAGGATGCCTGTGAAGATGGATTTGTGGTAGCCTTAAATAGGGCGCGACGTTCTCCATATTGACGATCGTGTTGCGCAAAACATGCACTTCTTCTGCCAAGAATGCTTGGCCAATGTCGGATTTTTCGTCTATGGTCTCAACAATTGGTTCATTCGCCACTTTCGCTAGCTCCTGCAGAGCTGTGCTGGTTCTCAAGATCGTCAAGGTATCCAATTCGCTGGCGGACAATTTTTGCGCTGTGCTAGCACTAGTAAATGTTTGATCAAAAGTGTCGTTGCTCATAGTCGCATTGGTTATCAGTTCCACGTACCAGTTGTTAGTACTGCCTACGGGATTGTAGTCTGGAATCTGGATCCAAGAGCGGAAACCGTAAACACGACCGGATTGAAAGCTACAGGGTCCTTGCCAAGCCAGAACATTTGCGAAGGAAGCTAGGTGCGTTCCTGCAGGTGTAATCGGGCCTGGACAATCATCGAAGGTGCCATTCACACTGAGGTTGAACAGCTGATACTGCTCAGCGGCTGGTAGAAGACCGTTGGCGCCAGGAGGTGTTGCACTTCTCGATGAAGAAACTGGAGCACTAAATTAGGGGTGGAAGAAAGTTGGCCCCCCTCTAGTAGGTCGCATATCTGTGGCTTTCCTAGAGGACTTGAAGAAGACATAGAGACGCGCATAGAGATGATAGATAGGTCAACTCCCATCAAGCCTTAACTAGAAGCTGTTGAAGAAGGTAACGAGGCTACTGGCTGCGCTCGCATCCGATACATGGTTGAGTTCTTCACGATTGTGGTCGTGTAAGGCAAGGAGAGATGCGGTTCCTCAGAGACTTCGAACCCAGTGAAGTAGGATCTAAGCAGTGCGTTGCCATTCTTGGCGTCCCAATCCCATGTGTAGCCTGCTGGAGCGGTCACCCGCAGCGTTCCCTTCAATCCACCTAGTGCCAGGTTGTGAATCGTCACTGGGGTCGGGCGTCGCGTCAAGGCGTAAGGCCGAGCGTCGTGGACATGGTACTTCGGTGTGATCTCTAATCCGTGTCGGTGTAATGGCATGGAGCTGGGCGGTAGTTCCAATTGTTAGAGGTACTGACGTGCATCCCTGAGAGCCTCCCTCGGCCCTTCTTCCCCTTGAAAAAAGGGCTAAGGTAGGATGGTGTTGAGGATGCTCCAGCGGTAGCCTTAAAATTGCATAGGGTTAAATGCGAGTGTGTGGTAACTGCGATCTTGCTCCTCACCCCTAGGTGTCAAAGTCGTCAGGTGAAAGACGTACTTCGCGTCCTCATTCCCAAGCAAGTGCTGCGCATACCAAGCTGCTGTGCATGGCGTGATCGAAATCTCAAACGCGTAGGTGAAATTCGCCAGCAAGGGCTCATCCAGGAGTACCACAGCTCTGTCGAAAAAGGGAACTAGGGGGTTTTGATCGATGAGCGGCACTTTGTAGGTTCCAACACAACTTCGGATCCGTCCGACGCCAAACGTTCGATCAAAGTCCGCTCCCTGGTAGATGTTCCCGTATTCGTCTGGAGGTTGAAAAGTGTAGCACTGTGGGATCACCTGGAAGCCGTCTGGGAAGTCGAGTTGGAGGCCCCCACCAGCTAGATTAGAGCTGTCCGCAATTCATCTTTCAAGTGAATCCTTGAAAAGTATGGGAGAGTATTCCCTTAGGATACTCCTCCATACGTAGTTCCAAGGATACGTCCAAAGATGTATTAGGTACAGCCTTAACTAGAGTGCCCCGATTCAGACGGAAAAAGACTTGAAGGACCGTCTCTTTCGCGAATTGAGGATGAACCGGTTGCAATAACGAGCTTCGTTGAACCAAAGTTCCCAACACTGTGAAATTTCGCGCCCACAGATAATCGTCCGGCAAAACCAGTCTCATCGGCTCTCCCAAAACTAAAACGTCCTGTAAGCTGTGCGGTTGCTCCACTGGAATCAGCAAGGTTTGTTCGACAGTCGACTTGTTTGGATGCACTGGCCACGTGTTTCGCTCAGCCATGATCGGAGAAAACGGGTAGATGTGAAAGTAGTACCCATTCGGATCTACTTGTAGTGGTGGTGCATTGTATTAGAACTCACTACATAATTCCATCTTTTCCCTCATCTGCTTCCGCTTTTCCTCTTGCAAACAGCTCACAGGAGATGGGCTGCTAAAAGATGGATTATAACTATATGTATAAGTGAGGTCTTAATAGTAGTTCGCACCTAGCCGATTCGTCTCATCCAGCATGTTGACGAATTCATTTGTCACGCCTTTGGTAGCCATATCCGCTAAATACTCAGCCGCCGTCGGACCTGCAACCATGTCTCCAGCTGATGTAATGTCCCACTCCCAGACGTTGGCTACGTCGTAAATGCTCATAGGATTACTCGGATTGTCTGCCATCAAGTAGAACCAAAACCGTTGCTTCTGATAGAATCGTAGACGACTGTCTAACTGAATGGTACAGATGTTGTCCGCATACGTTATCATGTCTAAAGCCACGCGACCATTGTACCTCACAGTGTCTCCAGTCTGGTTCAAGTACAAGAAGTCATTGGAAACCGGACCGAGGTAGAGACATTTGTAGCCACTAGGGAGTTTCAATCGCCAACGCGAAGTGGGACCCAGAGAGTAAGGTAAGATGAAGCGGAGGTAAAAGCTGTTGCCTTTCTCGCCAGCGAACCGAAGGGGTGTCGCATAACCTCGCTTATTCTTAGAGGTCAGCAGTCATTGGTCACTGACTCTGAACGGGAGGGACCCCCCCATATCTCTCTACTTGTTTTCCCTCACTTTTCCCCTGTTCTCTCCAGGGGGACCAACCTCTTCGATTTCAGTGACTCCAATCTAGAAGATGGTGACCAATGAAAGTTGAGCCTTAATATTCACGATTGCAGCAGTAACCGTATTCAACGTTGTGTAATTCGGCGACTGGTAAATGTAAGCTCCACTATTAGAGTCTGCTAGATTGCATCCCGGCCCCCTCATCTTGACCCCTTCTAATACCTTGTATTTCACGAGAAGAATACAGGGGAACAAAAGGGGACCAAGATGCCGAGAATGATGGAAAAATAAAAAAGCTGACCATAACACTAGTCGTTGTGTAAGAGGGATTCAAATCGTCTTTGTCCGTCAATTGCACGCCCCAACGGACGTTAAAGAATCCTTCTGGCTGGCGATCGCTCCAGGTAACTCGAAACAGGTTTTGCTCCTCGTAGCCTCGTACTCTTGGCTTCATCCCTATCGGCAAGTACATTTTGATCGCCTTCTTGATTTCGTACCGACTGCCACCGCCACAAGCGCAGCAGACTTGGTTGGCCACTTTGTTGCGTTCTGGGTACAAAGCTCCATCAGATAGGCAAACGCCGCCGATCCGGACCTTGCCGGTATTTGGGTCAAGCTCTTGATAGCTGTTTTCCCGATACCAATCGCACGTGTGGTTCGTGTTGCGGTTATCGTTCCAGTCGATATCGATCAGAGTACCCAGGATGCGGACCTGAAGTAGTAGATAGCGTTCTATTTAAGACAATCAAGACAATTGCAGTTGTAAGGAATCAAGGAGTCTCATCAAGCATTAGAATCTAACAAACGAAGTAAGTACTTACATCAAACGAAGTAAGTACTTACATCAAACGAAGTAAGTACTTACATCTAGACTTGTAATCTGTAATAATCTGTAAATCTCATTCCACTGGTACCTTCGTATCCGTACAGTTTTCGCTCAAAGGCACCATTTCACACGCAGGTTCGAATTGCGCACACTTCCTGTTCGGATCCGTCTGAAAATCCTGAGCGCCCTTCTGACGCTTACATGTTGTAGAGCACGTGGCTGTATCCGGTAAGCGCCAATGGGTTAGAGGCCACATGAATAGACGCACTATCTGCTCTTCAATGATCGAACTATGCGTCGACTCAGACTGCAGAAGGAATTGGAATGACTTGGAAGTTCCAACTTCCTGCAGGCCGTTGTCGGCGTAAACCATCAGGCCCCTGCTAGGGTGCAAAACGCCGCGTCGGGACAAAGGACCGCAATCCCATTGGTTGTGAAGTTAGAGGGTGCGGAGTAGATGCAGATGGTTCTATTGACAACGGGCACTAGCACTACAACAGGGGTCAATCTCAATACTTCTACGAGGCAGTAGTTGTACTAAAATATCAGCGAAGTCGAAGGCACTAAAAAATGTACTCTCAATCATCAAGTTTCCGCACCTTAGTCTTAAATATTATTTATCACGGTAATATCATCTGTCATAAGGATAGCACCACTGGTCGTCGTCTCGCGTTAGCAACGTAGACGGCAAAAAGACGTCTTCCAACTCGATGACTCGGTTCAAGTCCTTCTGCATATCGCCAAACGCCGTGACCTGGAAAACCGCATCCTGCTTCATCATAGCGGCAAACAAGACGATTTGATACTCGGTGTTCTTCTTCAGTCCATTGTTTTTCTCCAGGACAACGATCAGTTCGAATTGTTCATTCGCGATCTCGTAGTAGCATCCTTGCGGTACTGGAAAAGTGCCAGCTTCTAAATCCCGCTGAGCGTATTTCGTCCCCACTGCGTTGTATTCATCCGCGACTGAAGTGTCGTTGCTCCACACTTCCCTCAGGAGGTAGCCACAAGTTCCCTGATCCCGTTCGTGGATTTCGTTGTGGGCGAGGTCTCTGAGAACCTTGTGGCTCCCATCAGCTGACCACATCTCTAGACGATCGATAAAAGGCACAGCAAGTCGCAGACGCATTTCGTTTTCGACGGTTTCGGGTCTTAGAAGAGGGTGTGATGAGAGTGACACTTGTACGACGTCATCTCCTTATCTATCTATGCTAAAAGATGACGTTGCAGTCATAGTACGTATTCAAACTCAATTTTGGTAGTACGTATTCAAAGTAATACGTGCCTCAAGTACTCAAGTACTCAATCTTCATAAGTAATAACTCGTATCACTGGTCGTGAACGAGACGATGACCGGTGCCGGTGCTCCGTGTAACGTCGTCGTCATTTCCAACTTGATGCCTCCTAGTGGCGGCGGTGGATCTACGAAAAACTTCCCCACTGTCTTCTTGTACAAGACCTCATCAGGATGAATTCCGTCAGCCATCAATTCTCCGTCTGACCAACACAGCTTCAATCCCGAAATTCCGATCGGCGAGTAGAGGTAGGGAATTTCCAGTAAGTTGGTTCTGCGCCACTTACCAGCTACGAGGTTGATCGTAGGAAAATCTTAGAGATAGGGGCTTGGTGCTCGTGGACCCCGCTTTTTCTGCCTTTCTCCCTTAGGAAAGGCATAAAAAGCGGGGACAAAAGCACCTTTACCCTGCCCTTAAAAATCCTGAGTCGGGAAGTCGGGGTCGAAGCCCTTGAGATCGAGATTGATTCGGACTCGCATAGTCTCGGCTTCTAAGATTCTGTGACCAACGTTTTTAGCCCTGACCATGCGCATCAAGTCCGTCACTTTCATCGGATGGTTCGCAGCGGGCACTAAGTCGTCGAAATGAATGATATCGCCGGCGCGCATTAAATGCACACCGGAAAACGAAACCCACGTGGAACCGACGCCATTGGCATCCTCAACACGCTCGAACTTCGTGATGACACTGTAGTTTTTAGGTTGATGGTGTTTAGGGTTTAGGGTTAGGGTCTACCTGTTGGTGGTGTTTATGTTTTCAGGTTGATGGTATTAGGGTTTAGGGTTAGGTAGGTTTATGTTTTCAAAGAGCAGATTAGGGTTAGGGTCTACCTTTTCAAAGAGCGTTAGGGTCTATCAAGGGTTTATGGTGTTTATGTTTTCAAAGAGCAGATCTAGGTTGATGGTATTACGGTTTAGGGTTAGGGTCTACCTTTTGTTAGGGTAGGATAGGATAGGATTTGATTCACCGTCCACAGTTTGACCTGCCTCCTCGGGTGTTTAGGGTTTAGGGTTAGGTAGGTTTATGTTTTCAAAGAGCAGATTAGGGTTAGGGTCTACCTTTTCAAAGAGCGTTAGGGTCTATCAAGGGTTTATGGTGTTTATGTTTTCAAAGAGCAGATCTAGGTTGATGGTATTACGGTTTAGGGTTAGGGTCTACCTTGTTTTCAAAGAGCAGATCTACCTCATTATCAAGACGAATACAACCTCATTAATCCAATAATAGTACTGAGTACCGGTTATTCGGCGCCCACGTTCCGTCATTCAAAATCAACGGAAACAAATCTGGCATCACACTCGGATTCCCATACTCGTAATCGTGATCCCTGCATCCGATTCCTGGCAAGCATTTTTTTAGCGCTCAAGTAGATACTTATAATTCATCCTCTACAGAAGTTGTCTGTCATGGTCCACCCAAAGTCGACAGGAATTCTAAAGCCTTAACTGTTTTATATATAGATAATAGTTAAAAGTTGTTCCCCTTGATGTAGTGATATTCTCCCTTTGGAAACAGTCGTCTTCTTCAGGGATGAATCTCTACTGCGATATAATGAGTATTGACTACTTTTGACTCTTCAAGCCACTACATCCGCTTCTGCTTCGATGTAAAGTCATACTATTCTGGAGACTAAATAATAGCCAGGACACAGGTGAATTATCGACACCCTTAACTGTTCAATCGTTGGCGTCGCTGTGATATTCTCCCTTTGGAAGCAGTCGTCTTCTTCAGGGATGATCCTCAACCGGTTTGTGGGAGACAACCCGTATCCCTCCATCGAAAACGAACCCTGCACGCGCGATGTCAACCGCAACACATTGCTTAGAACTTGCTTTGGAAGTCTCCCATTTTGAGCAGCATCTTGGGTCTCCTCTCCTTTTCCCCTTAAAAACGGGACCAAGATGCCTCTGAAAATGGGAGATTTCTTGTACTACCCTTAAATTGCCCGCAGGATCTATGTACGGACCAGACACCGTGATCCGATCTGCAATCATCCAATAATTTGGCCCCTCGTCGCAATTTACACTGCAGTAGCAGACGGCGTAGACACCAGCGATCTTGGGCATCAACGGGTAAGCGGCGGAGCCGAATTGCAGAGATCCTGCGACTTGGCGGACACCTTTCAGACTACAGTTGCTGTTTTGTGTGAGGCACCACGAATCCTCCCAATAGCCGAATGGCATTTCGCCAGGGACGTACCCGGGTGCGGAGGTGTTGATGATTAGAACTAGTAATTCAGCACTACCTCAACATCACAAAAAAAGAAACATCACCTCCATAACCATAACAACACAGACAACATGATCAACTACAACATCACAAAAAAAGAAGCATGATCACCTCCATAACAACACAGTATCTGCCAACGTCAGTTTCCTCAGTCTTGGTGCTTTCAAATCTGTAGCATTCTGCCATGGCCACATCTGATAATTGAAGCACTCGTTTTTTCCAAAATCCCTATTGTAATCCCACAAAAGTTTCACTGTCGGCATATCGACCAGTGGCAGCAAGTGCGTCCTCGTGTCGCTATCAGTCGTATTGGTGTCCAAACTGTCGTAGTAGTTTTGATTGACTTCTGGCAAGTTGGAAGTGGTGCCAATGTAAGCGACCTGGACTGTGATGCTGGTGAAAGTGTTCATCGGAGGCGATGAAAGGGAGAAGATGAGTCTTGGATGATGAGGAATGGATTGTTTGAAGGGCGAAGCCTATAGAGGTAAAAACTTCTTAAGCGGTTGTTCTAAATTTTAGTGCGAGGAATGGAAAAAAGATGAAATGCGCTGTCAATGATAAGTACGAAGTTGTTTTTTGCTTCCGGAAGAAGAACTGCTAAGCATGGGAGCGGGCTCCAATACACAAGAATAAGTACTTCAGATGGTATCTTCCGCAGAATTAGAAACATTCTGACTCATACACTCCTCTGTTTCAACATAACAAAAAGCCTTCTCCCGCGGGTACGACCATCAATGGATGCACGTGCAGTTCACCAACTTTGAACCACGTCGTCGTCATGTTCTGCAATGCTTGAGAACTTTTCGGCGCAAAGTAGTTCGGGTTCAAACTTACACTGGTGTTGTACTCCGGAGCGTGCGAGAAGCACACATCCAATACCAACCCAACCGGGAAACCGTTGTGCGTGCGCTGATCCATGAAGATGTCTTCGTAGTAGAGGCGGCCAATGCTGTCTGAGTTCGGCACGAGGTTGCACTCCTGGAGACCTATTAGAGTCTGCTAGATTACATCTCGGCCCCCATTTTCTTGGGGTCCCTTTACTACCCTTGTATCATTTTTTCACGAGAATAATACAAGGGAAAAGGGTACTAAATGTTGGCCGAGAATGATGGACACTAAATGTTGACCATAAATCTAAACCGCCTAGTTCGCCTATGAGTTTTTCTCTTTCTTCCTCGTACGTTGGATCCGTTTCTGCTGGCAATCTCCCAGTGAAAGGCGAAACGTAGCTCAAGTCACAGTTCGGCGGATAAGTGTGGTATCCACTCTGCACAGCAGTATTACACCCCTTATCCTGTGCTTCCCAGTGCGCCAAATTGTTATCCGCATGCTGAGCGACTAGTTTGATTCTTCCAGAGTTAGCGCTTTCCGTAATTCATCTTTCAACCGTTGTATCCTTGAAGAGTATTATAGACGCACGAGCATAAGCATAAGCATACTTTTCAAGAATGCGCCAAAAGACGAATTAGTTACAGCCTTAACAGAAGATCCACAGTCTTCTTCTCCGCAGTCGACAGAACCGTCAAAAGCGGTAACAGCGATCATAGAAGTCCTTGGTGCATAGGTCGGCTGTGAAACGCCGTGTGACCACATGAGAAAATGGACTCTCCCGACGTCCTGGATGTAGTAATTCGGTTTCATGCACATACCAACGGCAATACCAGGGAAATCCGGACAAAAGCAAAGTTGATACTTGAAACCGAGGCCCAAAGTAGGTTGACTCACGCCTAAATTGTAGTTGATCTCGGTGCGCATCTGCTCGGCGATGTCGCTGGTTAGAAGGAGAGGTAGGGGAAGTATGTATGTGTGGATCATCTTCAAGAATTTGTTGCACGTAAACTACAAATTCCCTAGATTACGATTACCGCTAGAGAAAAAGTGTTCTCGTCTAAGCACTTACTAGCCATCACGACCTGCTCTCCGTAAATCCGTATAATTTCCTGGAATAACCGCTGGTCGATAACTGGTGTCTGCAATCTTGTTACCAGTGATGTACATGGGGCATCCATCCTGCGCAACACCCCAGGATAGCTTCATATGCTGCACTCGACCGACAACAGTTTGCTTATCGCCTTGGGTTAGAAGAGGTGGAAGGATCTTACACTTCGACAGTAGATCAAAAAAAGAAGTCACAAATGTACTCTTGGATTCAACCTTAACGAAAATGAGTGTAAGTACATGTAGCCGTTTAACCACTTGTACTGTCATTGAATCTCTGGACATCATCAATCTGTCAAATCATCGAAGCTCGTGCGTCATAACTGTTGATAGCTGATTCCTTCGAAGTACATCCTGCAATCGTACCCTGATGGCGTGTACTGCACCAGTTCCGAGAAAGGCGCCCAACAGTAAAATCTTCTATTCGCGAAGCATCCATTAGAACTAGCAGAAATCCATCTTGGAGTGCATCTTGGTGCCCGTTTGCCCCTAAGAAACGGGACCAGGACGCTGGGAAAGATGGATTTCCTCAAGCCTTAAATCCAGGTGTCTCACATGTATCGTACAATCCCACTGACTGATACGATACCGCGTTCGAATTTTCGTCGATGTTCACTAGTGTTCCATCATTGATCTCAAAGGACCCACCTGGAGACACGCATATCTTGTACGCTCCACCATGCCGCATCGTCGCTCCCGGATCGAACTCCCACCGACCTTGCGAAATGTCGTCGCTGGCTGCAGGTATGATCGCACTAGCATCATACGGGCTGCCACTATCCTTGAACTGATAAAGTGGGCACTCACCTAGAATTGCGAGTTGTTGTGTCACTTCCGCTTTCACCAGCATCATTTTGGCTGTGGTCCCCAACCACGCTGACTCTGATTTAGAGCGCAAGACATTTCATTTCTTGCGTGCATTTGCTTTCTGCCCATCCTAAGAAGGAAAGAAGGAGAAATGACTTGTAGAAATGAATTGTATTGAGCCTTAGCTGATAACTGGATAGTGATCGAGTATCGTTGTCCGGCGTAGAGCTTTCTGCCGAGATCAGAAAGCGATGGATCCGTGAAAATCAATGCTGGAGGTGTCAACTGCACCACGCCTAGGGATCTTGTTATTGTCGCCGTCCTGCTTGGCGATGTTGACACGATAGAGCTACTACTTGGCCCAGAAGAAGCCGTTGTCTTCTGAAGAGCATGCTCACTAATGCTACTACTTCTATTAGAGGTAAGTTTTTGGTGTTCGTTTATCCCGCTTGTTATGGATGTCCCCCTTAGGAGAGCCATAACAAACGGTAACAAAAGCACCTTTAACCTACCCTTAATTCTAGCGCCTTCCTGTCCAAATCCAACGTTGTTGTTGTTTTCATCCTGATTTCCTTCTCGCTCCACTAAGAACTCTGCCTCCTCACCGTAGTAGGTTCCGTCACCCATCGCTCCTTCATCGTCTTCCTCATCCCCTGGCATCGGAATGCCGTGACCCGCATGGTATTTAATCAGCTGTTCTGCAAACTCCTCATTCGAAATACGCCTCAGTTGCGACATGGACATCGAAGGAAAGCGAGCAGGACTGTTGCTTGCAGAAGTGCCTGTTGCAAATCCTGGAATACTCGTGTCAGTGGCGGGTCCTATACTTACGTCAGCAATAGGACGCAGTGTTCCTTCCTTATCCCTGGCGACCACGGTTCGCCCAAAGTCAGGCACTGATGATGATGAAGCTGCCTTTGCCGTTTTTTCCTCTGATGATGATGATAATGATGATGATGCAGGCACACCAGATTTCGCCGCTTGCTCTTCTGCAGCTGCTGCCCCACATCCCACTAGGAAGTTTGATGGACCGGATGTGCCGACTAGTAAGAGAGCGAGAACAGCCATCCTCGTGCTTGAGGGCATCGCGCAGGCAACTATTGCCTGGCCCTCTGAACGAAGCAAACGAGCGTCCTGTGCCATCTTCGTCGACCAGCACTAGTGATCGCGTTGCGACCACTCAGGTGCTCGTCTGGTGTCCTCCCGCGCCCACGCAGGCTGCAGACGACGCGAGACTTCTATCCTGTGCGGCGCCTGTGTCGTAATCCAGCTACGACAGCTCGACCCCCGCTCTGACCATTCAAAAAAAACATTGTCCTCCTATGCACACGCTCCCTTATGATCTCGCTACTGCAACCGTCAACGCATCTCTCCTTGTCGAGGAAAGATCCTTCATCATTGCTCTCATGAACATTCTTATGATTTCGTTGCAACATAAAATGACATAAGACATACTTGGTATTTTTCATATGCACACACTTTAAAAACAGAACTACTTTTTACTTGCTAAAACTCATACCACATAGAATTGGACATTGATTTCGCGAATCCATGACATCCTGTTTGACGGGTTTCACTTTCATTTTCTTGATAGAATCAGGGAGGTAAGTACTTGATATTGATTCTTGGCTCGGGGATAAGTATGTTCTCCAGTAAGAGCATGGGAAGGGAACATTAGATGAAAAGGAGGCTAGAACAGCCCCTGCCTTCTCTCATGAAATCATCAGCAGAATCTTTTTGTAGCGCAACTCACTTGCATTTTCTATTTCCAAAGCCTCTGTACTGTCATCCCTCATCACTCGGATTTTCTTCGCTCGATGAAAAAATACTTTTCATCTCTCCTGCTCACTCCCTCGTACGTGGTCTACAATTTTACGGGATTATGCTGATATTTAGTAGTGCTAGTGAACGTAGGAGTAGTCATTGGGGAAAGACCTCCAGCGGAAAACAAGGCGAAGAACACCCAGTACTTGTTTCGCCTATAACGCCAGTCATCTACTTTTTGCTTCTAAATGATTTGTAAATCGGACAATATCTTTTCTCTAAATGAACAAGAAGACCATGTTGGATACTGCTTGGCACCTAATTCGATTTGGATTTCACATCAAACCCTAATTGACCGAAACAAAGTTTGACGCGAGATACTCATCAGGTATCGATACGGAACGGCCAGTACTGTATCCCGGAAATCCGAAGAAGCTGATGCAAGGTACGGCAAAAAAATCGCCGTCCACGAAAAGATGGCTGTTGTGCTCCATATGCTCGCGGGTATTAGAGATGAAGGGGCAAGACGATAGGAGTTCTCTAATTTGCCCTGTCACTGTGTCCCCATCTACTGCTTGTTACTCACTAGTATCTAATTCTTGGCAGTTATACTTGCTGCTCCGTCACGAAACATCACACTTGACACCTTTACCATAAAAACATGCAACTTCTTTCTCTCCGCTCTGCACTGGTGGAACAATTCTAACGAGTGTTCAGCAGGTAATAGGCGGTCTTTCGCGCCATGGATAAACAGTGTCGGACACTTCACGTTTCGCATAGCCACACTGTTGTCGAAGCGCTCTCGGAAAAACGCAGAAATAAACCTCCCTGCAACACTATGGACTGCGTGACGGAGAGAGAAAAAAGGGCAGACTAGCAGAAGGCCGCGGGTGTTAGAACTAAGTAGACGAGGAAGGACGAGAGGTAGTTTTTGTTTACTTGCTTTCAAAAGCTTGTCTTTCGAAATTCACGTCAGTCATCACTATTTATGTTTTGATATAATGTATGTGTATCTATTCTACAGCTGGCACGTTGCCCTTAACAACAGGAAACCGCGAAGCGAGAAAACAGGCTGGTCCAGAGCCTATACTACGTCCCATCAATACTATGTGTTCATAGCGCACCTGCATGACATCGACCAAGAACCGAAGCACGGTCTGCGCCACAAGGTAAATGCCGGATTCGCTTGCAAGTTAGAAAAATTAATTATGCTAGTAGTATTTTCAGTTACAGATACTTAGCACAATAGACGATCTATTCTTGACTTTCCCTTTCGGTGGAGACTGACTTTTCCCTTTCTATGAGGTTGAGGCTCCTTCATCTCGACATACTATATAAATCATTGAGTGAAATGATAAACCCCATCCTCCATAATTTGAACATTCATCCAGCAACCCATATCCCGGATACTCCACGGAGAGGACGTTTATCCTAAACTGCTCTGCCATGTGTTTACTGAATGCATGGCCATGACCGATATCTTCAGCGTTACCGTGGAAAAGATTAGAATCAAAATATTAAAAGCTCTCAATTAATTTAAAATAGGCTCTACTTTACGTCACTACCTAGTACGTAGGACAAAGTTTGAAGAAAGGAACAGAAATGTGCAGCTCGCATAATGAATTTCTCTATTTTAGTATTGAATACACAACTTTCACGCGAACAAGAAAATCAGTCTCGTCTCCCTTCAACATAAGATACACCAACACCGTCGCTGAATTCGATGTCGACGGAAAAAACAGCACCGGAACGCCTGGCCCTGCACGTCTTCTCTCCTCCGCAGATGGGCCATAGGTAGTCCCGCTACAACTAAGACTTTCTGTCTGGTCCTGGGCTCGGTCAAATCTTCGCTCATGCCTGTCTATCTCTGGTTCACAAGGAGCACAGAAAAGACTGCTACTGGTACTGGAGGACGTCCGCCGCGTCTCTTTCGGTCACATTTGAAATGGAGGCTTGGTGGAAAATGGAGCTGACAAAAGCGAAAGATCAGGGAGGTTCATCAAAATCTTTATTCATCTAATACAGGAAGAGCGAAGATGGTCATGCACATTCTGTGTGTATCCCCGGACGATCATCATAATCGTAGCCTCCTTTACTACTTCAAGCCAGTCATACTGTCGGTTCCTGGTCTGTGGGCAAACCTAACCCGTGCTCGTCCCATGGGATGTAGTATAGCGTGCCCACGAATGAGGAACGCTCGTAGCTTCGTCGTGGTGCCGGAAAGATCACCGCATTGGCGAAAGCGGTGAACATTTTCTTTCAGTTTTTGAAGATTTGATGGCTAATTGAAGTAAAGTGTAGTACTTCTGCATAATCTAGTACCTAATCTTTGCTTGTGGTTGTGGAGCCCAGGATACTTCTGTTTTAATCACGATTAGTACGTAATCCACTACTTCTCTGTGAACATCAACATTTCTATTCTGATTTCTTGCCGGTTTGCTCGCAAACGCCAGTTAGCATACTCTTTGGAGCAGTCGCAAAGAAGTTTTCTCTCCCACACCGTTTCCCGTTCAACGTCACCGACTTCAACCTCAGTCGAAGCTGCATTTCATCTCTGTCATTGACTTCCTATTCATATTTCTAACTTTACCGCAGTGCCGCGAGTCTCAACACACCATCTTTGGGCAATTTGCTAGCAAAATTACTTAGGAATGGATGGACGGTTTATTCTGATTGCTCCCGGCTGATTAGATTGAAGAGGGTGGCAATTTGCGTTGGCCTATGCGTGCCTGCGTGCTTAGATAAGATCAAAGAAAGAAGGAGGCCCGACTTGGTCAATGCGTGAGCGCTTTGAGCTCGCCCAGGTACATGCATCGTAGCGCACTCTCAGAGTTACAAAAATGGCGACGCAATAAGACACGAGCGAGCCAGCAGGCCAGCAATTACAAAAGCGAAGGCACGGAGAGAAAACGAAACGAAAAGAAAGAGCGGCAAAGAATCTCACAAATTCGAAGGCGGCCCGGTGTTCTGCTCCGTTTTCCGCCTTCCAGATGGTGGGGCGGCGAGCCTCGTCCCCTCCGTCTTCCACGCGCGTCATGCCCCTGTTCGCGCCGCAAGCGAGCTGGTGCAGAAGCTCGGCCCCCTCTTGCTCAGCGGCGTCGCTGGCGGCCAGACCCTCCCCCGCGGTGTCTTCAAGAGCATAGACCCGGGCAAGCTTCCTGCATTGTCCGTTTTTTTGAGGCGGCCGCTGCTGCTCCGCTCTGCCTGGCTTCCCTAGGGCTGCCAGCTGACAGACTACTGCCGAGGCGACTGCTGTAGAGCCGGGCGCCCCCACTATACTTTACTGGCGGGCGCGCGCCGTCACTGACTGCGGCCGAGCGGTGTCCCCGTGGAAACCCACGGAAACCGAGGGGGCCCCATCTACGAAAGAAAGACACCGAGCCCGCCACGGCGTGTCTCTTGTTTGGCTCCGGTTAACGAATGCCGGCGCCATCTAATGAGACTCCACCTGGCCCGCTATTTGGCCGCACCATACTCCTGGCGAAGCTTTGGCTACGGGAGCAAGCATGCCGCTTTACCTTTATGCGGCATCATACAGCCCCGACCCATCAGAAGCCCAAGAGAATCACGCCACGCACAACCCGCGATGGCCAGACCTCAAAAATGTCAACACGGGGAAAGCGATGCTCTTTCGGGCATCGAAAACGACTAAGGGGAGAAAATAATAAAAGGTGCAGGCCCCCGCCACTGTTTACCAACAAGAACCGAAGCAGCCCGAAAACTTTCGCACTCAATCCGGGGCTTGGGTTCTGCTGTGCTCCCTTGTTGTCAGATTTCCCTGAAGGGCCGCAGTCTTGGGCCCCCATGGTGTTCGCGTGTATGTGGGCGCTGTGCCTTTCTGGTCTCAAAGTAGTGCTTTTTGGTTCTCTTCAAATCTCTACGGCACCGAGAAGACAGAAGAAACAGACAAAAATGAGCGAAAGGTTTGTCTTACAACTTTCCACAGAATTACGCGCCGAAGACAAAAGAATACTTTTTTTACTTCCGGGAACAGATCCGAACAGGTCGCAGAGATAAGTGCATCCTTGCAGCAAATACGACGCACACGCAGGCAGCTCGACAAGATATGCAGACACGAATGCCCGGCGCCTGCTGTTTCCCTAGTGCTGTCACGTTTTTCATATCTCCTGGCATCACGAGGATGCTTCAGTTTTGGAAAAAAGAATAGGAATATCCAGAGTTCAATTGTTGATCGTCATACAATGAATGATGCTTCGCGCTGACTGCCTCAGATCTATCGTTGGAAAAAACACAGTTTTCATCTTCTTCCCCAAGAGACCACATTGAAGTCATGATTTGCATCACAGTCTTCTTCCCCAAAAACCAAGCGCTAAATCCTCCTACACTTCATTTCTCGCTGCGGCTGCAGCTTCCCTTAAGATCTTTGCTGCTCCGCGAGCTGCCATCTCAGCCGCCTCTAGCTCAGCTACCTTGTCTGCAGGTGACACTACCGCAGAGAAAGGCGTAGCTGCTGCGGTCTCTTCTGCTGGTGCACCTGCGTCGCCTGTTAGAGACACCGCATTCCAGAGACTCTCATCCTTGTGCCAGCAAACCCTGTGCCCTTTTTCTACTCGAAAAAGAAGCCAGGCATTACGCTCAAGAAAGTGTTCTCCTGGGAGGTTGCCTTAACTCTCCGGTGCCATCTGATGACTCCCCTTCTAGTTCCTCATCTGCCACCGCTTCTTCCTCGTCGCCCGTGTCTGGCGCAACCGGAACAGTCGCAGCGTCTCCATTGGGATTAGCGCAGATGATGGCTAATGATATGGGAGTGTAGAAGTTCGAAACCAAAACTCTTCCACCGACTTCTCAACTCGTCCATATAACACACATCCGTAACACCAGGAAACTTTCTCTCTGTGCAGAGTCGCAAAGCGAGGTGATTGAGCCAGTATTCCCGCTGACCGGCTGGTCGAGGTTGCAGTTTCGCAATGCCTCCAGGGATGCGAATGATGTTCAGCGATGGTGGAAAGTATGAAAGAAGATCGAGCCTTTCCCATGCGTGTAGAGCAGACCACGACCTATCAAGCACTCAAAAAAAGTGCCAGGGTTGTCACACTTTTTCCCGTTGAAAAAAGTGCCAGGCAATGGTCGCTACCTAGGATGGAAAAAACTACATCCGTAGAAAGCTAGCCCACTCTTGAAAGACGCCCCCGTTACACGCGGAAGAGGAGCTAGCACTAGTTGGCGACGATTCTTCGGCATATGCTGCGGCTGATGCGGTGAAGGATTAGAAAAGGAGTGTCTAGAAGAACTCGAAATATTGCAAGATCATCGTTCGTGTACTGTGCAGTGCATCTTATGTTGACTTATTGGACTTACCAACGAGGCCGACCCTGTTGTTGACAGCAAGTGGAATTCAGTCATAACTTCCGCTTTCCCCTTCACCCGGAGACAACAAGAGAACCATGATTCGGACCCCAGTGGCTTTGAGTTTTTTCGCTGCTGCAACGGCTTGTTCTCGAAATACTGCAGGTGAATGCCCATCGGTCACCAAGACAAGAACTTGTTGTGCTTCTGGTCGTCTGTTTTGTTCGAACTCAGACTCCGCCATAGCCATTGCTTGAGCTGCGTTAGGATAACCTGGATTCTGCAGGGTTAGGCCAGTCTTTGATTAGAGCTCTTTAAATATCGTGGAATGGATGTGTCACCTGCTGCAGTTGCATGATTTATGCATAGACACTCTAGAAAATAAAGAACATCTGTTTAAGGAAAAGTATCAGTCTGCTTCGAATCATCTTCGAAGAAAAGCATAGTTATAGAAAAACATCAGTCTGCTTCGAATCATCTTCGAAGAAAAGCATACTTAGGGAAGGATATATTTTAGGTTCATATCATATGAACAAAGTGATCCTCATCAAGACGGACCCGTAATTCAGAGTTTTCTTCAGCATTGCAGTATTGATCGGGCCCAGCGGCATAGCCAAGTTAGCCTTTGTCGGCTTCATTTCGGCTGAATCGATCTGCCCATTTCCATACACGATGAAACCAATGGTTTGATTGAAACTACCGTACTCGTCGGCTTCTGTGGAACTACCTGGCTGGCTGGAGACCGCCTTTTGGGCCCTTTGCAGGAACGCCTTTGAAGAGGAAGAAAGGAATGCGGGTGCTGGAGCTGCTGCATCAGGTGGAGGAGCTGTGGCTGCGTCAGTCCGATTAGAAAAGGTCGTGGTGAATTTGGGCGTAGTAAGTAGTGCAACTATAGTCTGTAATCGTAATCGGAAAATCCCACTCTTCGTGTGACCTGAGCTCTGCACCTCCACCTTCCACCACCACATAGATCGTAGTACTAGTGCAACTATACTACTCTCACGAAGAAGATGCAGAAAATTGCAGAACATTCATCGCCATATCAACAGAAGTCCCTGTTTCCGCAGCCTTAGCCGCCGCCGCCTTGCTCAATGCCGCTAGCCGCTCCATCTTGAGCTGCTCCGAAGAGACAAAGCGTTTCAACACAAACCGTCGTAGAAAACCCTCCAAATTAGAGCTCACAATGATCCATCTCCTGAGTTCATCCTACCTGAGTTCATTCGACCTCTGGAACTACCATGCTGTTCCTAGCAGTGTAACAATGTCTCCTGTGCAACATACGAATCATCACAAGCCTTAAGCAGAGCTTCCAAGTTCGTGGCACTGTCAGTTTTCGACTGTGCAGACGAAAAGAGGCCTCCCGCTGACATGTCGAATGCGAACAAAATGTCCTGTTGTCCCATACACTGGATACCGGACGGACATTGGGGAGGCACAGTGATCTCAGGTACAGCGAGCATCTCGGACTCCCGAAGGTTAGAGAGAAGGTGAACATCGAACATCGATTTACAGTAGTAGACTCGAGAGAAGGTGAACATCGATTTAATCGAGACTCGTGTTGACTTGTATTACTCTCATCATCATAGAGAGAAGGAGAACATCGATTTAGTAGTACAGTCTAACAGCAAGTTCATTTGAAAACGTCCTCTTCCGTACTACAACTTCTGCTTCTAGTTGTATAGCAGTAGGGTATTATTTGAAAAAAGTTTCTCGTACACTAAAGCGAAGCAAAATAAGTAAATAGCATAGTCGAAGAAGTAGATATCATATCAAGTTACTCAATCTGAATTGTGTGGAAGGAACCACGAAAAGAATCCATATCCAAGTATGGAGCTCAATTGTCACATAGCTTGCGGCGGCAGCTCACAGGAGACAGTCTCGAACCTCTCCGAATCGAGTACGGCTGGGCACATGCCTTCTCCAATAGCTGGCGCAGCAACGTTCCGACGACGTAGGGCGAAATTGTTCGAGGCCGCGCCACCGAGCCGGTCATTACATGGTAAGACACAGCCGCTCCAGGGGGTCCACAGAGGCTCGAGTTGGCACTCCTTGTGGGGATTAGAGCCGGCTGAGTCGAAACTCTCAAAAACGTCAAGAACTCAAGAACTAGTACTGGATCTCAACACTAGAACTTATAAGCTGCAGATTGCTTCCTCAGTCCTGAAGCCATAATGCACGCCGCGCCTTCGATGCCCTCGCATGCGCGAGTCTCTCCAACGTTCAGACACACCTCGCCGAAGTATTAAAGGTGTAGGTAATAGAGTAGCGCTTTCTCTGGTGCCTCTAGTTCTTGAGACAGGATGCCTAGTTGCAATAGAATCGCAGCTGAGTGATCGTCTGCAACGAATTCGTAACCACGAATTCGTAACCCAAACAGAGAGGTCATGATGTAGATCGTGATGTAGATCGTGATTTCGATTTGATGACGAACAAAAATCAAAAGTCATAACCATACTTCGCGGGCTTCAAAACAGCTCTACTTCGTGCCTGCGTTCCCATCCCGCAGGTGACCGTGCACGCGGACCAGTCTTCCCATGGTGCCAACTCACAATCTTGAGGACATTTATGTTGTCCACAGGCTGTTTTCGTCTCCAGCATAGCGTTAGAGCTTAATAAGTCAGGTCATGGTACCGCCTCTTATGTAGCTTAATAAAGCCAACCAATTCGTCTCCAGCACACCACTCGTCTCAGCATACCAAAACATCAATGCATTTCTTCAGTTCAACATTGCTTCAGAGGACAGTAGATTCCCATAAGAGGTGAGAAATTAATAGAGGAATGGCCTGGCTGCATTTTTCAAACAAAAATTAACGTGGTGCAACGAGAACAATCCTGGCATTTCCAAACGTTCAGACACACCTCGCCGAAGTATTAAAGGTCTAGGTAATAGAGTAGCGTAATGAACTTTTAGAATTACGACCGTGAGCCTTAATACCGCACTTATGGCCGAAAGCGTTGGGTTCTTGCGTGATCTCCCTAGACCAGGTGGTGAAACCGCCTTTCGCGCTATCGTCGCAGGAGATGATGGAAGCTGTGGTGGAGATAGGGTTCGCTCAGGTTGATGCTATCATTCTACTCAGGAAAGAGGAGGACCATTCTACTCAGAGGACCATTCACCATTATCTACTCAGAGGACCATTCTACTCAGGAAAGAGGAGGACCATCACCATTATCTCCATTCAGGTTGATGCTATTATTCTACTCAGGAAAGAGGAGGACCATAAACCTGGTCATTTGAAGTTCGTGTTGTCGTGTTGTATGTCGTGTAAGAGAGAGTGAGAGAGTACAATACAATGCAATACAATACAACTGATCTCGCTTTTTCTTTTTTTTGTAGTGCGAGCGAGTTCCGATAAGTCAAAACCTACCTGCGTATTTTCCGCGTAGCTACCGGCGTAGGGGGGAGCTCTTAATCTCCTTAACAAACTACGCTACTGCCCCTACGATTTACATTGATCAAGTGCAGACTGCCGTATAAGATGAGTAAGCAAAATTACAAGTATAAGTTGTACTTTTATTCATCACAGTTTTTTCGCAGCTCCCTTGGGTCCATTCTGATAGCTCACAATCCGCAATAGGCTGTCCAGACTCAGCTGATTTCGCGTGCAATGCATTCCGGATAACTCGTAGAGAACACAAGCGAGTGTTTAAAAGATCGGGGAATTAGATGCAGGTCAGTCTTTGGGTGGTGGATTCATTCACGTTCAGACCACTTTTTGAACGGCCCAATACAATACAATACAACTGATCTCGCTTTTTTTTTTTTTTTTGTAGTGCGAGCGAGTTCCGATAAGTCAAAACCTACCCGCGTATTTTGCGAGCGAGTTCCGACGAGTCGCACAAAGTTCAGTGCAGACTGTCATAAGGGCGTCATAGATGGTCTACACGATGGCTCTCACACAAAGTTTGTAATAGCGAGTACTTTTTCTTCTACTTCGAGGATGTTATTATAGTTTACTACTACTACTACTACTACTGCTACTCTTCGAGGATTACTTGGGTTTACTACTAATACTACTACTACTCCTACTACTAGATACGACTTCACAAGAACATAATGCAGTTCTCGCTTGCAACTGGCTTCCAGTTCTGTGAGTTCCGCTCTTGCGGCGCCAGCCTGCTCGCTTAGTGCGTTCTTGAGTCCTTGAGCTTCATGGAGTGTCTTTGTCACAGCGACTAGCTCACTCCGAAAGTTAGAGTAGACGAAGAGTCAAAAACAGTGAGAGTGAATACTCGTGTCCAACTAGTTTACTGCTAACGGAGAAGTGAAAGGGAAAACGAATACTAGTGACTAACGAACTAGGAGTGAAGCTCGATGCTAATGTCAGAATCAACAGCCGCTAACTGATTCATAACAAGAGTCTGTTTTTTCGCTGTCTCTGTTTTGAGAGCCTCCTGCATGTTGAGGACCCTAGCAGCATGTGCTTGTTCCACTCTCTGCCGTTCTTGTTCAGCCAAACTGATAGATTCGTGGCTCATTCCAAACAGGAACGCCGCTTTTTCCGACAAGCCAGCGCAGTCTGTGTGGAGGACTTTTGTTAGACCAGCGAAAGCGACTATCTAATGTCCTCGTGTGATAGATAGGTCTACTTGAATGAGGAATGGCATAACGAATGAACTCTTCATCTTCGATTGGTTTTGGCTTACCGTCACAAAGTAGGTTCCACTATCATTTTTTAACAACACGCGGCTGGTGAAGCATCTCTGCTAGAATCTATCTCAGCACAAAAAATCATACATAACTCTGGACAAGGACAGGATTCAGAAGCTAGGTCCGCTCCGTCGGCTGGGTCGAGGAGTCTGGCGCGAGTGCTCTCACTCAGCGCGTCCACGGCAGATTGTAATTCGGCAGATTGTAATTCGGTAGAGGAAGAGGATGATGACATTAGAGATTCTGTCATGTGAACAATATTAGAAACATGATGGTGAGATTCTGTCATGTGAGCAAAGCTCCGTGGAACCATAAAGACATAATAATTACGTGCTTCATTACTAACCCTATTCTTGAAGTGGATGTACAGGTTGAGCAGCGTCATGTGGAGGAGCTACTTGAGGTGAGATCAGCGGCAGTTTCGGTGGATGGATCCTATTTTATTACTTTAACCCAACAGCATGCAACCAAGTGTTGATCTTAGCACCTTTGTGAAGCCCTTTTGAGACTGAGAAACGCAAAGCTCCGTGGAACCATAAAGACAACAAAACAACGTGGCGCACCACTTGTGAAGAAGTTTTTCTCCTTTTTCGGCATTGTTCTTCCTCAGCGTCCCCGCATCGCAGTCGGTTCGGTTTGTTTCGAAGCTCCTGGTGCAACTCCTGGATCATTGTCGAGTCACCATGATGTAGTGTGGTGTTCTACTTATTAGAGCAGTGCATGGGTTCTTTCTAAAAATGGTGGACTTCGTAGACCGATGACGTTTATTTACATCAAAATCAACCCATCACCCTTCCAACTTTTTGGTCCTTCTTCGCGAAATGTCCTACTCCTATGCTGGCCTTAATAGCAGCAGCAGCCGCAACCAGGCCACGGCCCAGGCTATCCACGACGGCGCCTCGATCTAGACGCGGTACATTTCCGGCACCTCTCGAGACCTGATTGTCGCGAAAATTAGACTCTTACGGCCCTCTACTTCTAAAAAGGGACCCTAAAAAACCAGATCTATTAAGGCCAAATTCATATTCGATTCATTTCTACAAGAAGTCATTATCATCTCGTGAATGAATGTACCCACTCCAGCAGCGGTATAAAAGACCATTTCACACTACTAACTTCGCTCTACACCGCGACTCATGATCACTGTTGGTGACCCTCATACTACAAGCAACTTTGTACGTCGCTCGTAGATGTCATTGATTGTACGGTATCAGATCCAAAAAAAATGATCCAAACAAAAAACGGTATCAAATCCTAACGAGATTAAGTTCTTAACAACAAGGCCGTAATCGGCACTCCTCAAGCGAAGGTTGACCTCCTGCGTCGCCAAAGCACCTCCTGTGTCGCAGTTCGCGAGAGCCACTACTTTCGCGACCTTTTCAGCATCGTTCTTTTTCGCTTGCACATGAAGAGATAGAGAGTAACTTTTTCCACACAGACACGAATGATTGGTTTATAGTATGCTCGAGCACCCTAGAAGACAGCTCGAGCACCCTAGAAGACAAAGATCACCCCACCCTAAGAGACAAAGATCACCCGAACTCGTATTAAGGTGCACTACAAACTCTGTCCAAAAAAATAGAAATTTGTATTTCATCCAACAAGTCCATATTCTAAATCTGCGGTCAATTCCGTTTGTCTGGTATGAAAAGCGCTTTTCTCGGCATCCAGCCTCTCCGTTAAATTAGAGCAGCTACAGTCTTCACATCCTCTTTTCTACTCAGTAGTACTGTGAAGAGACACTCCTACAGTCTTCACTCTCCTTTTTCTAGACTGCTGGAAAAGAGAAACCATATTAAGGATGCTGTTGAGGCTCAGGATGCATCTGACGCTAACTAAGGATTGATGCGACAGTATCCTTAATCAAAGTAGCCATTTCCGTGGAAACGTCGTTCATTTTCATTACGATTTCCTGGTGCTGTTGGGAGACTTGATTCAACTCTCGAATTGCCGCGTCGCGCTCGCCCTCCAACTGCTCTACTAGAGTTAGTGCTAGCTTCTTCCCCTGTTTTTCGGGAGTGAGTTCCCCTTTTCCACCCTTAATAGTTTCTTTCCCCTATAAAAAGAAGTGAAAGGATGCTCTCTCTGTTTACCCGTTTCTTTCCCCTATAAAAAGAAGTGAAAGGATGCGGGGACTGGGACCCCACTCGGCATAGAAGTCCACATGGAGCAGGGCAATGGTTGTAGTGGAGCAGATCTAACTAGAAAAAACAAAGACCAGAGCAAGCGCTGATAAACTTACTCAGCATTTAGAAGCATCGACCACATGGACATAGAAGTGATAAACTAGCCTTAATAGAGGAGGCTGCGTGCGTAGGAGAGAGTCACAAGACACCACCTTTTTGTCTGCTGCTTGCAACGTTTCCTCAAGCAAGTGGTTCAGCAGGTCGCGACCTTCTGTTTTATTAGATGAGTGGTTTAGATTTAGATTTGTTCATGTAGTATGCCCACGAATGAGGCAACTAAACATACCCTAAAGAGAGATTGCATCTTTCTAGCTGGCTGTTGTCGTCTACTGAGAGATTGCATCTTTCTAGCTGGCTGTTGTCGTCTACTGAGGAACTGTTGTTTGTCTACGTACTGGAGATATGATCTGGAGTCTTCCGCTGTTTGTCTAGTACTGGAGATATGATCTGGAGTCTTCTACTTCCTGTTCGAGAATCATCTTTTTCCAAGACCATAACTGTCGCCCTCTTACTACTGGAGCGGTTGTCGTCAGCAAGGGCTTTGACTGCTATTTGTGGCAGCAAATGCTTGACATTCTGCTCCGCGGTTTCGAGCGACGGCGAAGGCAAGGCATTTTCTTGCACGTGGTCACCATGTGTTCTTAGAACCTACTTGAGGAAGAACCACACGACTAGAAGGAATAGAGACTGCAAAATCAGCCTCGTGCTGAGGAACACGCTATCGGAGGTGAGGGATATCGATATGAAAGATCGAATGATAAAACTCACTACTCAAGCAAAGTACTACAGTGGACCAATAAAACTACTCAAGCAAAGTACTACAGTGGACCACGAGGACGAAGGAAAATAAGAAGCTTCTACTCATTTCAACCCCCATGCATAAGAGAAAACTGCGTGCGTAAGCATGGCAATTTATCCCAACCAAAAGCAGCAACGATCGACCGCCGAGAGGAGAATTGAATCCTCGTGGTCGCTTACCATCTTTTGGATGCGACATGATCTTCGTAGTATTTTTTCGCGTCTTATAATGGACATATGATGTTAGCTGAGGAGAAAATAGCTGAAGAACTTATAGTAGTAAGAGACACGAGGACCTGGGAACTTAGTGGTAAGAGACACGAGGACCTGGGAACTTAATACAGTAAGAGAGTGAGAGACACGACCTAGCAGGTGCTTAACTAGTGAAGAAAAAATACTAGGCTCACTCACTATAAAAATTTCTCGATGTAGTGGAGACCCCACTACTTGAATTTTGAATGTTAAATTCATTCCTTCTTTGCTCTAATACTGCTACTGCTTCTATTTCGCTGGTAAGCTCTCACATCTTCAATTCTTCCATGCATCTCTTCAATTCTTCTGGTACCTTATGTCATCACTCGACTCAACATAATCTCTCTACTAACTTCTCCTTGCCTTTTCTTTTACTCCGAAGCTTCACACTCCCTCGGACGTGCTCTTTTTATGCTCCTTCTACATGATGTTGATCTGAACAACTTTGATGTTGATGGAGGTCTTGTGAGTCGCTGTAAATGAAAACATGAATGTGCACCAAAATTCGTTCCCTAAGGATTCCATTCTGCTCTTGAAGATGACCATGACTCTTCTCAATAAAGAACTTCTGAGATGCAAGCGCGAACAACATCTTCTTGCAGTGTCGCATCGAAGTCCTGCGACTCACAAGACCTCCATCAACATCAAACTTCATTTAATGAAGACATGAATGTGCACCAAAATTTAGAAGAGCAGAAGTCCACAACTTAGAAGAGCTATGAAAACTCATGATGTGTGTGCTAGCGGATGACTTCCGACTCTTGATCAAATCAATATAACTTCAATAATTCGCGTGGTCTTAGGAGGCTCTACTAGCCTCCGAATTTCTGATAACTCTTTTAAGCCATTACATGATATTACATGTGTCTGCTTTTTGAGAAAGCAGGTATCAAATATCGCCTTCTTTTTGCTATGACAATGTAGATACGTATGTAATCGCAACAAAATCGGATAAAAAAACGTCGGTTTTATACGTGCGGGCCAGTGCAACTTTCAGCTTATACGAGTAATTGTTGAGCAAGCGGGAACCACACCAGGGGCCTGCATACAGAGTTCTTATCGAGGACCCCGTTCGTTCGACGATCGAGCTCGAGGATTCTTCATCATCGATCCGTATCTTCTCTAAGTATAAATCATAAGTCATCATCCTTCATCTTGACAAAAGGCAGGCTCTTGCTCATTCTCAACAGACACCAGAGGTTTCCACCATACAATGGTGCATGTGACCCTTGATTTCACAACTGGTGGTAGAGATTCGAACATAGAGCACTTATGAAATGGTAGTCCAGGACAGCGATTTCAGCATCGACTGTAGTTGTTTCTTCTTCGAAACCTGTCGTGGGACTCGTCGGTGATATGGTGTATCATCCAAGACCTAACCCTAAACCGTAAAAGAAGGTTCTCCGAAAGAACCTAAAGGACTTATGGAATGGTAGTCCAATTTTTTCAACCGATAAAAAAAAAAGCAGGATAGGAACACGTTGAAAATGAACAGTCACAGGAAACGGCGGTCCGTACTTTAGCCAGACCATGTTGTCAGAGATTCAGAGTCTTCAATGTTTAGTGAAGTACCAAGTAGTGCCAGCATGCGAATATCTGTGCATGGTAGTACGTAGTACACTGAGAGCATACACGTGTTTAACATTCATAATGCCAATTTTTTTGCAATGGAGTTTTATTGGACATGTCCGAACATCTTTTACGGTGGACAAGTAGGACGAGCTGCCAAGAAGGAGTAATATGTATAAATTTACGACGACAAAATCAGGGTGATCAACTGAGGATGCGAATAAATTTTTCGAGATAAGTAAACAAACTTGATAGATTCCAAGGAAATATAAACGTCTAAACCAAAATGTAAATAACTAGATGGAAATAAGAGATGATGAATACGAGTTTTATACTTCTAAACCAAAATGTAAATATCTAGATGGAAATAGGAGATGATGAATACGAGTTTTATACGTCTAAACCAAAATGTAAATAACTAGATGGAAATAGGAGATGATGAATACGAGTTTTCTCAAGCTGGTTGGTTATCTATAAAGTTTTTCCTTCTTTCAGGGCTTTTCCTGTATGTAATTAGGCAGCAAAAGCTTCTCATTTGTGTACGCCAAAATTTCTTAACAAAAATCCATCATGTTTCGAGGATAGTTCGGGATCTTAGTCGGTACAACATATTAGTTATTCGGAAAGCAGGAATTGATTATTCACTTGATAAATCATGATAATGATAACCTTCAATACAAATACTAATGTCGAAAAGCTACGCTGTATGCTTAACAATCTTGGATTGATGTGGCTTCTATTTTTCACTGCTCGTCCACTAAATTATCCTAAGTCCCCGTTCTACCTCAATGTCTACATCAAGATCATCATGTTGTTCTTACACATCCACGTCTGACCACGAGTTTTCTTCCTCGTCTGAAGTGATGATCGCAACAGCATTCTTGTGCGAATTGATCGGTTTGCTTCGGCATCGCTGCTGGATTACTAGACCGAGCACTGCGGTTGCGCACAGACAGAAGATGAACATTAGAAGCCATGGCGAATTGCCCAGATCAGTATTCCGAAACTGTCGACGGGGCTAGAAGTGAAGATGTATTCTATTTTAGTCAATAAATAATCTGCTACCGTCCGATGTGCTTTATTTTCAAGAGCATTTCTTTATGTTTATTTTCAAGATCAATATTAAATAAGTTCTAGTCAAGATCTGCCGTCCTGTACGCTTTTCAAGAGCAATAAATTCGACGTCAAAATTGAATAAGTAAGTAGCTTAGAGGTTTTTCCATTCGTTCCCTAAGGATTCCATTCTACTTGAAAATGAATATTCTGCTCTTGAAGATAATATTCTGCTCTTGAAGATGACCATGAAACTTCTCAATAAAGAACTTTGTTTACAACTTTTTAAGAGGGCCTTAAGATGAACAAGAGAAAAAAAAGTGCGCAAGAAGACGTCGAGATGGACACCAGCTCCACCATTTTAAGTCCTTGTTCTTCTCCCGAAAACATACCGGAGACTATGAGTTGCGCTGCTACTCCTGCACTCGCAGCCATAGCGTCTACAGCTTTGATGGAGGGAGTAGGAGTACCAAGAAGAGCAGTAGGAATTGTACCAAGGGAGAACATGTCATGCGTGGTGCGTCTCTGATAGTGCTGTTCGTGGCACGACCCGCAGGGACTAGTTCTGAGATGCAAGTTTAGGGTTCTTGATCGCGTCCGAGATGCCAGATTGCGAAGTGAGAACATCATGCTCCTCTTAAACGCGAACAACATCTTCTTGCAGTGGCGCATCGAAGTCCTGCTAGAAGAAGGCCTCATAGTACCCACAGTACAAATACTAGAAGGCAGTAACAAGTCACCCATTTTCTTGAAGGCAATGGAATGCACTTGGAGACAGGATTTCTTGAACAAGACAATGGAATGTACTTAGATGAGATCGGCTAAGATAGTATCGGCTAAGATCTTGTTCTGATCAAGAGCGTCCACGAAAATAGGTAAAGCTCTAGACGGTTGCAACGATATGATATGGTTCCAGCTATCAGCGAGTTGGAAAATTCTGAGTAAGTATCCAGAGTAAATGCAGAGATAGGTAACAACAGGTGGGAAACTCGATTGAAAGAGAGCAGCGCCTGTTGAGGTATCATGAAGGGGAAAGGTGGCATCGCCTTAATCAAAATCAACGCTCACATGATTACAAGTAGCTTAGTCATGGTTCTCAACAGAGCTCCTCTTCTAACAGATGAATACTGTACTACGATTCCCTCATACGAGTATCCACGGTCCCTCAACACAGGAGCAGGTTGCTGCCTCTCAACAGAGTGTGCAATACGCTGGACAGATTGTAGACGTTTACGGCCATTACTACCTCACATACTTTTAACTTGTTCACCTCCTCTCTCAGAAAAGTAGCTTGTCTCACGAAAGTAGCTAGCTGGTTCTCATCAGAGAGACAGACGCGTTCCCAACAGAAAAATAGGATAAGTAGGCACCACTAGCAGGAAAGTGAGTCAGAAACTTACAGACTTCAGTCCCAGTCCTTAAGACTCTCTAATAGGGACAATATGGGAGTTGACTCGCCAGGGGTAAAAACTGTAATGGACGCTAAAATTAGACATTGTCTTCAAAGTAGAATTTCCGAGGTATCACATTGAAAAACAGCCCTGAGGTATCACATTGAAAAACAGCCAAGGGAAGCGGCGGCCCGTCCTTTCGTCGATCAAGTCCATGATGCCAGAGAGTAGCGTCAACATGTCAGGGAGTAGCAAGTAGTGTCAACATGTGAATATTCACGCGTAGTCGGGTTCTAATGTATTGTCCTCATAGTTAGCCGCCTGGCTGGTTGGATCGTTGCCGAGTCGTGGCCCACGCTCGTCTGGCGGAGCAGTTGGTTGGCTGGTTGGTTGGTTGGTTGCCGAGCCGGAGCCCACGCTCGTCACGTCCAGCGGCCAGGCTGGTTGCGCGGTTGGTTGGTTGGTTGGTTGGCGAGCCGGGGCCCACGCTCATCCAGCCGCCCGGCTGGTTGGTTGGTTGGCTATTAGGGGCACACGCTCGCCCAGCGGGTGCTGGTTGGTTGGTTGGCTGGTTGGTTGGCTAGTCGGGGCGCACGCTCGTCCAGCGGGTGCTGGTTGGTTGGTTGGTTGGTTTGTGGGCTGGTCGGCTACCCTGGGGGGGCTGGCGGCATGGCTAAACGGAGGCCGCTGCCGTTTGAAAGACGGACGCGATGGGCGCAATTCCTGCTATAACTGCCCGACCCAATCAGCACTGCCACCGAATCCCGCCGGCTGGTTGGCTGATTGGAATGACGATCCAACCAACCAACCAACCAACCAACCGAGGCGGCCCTCCAGGCGCGGGGCTATTGTATATCTTGGGCGACCTTTCCAGGTTCAATATCATCCACGTCGGTGCCGCGCACTCGATCCAAAGATGCCGCTTTTCCCTCATCCACGTGCGCTTGAACCACCGCAATGGGGATTCTCGCACCTGCCTGCTTCTCAGTCAGGTGTGCTGGGGCTTCGACGAGATAATCACCTGTACACGGCGGGCATAGACGCTGTTCTTTCCCGAGCCACTTTTGAAGGATTGTGAAAAATAACTGCTAAAGCAAACGATCAAGATACACTACGCATAAGGAGGTGAACTCGCTGCTGTGCTAGCCTATTAGCACTGACTGCACTAGCAGACTTAACACGGACTCTACTAGCCTACCGGGCACTGTAACTGTACTAGCCTTATAACACCTTTGGTGTCTTCAGTCGCGTTTTCCATGCTTACCACTCTGTTCCGCGCCATGTGGTGTGCGAGTTTGGACACATCCCAGTCAGGTTCTACGCCCAGCAGCCGGTGTTCATATCCGAAGTCTGCAGCTGCTGCCGCCGCCACTCGAAAGCTCACGAGAAAACAGCGCTGACATTCGAGGATATAAACGCAGCAGCTGCACTGATAGAATTTCTAGAAAGCGTTATGAAGTTAATCATGGTAGTACAGCTGCGCTGAACCTGAAGTCTTTTCTTGTCTAAAGAGAGAGCTAAATAGATGGCATAGAAAAAGTTTAGGAGGCACGAACGATGATACTCTAAGATATTCAGAGATGTTGGACACTTTCGGCCACGTTGGAGACTTAGGGGCCTAGCGTATCCAAGGAAGTGTGTTTAGAGAGAGCTGTAGCCCCACAGCATGCGATTTTTATTCCAGTGTGTATAGTAGCCAGAGCAGTAATAGTCCAACCTATCTCGCCCCCGCCTGAGTCTGTTTACTCGAGAGAGCTAGTAGCCCGCGTCGTGTGTGTCTAGTAGTCCAACATAATTATTACACGGCTCGAGCACGCGTCCTGCTTGGTCTCGCCAAAAAAATTTACCGGCTTCGAAATTGACTCGGAGTAGCTTGGAAATTTCCTCGTATCCTGAGGTTGAGGATCACTCGCAATTTCGAGGCACTGACGTACGGAGGCAACAGCAGCACCCTCGACGCCTGCCTTCGTCCGCGTACCAGAGTCCCTCTGGCTTCTCATCTTGGCACATACACACTACGTCGTGGAAACGCTTCGGCAGCAAAAGCGCGCTTCTAGTGGGAAAACAAAGGCGCATCCACAAAGATTTTTAGAAAAGGAGACCAGAACAGCTTTGATAAAAATACTCAGCCACCTATTACGCCATGAAAAAAAAGCCACTCACCTATAAAGCCCGTAGCTGTCCTCAAGGTGTGAATAAATGAAATGCTGTAACTCTTAAACCTTCATCGGCTAACTCTTGCCCTATTGTGAAGTGCTGTAACTCTCCCTGTACTGATGGTCTACCGGCGTGCTATGATCTGACGTCTTCTGAGGCCTATTTAAAATGGCACTCGTCTCATGAGAAGACTGAAAGGGGACTCTCGGCACCACAGCCGCAACTTTGTGAGTACCGTCGCCACACTCTGCCGTCAGTTACGCACCATCTTGTCCACACTTTCTGTCACCCCGTACGGGCCCAGTGAGATGGCCCGGGCCCGGTGATGTCAGTTTACCCGGAGTCGGGCGTCGCTGCTTGCTTCGGAAGGCTCCACGAACATAACCGAGCAATGCTGACCCAAAACACATCAGCGCCCTTCACCGTGAAGAAGAATTGTCCTGGGCGCAACCAACTTGGGCAGCCGTTGCGCAGCAATACGTAGACCAAAGAACGAAGGCGAGACACTGTTGCCATTTTTGTCAACAACTCAGGACTAAACAACTGCGAGCATGATCCACCTGATACATATTAGGCCACGCTGTTGCATACTTACATCAAAGATGAATCTGTCATGTCATGCTGGTGTTCCCAAGCGGGGAATAGAATAGGCGGCAGCGAAGATGAATGAATAGCCGTCATGGATGAGTAGCAATCAATAGGATAAAAAATATACTTCACTCTACTTCATCCTGCGCATTAGCTCTCTCTCGTGATCTTCTCTCGCATGTCATATATCTGCCGCGGATGTGGTCGCTTTTTGCTTGACTGCTCGACGTGCTCTGTCATAGGATAGCGCCTCCTACTTTTTTGCTCGGTCACACTTACACTAGACGCCTCCTCCGTGTTAATCAATTGAACACTCTAGCACAATAATCATCTTCCGTAGGCAAGTACTAACAATACCAATGGACAATGAGCTTCGCACGATGCAACCCATTATCCCCCCGCCCTTTGGAATGACAGCAAAAGCAAGCGCTCGCATCCATCTGTTGCGACGGCTGCCGAATGAAGCGTCTGTCGCACTGTCTGTTTTCATCTGCTTTCCCATGCACGGTTGTCCGAACACACTCATTACAGAAGCTCTCCAGCGCCAAAGTCTTCGACCACTACGACCTACTGCCACGCCATCTTCATCATAGCCCTGAAGGTCTTCCGTAAAACAAACCCAAACTCTAAGTCCATGAAGTCTTGGCGCCCTCTATTCAATGCACACTGTACATATTTCTGTGAAGGACCGCCGGAAGGGCGGTTCACTCATATCATCATCCAGCGTTTTTTGGTGGTCATCTTCTACCACTGGCCACAACGTTCTCTCCCAACCATTACCAACACACATTTCTAATTACATACGAAGGGGAAGTACTACGCCATGTGCGCATCTCAGATGAATCTTCTCAACCAAGCACTAGCTGAGCACTACAATACTAGCAAGTCAACCAATCGTATGCATTTCAAGCCAAGTGTCTCTCTGTAGTTTTATGCAGTTCTATGCGACGAATGCAGAGAATCTAGTGTCGCTGGCAGAAAGTGGCGACTACCCAAGTTTTTTTGTACATGAGAAAGATTACGATAGTCACTTTTTTACTGGTTTATAAATTATTTTTAGAAACGATTCTCTAATAGTGTACGAGAAATGTCTGCGCATGTTTTCCAAATCAATCAGCAAGCTTCTGTGTCTAGTATCAATTCAGTTAGTAGCATACCCAGTCGCTCTATATTTTGTTCCAAAAGTCCGCTCTACATCATAGTGCATCGCCACGTCATCTTCGAAGACAAACTGTATGGCGCTACGTCAAGTACGAAGGCCCATGGCTCTCCTATACAATAGTCCGGCGATAGATAATGGTCCTGGTGATGAGATTGGTCGGCTCAAATATGCCACCTTCGTGTCCGAATCCAATAACGCAACATCAGTACACCAAACAAGAAAAATAGAGAATCGCCATGAGTTCCCGAGCCTTCTTTTCTCTATCTATGGCGGCTCTTTATCTAACAGGGCCCGCAGTCTACCCTTACTACAAGAAACACCAAAGCGATCTCTTCTATGCAGACCTCCTGCCGCTACTCCTACTACCCTACTTCCGAACTACACCCTAAGATCTACTCGGTCCATTCTGGCCGCGCCGTAAAAGACTTCGCCCTCCTCTCCCGCCTCTGCGTCGATCTTGTTGTCGCCATTAGAAGAAAGAGAGGATGAGTGACTCTCCAGCATGTGTCTCTGAGGAGCTTAGCTGAGACTGTGAACAAAGTGGGCAGACTTGGCCACGCCCAATGCTATTTTGCTACGTTTCTTTGTTCTCGCTTGCGTATGAGCGAGTGGGGGATTGCCATAATTAAAGCCCGCAAGGATTTCGCGGCCTCGGTCGGGCGAGCACGGCGCAGAGCGGCACGGAGGAGGAGGCACAGCACGGCGACCACAAGAACAGCGAAAAGCCCACAGGGGACCACGGTAGAGGGGTAATCGTACGTGCTACTTGTGGCGGAGGTCGCCGTTTTCCGCAGAGAAGCCCTCGGCAATTCAAGAGCAGACGTTGCGGGGGTACGCTCTTGCCAACAAAAATCTTCCTCTCGGTTACCTGAGTAGTGATTTTATGAACTTCGCTGAGGGATAAAAAGGGGGTCTCTTTCTGCTTCCAATGCCTGGGTCCTAGCGATGACGCTCTCTGCTTTGAACGGTGGAAGGCCTGCGAAAATTAGTCCGCTGCGAGTACAACGCGCGCTAGCGGAGAAAGAAAAGCGGACTTATTTGATACGAATTGTCAGAATAATTGCCAAGAAGGAGAGAGTATACCTTGCGGCAGAGCGACGGTCTGGCCGTGAGGGGCAGTAGCTGGACGCAATTCCAGTAGGATTGTGCCATCCTTGCTGCACGAGTAATCGGCCATCAAATCGTAGCACACTCCTGTTGTTTCTTTCTCGCCGATCAGCACGCGCCGCTGGAGCTTGAGAGAGAAGTAGTTACTCGAGCTGTCTTCGGTCATCTTGAATATCGGGTCCCTCTGCCACGTTGCCGGCATGGTGCAGCCTATCTCCCCATCCTCTTGGATGGCGCGTCAGATTAGAGGCTGAGAGTAAATTTCTGCAGCTTCCCGGCGCCGCGTCATAACATCTAGCGACCCCTTTCGAAACCTATCAAAAATTCGACTTTTGTCTTTTGATAAAAAAAGTCGCGGAACTGATGAAAGGTCTGGAACCTCTATAGCTATCTAACACTCAGCGCGGCCAGTCCGCGTCGTGTGTGTGGTGACGTCATCCGATAGCAACTTAATCAGTGGAGAGAAACTTCACAACCAACAAAGACATAAGTAGAACTTTTGGGCGAATTCTTCTTCAGGCTCAATCGGTCTCCACTCTAACACCGGCGGCCCCGTTTTTCCTGGTGTGCGGTGAAGCCAGTTCCTCTGCAGATACCCTGGCAAGACCTTCGCAGCAACCTTGGGGACGGCGCGACTGACGTCATCCTCCGTACACATGGTTACTATGCCTGAGTTGATTAGCGGAAGAATTCTGTTTGAAAGAGATGACATCTGATCTCGCTTCTTTTAGAGAGATAAAATCTGTTTTTTGCGTGATATCTTCTGTTTTTCTGTAAGAATTGCTTCCGCCCGTTAACAATTTTGCTTAGTTCTGGTCCACACATGTTGAAAGAAAGAACAAAGTACCAACTTCTCGCCCATCATCTTTGGCACTTTTGCTCACCAACACCGTCTTCCGCTCCGGTTGGGCCACGACATTCCCGGCCTCGTCATTCGCCTCCACATCCCGGTAGTAGAGAAAGGCAGCGAGCGGGTATCCGTTGCACCACCTAGTAACTGTGGCATCACTTTGGGCCAGGCCAGTCAAAGCCACGTCAGCCATAATCTGCTTCTCCAAAAGCGCGCTCTCCGGGTTTAAATGATAGCCGTGTGAAACAATGCGGGGGACACACGTAGTCAGGTGTAATATCTTTGAGGAACAATATCGCTAAAACGGAAGCAGACTCGGATAGACATAGGAAGTCGTCATTCTGGAAGGCTGAAAAAACCCAGAAATATTGCATGTGGTCACTACAGAAGATACAGATTGTGAGCTCATAACGGTCTCCTCGACGATCGACCCACAGTCGTACACCGGTGATCCCTTCCAAAGGCTGCGTCATCTCTGGGGAAGATGTTAGAGTAGTTACAACCAGACGCAGACGAATCTCATCAATCTATGGCTTCGGCGACCATCATCACGCTCTACGCGTACTTTCATGCACTATCACTTCGAATAAAAAGGAACAACGTCAGGACAAGTATGTGTAAAAGACTCGTATCCAGCTCATAAGAGTATCCTCTGCAGCTCGTCCGGAGTGAGGTGAATATCGTTGTATTCTACTTTCCCAAAAAGTGCATGACGCATCCACCCTTCGAGTTCAGGATCAGGTGGAGAACCCTCAACAGATGTCAAACGCTTTGCGAGGATCGTCACTACCTTTACAGGCTGAGCCCAGGGAGAACTGCACCGCCCCCCACTTGCATTCAAATATCTCTCTCTCACGTATTGCATCATTTTTTTTCGTGCTATGAAAAAACTATCATATGATAAACTGAAATACAGTCGGCAATTGATACACTTCGACGGACTCTTGTTTCCACGATGCGCACGAGTCCCGGATTTTGTGTTCGTCTAAAAACCTCCTCAAAGGATCCGTCAATTCGGTGTAAGATGCGCAAATTCTAAGATGTTACTGTTCTACTGAGGTCCGTCGCGGGAGAAGAAGGGGGAGGAAAATGGTTTGAGGATTTGCTTTCGATTTTTCTATTCTTTTTCCTGCAAGTTTCTGTTTTTATGAACGATGTGCAAATTGATGATTGATTGGATCACTTTTCGAAGGCCACGGAAACGAAGTGGTCTATACTATCAGAATTGATTCTCAACGAGCGAAAGTGCTATCGCTCAACATGGCAAGGTCATGGTAGTTGGACCGATATGACAGAATGTTTGCAGCACGTCTCAACAGTCTCTGACCGAAATCTATGACAGACATAACGTCGCCCTCGTCTTTCTCCAGTCATTATCATTTATTTTCTCTAGGAGTATATTGAGGACGACGACCTTGTGGATCGCGACCTCCATGTTGTTTAGGATCCTGCCCCTTTTGCTCCCGGCGAGGTGCGTTATGACGACTTGCGTGGACAGTAGGCTCTGCCACGAAGGCAGCCCTCCTCGCGCTAGGACCACCACCACCTCCAGTACCCCACGTCGAACTACCTCCAATACTAGTGCTACCGCTACCACTACCACTACCGCCCCATCCCCAATCGTCTCCTCCGATAAAAAGCACAAAATGTAGTGAACGATTGAATCTGAAACAAACGAAGCAAGTGGAGAGTGAGAGTCAGTCGGAAGTGACTTCAATTGGTTTACTCACTGCAGAGATCGGACGTCACTTAGTGCAGAGGTCGGACGTAGCTTGCTACAAAACCATTACGGAAGTTTGAATGTGAGAGAATATTAAGAGTGAGTACCTATATTATCGTCATGATATGTCGCGTATGTGATTTGTCTTAATATCGATCGATCATCGTCATGTCAAATCGGATCACGAGTTGTAGGTTAATCATGGTTCTCAACAGAGTGTCGTAGCTGGACAGATCAAAAACTCTCTTAAGGCCATAACGAGCCGTGTGTCCCTCATACGGGCAGTAGGAACCATCACTCACACGAGGGGGTTAGCGGTTCTCAACAGAGTGTCTCTCGACAGATGAAAAACTCTCTTAAGACCATTACAAGTTCGACATCCCACCTGAAACGACAAGTAGTCAACATGCTTCGTCTCTCGACACAAATAGGCATTCTTGCTTCTAGATCTCATTCTGCTCAACAGAGGGTTGAATACGCTGAACAGATTATGGAGACGTCCATTAGTACGCTCACATGAGTAGAAATGGCCTACCTTCAACATACGTCATACGAGTATTTCGGTAGGTCGTTCCCACACAATAGAGCTGCTCGTCCAAGGAGAGACGGAAACTGGTTTCTCTCGTCTAACAAGCGTGTGACTGAAATGGCACTCAAATCATACAAAAGCTGCCTTGTTTGAGGAAGATATAACTTTGAATAGACAGAGGACAAGTGTCTTGACCTTCTCACACTCGAACAAAATGTTAACGCGCCAGAGCATTTCGTCCTTGTTGATACGCAGGCACGCTGAATTTCTCCAGCAAAAAGCTACTACTCCACATGATGATGATTTAAGTCAAATGACTACAACCCAACAGAGATGCAACATTTTGCAGACAGGTTCGAAGTGTTCGCTTGGTCCATTGAACTATAATTTAGCAAACAACAGACACACTATTCTTCCCGTTCTTGCAGTCACTTCTTGACTACCGCACCAGAAAACTACAACTACTGCAGCCATGTGTTACCGGACTCCTACTGCAGACCTGTGATACCTTGACTCTCCCTGATGTTCCTACTCGTGGCAGTGGCAAAAACTGTCGGAACGCGCTCACACGGTGGCTACTTCTTCGCGACACAGGTTCATCCGCTTACTCATCATGCCGAATCAGTGCGGCAATCTCCGTTCGAAAATTGCTTAGATAGTCCTCGAAATCCATCTGGAGCCTATATTTTCTAGGTCCAATTCCAAATATCGGTAAATATAAATATTTACCTACTTGCTTCTAGTAAAGAAAGAAAGTATGTAAATATCCATCTCCTTCAAGAAATGGAACAAGGTCTAATCATTTGGGTCAAGTTCCAGGCTACTCCTAGTCCTACTCCTATCCCCCTTTGTACTATCAATCATGTATCCCCTCTGATGTGCTATCAAATACATCCAGGATGGCTGCCTCCAGCATCCCCCCTGTTGTAGTTATTATTATTATTATTATGCCCGCGCGCGGCCCTACCGCCTCGCACGTGTCGCGCTCGCGAGCGCCCTTACCATCTGTCACTAAAGACTTTGATGTAAGGGCTCTAGGGACCTTCCTGACGGCCTGGTGGCTGTGGTATCCCCCTGATATGATAAAACAAATCCAGGATCATGCTTAATCTGCAGAAGAATCGAAAAGTGCATGGCTCGAAAAGTAGATGGTTCGAAGCATTCCTTAACTTGCGCATATCTCCGGTTCGACAGACATTGGTGTTAGATGCAACTATTGGATTGTACAGGATAATATTAAATTGGGAGTATACGATGTATTTTGGAGAACTATGCTAGCATCGTATATTTCTTTTCTAAGAAAAGCTTAGTATATTTTTCTTCTTTCTAACAGCAGGCTTGCCACCAGTTTTTACACTATTCTTCTAAGAAGAAGTTTGCCAAGAATCAAACCCCTCTCTCGTATGGGAAGGAAAGAAACCAAGAAGGGATGCATCAAGAAGATTGAGATTTTCAAACATAATGTTTTTCCAAGATTTCTCTAAATGTTTTTCATAATGTGTCCACCACTCGGCAGCACAAAGGCCTTTACTGCACCATCGTCGTATCGATAAGGCCCAAAAGACCTTCGCTCTTCCCCATTTTCCTTCCCTCTTTTGAAGATACGCTCCCTTTCTTCTAGCACCTGGTCGAGGCCATCCAGCACCGCATCTACGTCCACTGTCCTTCTCCTTGCATGTTGATGGTCTAGTACAGGTCCTCCCACTGTCCTTCTCCTTGCATGATGGTCTAGTACAGGTCCTCTTACGGGTTGATCCTGAAGAGATTCTTGGAGGCCATCTTGGAGGCCATGCCGACGTCTGGTCGTGTGATCCAAATCTTCCTTTTGTTCGTCACTGTGCTGGGTATAAACATCAGACGCACTAGAAGAAGACGCAGACGAGCTGCTAGTATCGTCTTCATCTGCACACATGGCTAAGTGGTTTTTGATACAAGAAACCCTGACTCTGCTGCGCCTTTCTCTTTCCCTTTGTTCGTTTTTACCTGTTAAGGCTGCTCTGAGATTTTCGCGGACTGCACTATTTGCCGATATCATCTCATCGTTCATCGTATGTAACAGGAGAAGCTTCAAGGATGGTTTAGAGGTACTTCGTCTATCTTAGCCTCCCATCATCGTTCGTATGGTTGAGTAGGTTCCACTTTCCACTCCCTTGCACTTTCCTTCCCGATCCACAACATTCCCTTTGAAATCAAAGGAAACCACTCAGCAACATACCCCACTCTCATTCATGTACCCAGTCGAGGGGTTTGCAAAGTCCAGAAGCACTAAGAAGTGCTGCTACCTCTACTAGTATTACTGGGGTCCTTCTCTTGAGCCAAGTTGCTAGCCTTAAATGATGTCGTCGCAAATATCCTCCGCAGTCGGTCAGCAATGTGTAGCCAGGATGTGTCTGGCGCACCGAATAAGTTGTAGACCCAGCGAGCCACTCTCTGCCCACCCCATGATCCTACTGCTATACGCAGGGCGTCTCCTCCAAACACGTCATCGACTGAGGAAAACGCGGAGGCCAAGATGATACCACGAAGATGCAAAGAGGCTGTCGCTCTCGGATGCTCTAGGTTTTTTAGTGGAGGAGAGTGGCCTTCATTAATATCATGTACTTATCCATATGCAAGTACTTATCCTCAAGCAAGTACTTATCCTTATGTACTTTTACGTGAGTGGGTTTTTAGGAGGTAGTAATATTTCACTAGTATTATGCTTAGACTTTTTGAGTGCTTTAGTAGATCCTTAGAAAATCCTCAGATCCTTTAAATACACGCAACGTCCTGGTCGTAATTCCTGTGAACCACGTAGTTGCTCCCCTGAAAAAAGTACTAGTTCATCCCCAGCAATAGGACTGCAGCATTCGCTTAATCCTGCTACACACCAGCTTTCTTGTTCTGAGTCGATCGACATCTGGTTGCGCCTGATCAGCGGCGGACAACAACATGTTGTCCCCGTGGCACTAGCACTCCCATCAGTTTCTCCAAGAAGAGGAAAAGCACTCGGACTATCACCGACACGACAGCTTCTGCCAGTGCCAGACGATACTATGTTGATATTATCGGTATCTCCTTTATTTGCTTCCCCCGCCTCTACCGCTGTTTCTGCAGTTTGATAAGCATACGATCCTCCTTGCTTCGCGACCTCAAGGCCTCTCAGAACTCTCTCGCCTGAAGAGCCTGTACCTGCAGCTGAGTCGACAGGCATTGACTCAGCGAGTAAAACTGCACTCCATGCGCCAATCGAAAACCCGTAGGAATAGACGTCCACTTTTCCGCTATAGTATTCCTGCAGGAAACCTAGAGCCAGTTGCCCGGTTACCTCCACCAGGTGGGCTAAATCCTTAGCAGAGGATATCATGCGGATTTGTCCGGCGGCCGGGGGATATCCAGCGGGACATTAGAGCGAATCATGATGGAGTCGCATCCCAAACAAGTCGCATCGTCGACGTTGATGGCAGATTTATTGGATCGCTTTTGCCTCTTACACAATTCCCATCCTATATATAAGAAAATGACCAAAGACGAGGATACTTTGAACAACAATAAGTGGACTTTGTGGGATGCATTTATAAGTAGACCATGGACCTAGCCTTAATCAAAACTGCTCCCCCATTCGGTCTTCGTCTCACGTTGCTGAGGACTACGTTGCTGCGAGAGAGCAACATAGTGGACATACTCGACTCCAAGGACGTCACAACCCGTCTCTGCAGCCAGGTTCACGAGCACCTGGAAGGACTGTTCTATGTACTCCGCATTTCTGTGAAAATATACGATGACGCACAGAGAAGAATGATTGCTCTCGTCTTCGTCTAGTCGTTTCGTGTCGCCTTCATGTTAGACGTAGAAGGCTGTTCAGGGACAGCACTAACAGCACTTCACGCCTAAACACGTTTGCTACGTCCTATAATGTAAGGTGGTACTAACATTTCATGCAAACACGTTCACTACGCCCCATAATGTAAGGTGGCCTAGATGACAATGAAATTATGTTTTCCAACATAGAAGGGTACTTCATGTGGATCTGATTCATCTCAATAATCCCATAGTGTGCAGCTATGGGAACGCCTGCAATCGTATCCGGGGTATCCTCTGATGAATTCCTCTCCTCTGAGGAGCTCTCTAGACCGGAGGAAGGCAGAGGTGACGTCAGTACAGCTCCACCTAGCGAGGCTCCACTTCTTGCTAAGGAGGTACTATGATCTGGACGTAGGGAAGGTAAAGGCGACGTTACCTCACCCAACACCCAGTTCGCGGGAAAGACAGACCGGTGCAATTGCTGCGAGAAAAACTGAGCGTCACGGGACACTGTGTTTGCTACAGGAGGGAAATGATGCTGCTGCAAAAAAGAATGCGGACGAGGATCGGGTTGAGCTCCTACTTGTGGAGGCAATGGCTGTTGACCTACTTGTGGATGTAATGGATGTTGACCTACTTGCGGATCTAGAGGCGATGTATGTTGTCCTACTGAAGGACGCGATCCTTGTCCTCCTTGCGAATCTAATTTTAATGCTGTATGTTGTCTTACTTGCGGATCATACGCCGATGTATGTCCCAGTCTTCGGGGACCCAGTTCCGACGTCGTCGGCTCTCTGCTCGTAGTCGTATGTGCTTCAACAGATGAAAGGTCCAGTACTGTGCGACCTTGTGGCGTCTTTTTTACCCAAGTATTTCCGTCTGGGAGTGAAAAATGCTCTATATGCAGTGCGAATGTTTCGTGTCTACTAGAAGTTTGTAGAGGAGTTTTAGCGTGGGGACAACACGAGGAAGCCGAACATCTTCTGCCACTCGTAGAAAAGGATTGCTTGTTCCTCTCAGCCTCAGCACAGTTTTTCGGCACTGTATCGAGTCGTCGGTAGGACGAGAGGAGGAGTCGCCTATTGCTATTTTCAGGAAACTTTTCAGATGATCTAGTGGTGTCCTGATCATTATGCTTATGCTGCTTGTTACTTCCAGCATCTGGCAGCAACTGAATATCGACCCGTGTATAGTCTCGCTTATAGGACAGGCTCCGTCTCCGTCTTTGCCGCTCCGCTTCTGCTAAAAATGTGTCGTCAGGGAATAATTTCTCAATTTGTTCCCGAGTTACAGCGAATTTGACCCGTGCTCTGCCTCCTTGGGTGAACCAAGTATCTTAGTAGAGGCTACAGCATTACCTTCCTCAAAAAATCCTTGACCTCTTATTTCCTATTGGAAAAGAGCCTTAGTGGGGAATGTAAGGTGGGAACCCGTAAGTGTAACGTCGATATCCCTCTGACGCACGATACAGCCTTCTTCTAGCTTGTTTTTCAGTCAATCTTTTCGGTCGCTGTGTTGTGAACGGATGAAAGCTCATTGCTTCTCTACTGCTACTACCACCACCACCACCACCTCCTTGCAGTCCTGTTGTACCAAGGAAGCCATTGCCATGACGATAGTTAGAGCTACCGCGTTCGCATCTTCTTTCAGAGTCACATCCTTGGGGCTTCGTTTTCAAGCAGCAAAAGATGGACCTCCAAGGATCATCATGAAAGTAAGGAGACATGCTACAGCGGTAGCCTTAAGATAAGGATAACTACGACCATCGCCTTGTCCTTCAGACGTGGTACCGTAGAAACTACCACCACCATCTTCCCCACACATGAGAGAAGAGTGATCCACGCCATTGTTGACTTAGAGGAACCGAGAACCTATCTATATTTGAAGCTAAGTACTTCCATTTATTCACGTGCTTCCAACAAGAAAGGGAGCGAAAACGGAAAATAACCGAGTTACTGACTGAAATTTAAGGGAGGTAGCTTTGACAATGCTACTCTTCCTTGTTCAGTACCTCGCCTCTATATTAAGTAGTTACTCGCTTATATTAAGTAGTTACTCGCATCTTTTAAGTACCTCCATTTATTCATGTGCTTCCAACAAGAAAGGGACAACTAAAAAAAGCTGGAGGCGTAACAAGAGCTAGGTTCTCGGTTCCCTTAATTGACAAATAGGTCCTCCTCGTCGCTGTCCTCCTCTACCGACCCTGGCGTGCTCCACACCGTGTTCGGATACGCTATGCGGACGAGGGCATCCGTGGTCCATCTTCCGCATAGGCATGGTTCCACCAAGCTTAGAAGTTGGAGGACCAAGATGCTTCCGGAAGAACGAGTACGGAGACGCGTCATTGTTGCTGTCTTTATTTGGCTTTGGATGTTTCTGTACTATAAATGGTTGGCGAATGGTCATGATGGTCGTGGGCGAACGATGTGAACCATATTTGCTAGGACAAGTATGAATGTTGCTGGCACCCTAACCCTCATTAACCCTAACCCTTTTGTCCCATTTGTCTTTCATCATTGAGAAAGTATCCAAAGTGTTGCTTCCGACAAGCTCATCAAGAACGGCTCCTGAAACCGATGTCAAGACCGACTTCAGATGATGCTGCGGCACAGTACCAACTTCATTCACCAGTTGTCAGTGGACACGACAAACACTTCATCTTCTTATGAATGTATAATGAGCTTCTAATCTTAAACTTGGAAATCAAAGAGTGTTCTCCATCTCCGTCGTGCAGGTAGTTTTGGTTTGTGAGAGTGCGAAAATTACGATTTGGATTGTTGTACTATCAATAGCATGAATTCTTGAAAGCGAGAAACCAGCAAGAGTCTACCCTTGGGGTCTCTACTGCGGTAGAGACTAGATTTCAAACGCTGCTCTTGTTCTTTCAGCATCTAACTTACTTTTTTCTCTTAATTCCTCAGCTAACTTCTGTTTTCTTCTTTCCTCAGCTAGCTTTGCTGCTTCCGGTCTAGCTTGTTCAGCCCCATGCTCAGTCCATCCGGCTTTTTCGCTTTATTAGAGTATACAACGATGCTCTTGTTCCATTAGCATGTGCTCATCATCTTGTTCTTCGGGGAACTTACTATGATTTACTAACTGTACTTCGACAGGAAACATAAAGAACAAGGTTATTGATGAAGTACTAATCTAGTACTGCATCTATCATACTAGACATCCCTCATATCACCAACCATAATCAAAGTATTCATGACAAGCCCCCTCTTTCCATCGTGACCAGCTCTCTTGCGCTTTCTTCCGTCTATCGCTTTGCACGCGTCTCTGCACGTTTCTTTCAGGTTCGTCCGCCCATTTACTAGCCTTTCGTGGAGTCCACTTCCAATCTCTAGTGCCACCTTCGATCGCAATCGCCATTCGAGTTAGAACGTGGCGTAGGTAGAAGCGTTGTATTGACTCCTAGTACCTGTATCTATAGGAAATTTTAAGTGCTTCTCTTCACGTTCTAAGTGAGTAGAAGGTGTATTTGCTCGTGATCCCTTTCTGTCGTAAACAACAAGAAATGATACGCTAAAACCTTCGAAAACTCTCAAAAAACTTTGAAAGACCAGAAACGTTGATAAACTAGCACGCTCAAAGCATAAATCTTTGAGTTTTGAGGTTTCGAATCCTAAAATTCAAATCTGAAATCCAAATATCCAAGAAATTTCAGTTATATGTACTTCTTTTCTAAATTCATTTCCTGATGAGCCAGTTTCTGGCTGATTCATTTGCAAAGCAGCTACCAAAATGAAACCAAAGTGAGAGTGACCAAAAAAGTGACATCTGTGCACTGAAATGCACTACTGTACTGATTCTAGCCTCCAATGAAAGTCCCAAAATGTTGACAAGCTAGCCTTCTCAGAGCATAAATCTTTGACTTGTGAGACTTCGAATCCTAAAATTCGAATTTGAAATCCAAATATCCAAGAAATTTCAGTTATATGTACTTTTTTCTAAATTCATTTCCTGAGGAGCCACATTTTCGCTGATTCATTTGCAAAGCAGTTATCAAAGTGAAACGAAAGTGAAAATGGCCGAAAAAGTGACCTCTGTGCAAGGATATGCAATACTGTACTGCCCGTAGCTGCCTCTAATGACGCTTACGACGCAGCAAAATGATCAACAGACAGCTACTGTACAACGACTGGGTACTTAAACCACAGCAATTACGACTGGGTACTTAAGTAATATCACTTTATAGCTCACACTACGACACGAGTACCGACTCCTAGTGCACTTGAAGCCATAAATACTAACCATAATAACTATATAGCTCACACTGTACGGCCATAAATACTCACCCTTCTGGAATTCAGAGGGCGAAAGCTCAAATGTTACTCGGTCGCCCCTCTCTGGTATCTTGCCATCGGCGATGTGATCGAAAACGTAGAAAACCGAGTCTCCCCACCCACGCTTCGAAGGTACTGGATCGTCAGTATTGATAAAACCATGTCCCTTTTGGTAGACGTTTCTTCTCACGAAGCCGGTGTACCTTTTGCCGGCGACCGGTGCCTGAAGATGAAGCAAACCAAATTGTTCACCGTGGTTAGACATCAAACTAGATTGGATTTGGAAATTTCCGAAAAAATTTCTCGCCACCAGGTGGGGCGCATTGCGTTTCACAAACGACAGACATAGACAAGAGTAGAACAAATAAACAAAAAAGTATAACAATAATGTTTTTGAACCGAAGAAGACCAAGTCGTTACATCCTTTTAAACAATAAAAAAAGTTGAAAGAGCAACTTTACGACCAGCTACTAGATGCTCCAGACGGCCAACGCTAACTAGCCACATAGCCCAAGTACCTCATCTGCCACTACCAGGAACATCCTCCAAGTACATCCTCCTACAAGTTCAACTAGAAGGTGTTGAGTTCATCTTGAGTTCATGTTGATACCCAGCACAAAGTATTCGATAAGCTGAAGTAAGCGAGTAACTACTGAAAATACGCGAGATGTTCACTGAACAAGGAAGAGTAGCGCTGTCAGAGCCACCTCCCTTCTTTCAGTCAGTAACTCGGTTATTTTCAGTTTTCGAGTACATTTCTATGTATGACATAGGGTCATCTACCTCGTTTTCTCCCCGAGCGTCGGAAGCGAAAGAACGTTGCACTACTGTAAAGCAAGCCTGCCGACGACTGTTACTCAAAGCGGCGCCATTTTTCCATCGTATTGCAACACACCCATCAAAACTTCTGCTCGGATGTAATATCTTCTTCATGTTTAGTACAAGAGTCATGCTGTTGGGGTTTCTTAGTTGCGCAGTAGTAAAGGAGTGGCATGAGTGATAGACGAGCGGCTCCGTCTAATCTTTTCTAAGACTACTGTTTAGTTGCGATCATAGGAGAAACTTATTCATTCACAACAGATTCCCATCACCCATGGTCAGCTATAAGTCGCTGTAGATATCAATTTCCTCGCTGAGCCTATTTTTCTAGCACGAAAACACAGGTGCGCTTCCATTCGAGTTCGTGTCTCTGCTTTGGGCAAAACGTCAAAACGCGACTGATTCTGAGTCAATTTCGCAGTCAACGACCCCTGTCATATCTTTATCATGAAACCAGGCATCATTTTGCCTCGGTCTCTTAAAATTTCGATTCCCAGCATATCTTGTGACACAAATACACCTGTAGAGTGTGTAAATCAAAAAAGCATAACCGTAACCGTTTATAAATTTCAAAATAAGGAATTCCTATAATCGCCCTTTTTAAAACAAGGAAGGAAACAAAAGTCGCGACAGTGATTGTCGACAAAGAACGCGAAAAGAAGCGCGCATGCCAGTGGTGATACAGGCGCACCGGGAGAAGGTTGGCTTGCCCCTACGAGTAATGTCGGCACATCTTCATATTTCGTGACAAGATACTCAACATCGTCAGCGTTCACCTTCGTTCTACAATGTGAGCACAGTAAAAAGAGATACTTAGCCCTTCTTCTTTCACGGAGGACAAAAAATTCGAAAAAACCTTGCTTTCACTCTAATATCCAACGGTGTCACACCACAGCTTTCGCCGTCAAGTACAACCTCTGCCTCAGGCTTGGACTCGATCCGTACACGGTCACACAAGCGATGTTTCACTTCGGGATGCTGTAAGTGCCGACCACCGGTTTTCAAGAGGTAGACCAGCTTCGCGGATTAGAGGTGGACATGTGAAGGTTGCACGCATGCAATTGTCCCTGTTGCCACCGTAAATGGTGACCGTAGAGACGTGGTCACTGACAGTATTTCTATTTGATACTTTTGTAGGTTCAATTTAAACGACTTGACAAGGAGTTTGATGTTTCACAGAGCATAAAAAAACTGCCAGCGGTTGAGTACATTCGGGACCCATACCACGTCCAGAAACCCATCAAATGGATCTGCTAGTGGCACAAGCGGGAGGTTGAATCCTCCAAATGGCGCGTTCTGTAGGAACAGACATCGGATTCCGGTATCAAAGCACCATGTCTCGTCAGGGGGATTGTCCTGAGGATCCTGGTGTTGAGGTAGTCCCAGTTGCTGCCCCGTGTCAGAGGCTTCGTTTCCCGTGTCAGAGGATTCTACGTCTTGTGCCTCGCCAGCCTCTTCGTATTCCATGTTCTTGTCTTTTTCTTTCGCTTGCATCCTATCTTCAGGTTCAGCAGCCTTGTGTGAGAAGCCAACGTCTGTAACTGGAAAAGTCCCCTCTTCCTTTCGTGTCCAAAGCTGCATCGTTTGCTCTGGCCCTTTTTTTGGGTTGATCATCGCTACCTCTATCCCCGTTGCGAGGTCGTAGCGGAGGCCACGGGCCCACCTCATGTGCTCTGCTCTGTTATTCGCCGCTACTGCCAGCGCGAAGGCTACTAGGTTGAAAAAGATCCGCTCTTGTGGTTCATCAGAAGGAGTAGTAGTTTGCTCCTCGGTTCGTGTACTATTATCTGCAGTCATAGGGGTGTCACCTTCACCTTGTCGTGTACTATCATCTTCAAGTACCTCGTCTCGTGAAACTGTAGCAGACCAAGAAGACGGAGATGAGGGAGTGCTTCTTGTACGAGAAGGACTACTGGGAGGGCTACGTGCAGTATCCGTAGGACCGCCTCCTCTACTGCTAGGACTACGACCTCCTTTACTAGCATTACCCGCCGACCTACAAGCAGACTTCTTCTGATGCGTTTGAGCTATCCCAACATCGTAATCTCGTATTTTTCCGCCTAACAAAGCAGCTAATGCAGAGTCAAACGTGTGAACACCGATAAAAGTGGCGCCATCGTTACCCGTTCCCCCAGGAAAAAGTGCGATTGGCCAGTCGTCTCTAATATCCGACACTTCGGTACCAAGGTTTTGCAATTGTCGTATTCTCCTACGTCGTTGGGCCAATCCATTAAGGCATTCGTTCATCGTTCCGTCTCCACCAACGACCGCTAGAGCGTCTATGTTGGTACTGCCTGTTGTACTTGTTGTGCTATCCCCGTTGTTCATCATCTGTGTACTAGGAGGAGCATAAGAACTTCCAGTGCCAGTGGTCATCTGTGTACTAGAAGCGTAACTTCCAGTGGTGCCATCAAAAATGAAGTCTGATATCGTATTTTCTCCATCTCCTGCGCAAAACCTGATCGCATCGCCACAACATCGAGTTCGAAAGGTGTCATGCTTAATGCCTTTCGCCGTCAGTGCCGCTTCCAATTTCCTATGGATCCCTTTGGCTCGCCCGTTTCCACTAGCAGGATTCACAACGATCATGACGCGCTTAACGTTAAGATGCGACTCTGAAGATGTAGACGGTGACGTCATTTTTCTATGATTCATGATAAATCAAAGATAGATTTAGTTGGTAGTCTAGGATAACATAGGTTTAGTCAACAGTGATTCCTTGGACGGTTAGAGTCAACCAACGGCAAAATTAGGCTGCAGGGTGGCGCTTAATTACCAACATACCAGAAAAGGAACATTTGCGTGTCTAAGGAGGTGGAATAAAATATAAATAGGTTGATTAAGTTCATAAAGAAAAGTATATTTATTACACTGTCTGGTACATAGAGATCACGGACCTGAAATAAAGCATCGGCGTATCTTCAGTTCCTACCGTCCTTGCGGTTGAGTTCGTTTCCATAGGTTTCCATAGTACACGACTTAGTTCCTATAATACACGGTAAATACTGTACATGAATTCTTCGTTCGTGTATGTTTGCATTCAATTCTAGTGCAGGGTGGGGTCTTGTTCACCCTACTAAAAGAGAGGGGCAAAAGGGTTGGCTTCTCAGCGGATTGGCACTGAATCTTCATACTGCGGACCATGTTGCACTGAGAAAAACTGATCGCTCATGTCACTCAGATTCGCTCATGCTCACTCAGTGCTGGACGAACACCCTAGCTGAATGAAAAAGAAGTAGCATCCTCCCGATTCCTATGCAGAATCAGAGAAAAACAAACCGTTCCCCACGGACAAATTTCATGAAAAAATAAGAGTTCAATCTTCCTAAAAATAAAATCGTTTTCCTACTCCTATAGATATTGACGTCGTATTCGGTAGGAGCATACTATCTTTATAACTACCAGCATATGTAGTTGATTATGTCGATTTTTTGTTCAATTTCTTGATGATGATGTTGGTCGATTTTTTGTTCAATTTCTTACTTGTAAACGTCTAATGTATCTCTGCCGTGTCGCGAGCCAGCGAAGGGAAATTTATGAAATGCGTACTAAAACAGAGTTACTTCCGCCTCCTCTTTGCATCTGTTCACATCTGTTCAATTTTTGATCACCAGACCAGATGATTTACGTCATCCTGCCTGAGCATGCCTAGCTAGATCTCTGATGCTAACTACACCTTCACCCTTCTATGGTGTTTTTTCCTTTTCCTGAAATCATGAAAGAAATTTCTTGCACATCCGATCTGCGAATCTGCGTCCATAAGCCTCTGGAGGAATCGTAGCTTTGTCTCGCTCCATAACCTTCACGCATTGCGCTACACGCTTTATCGCTGTCCACCGTTGCAAAAAGTCAATGATGCCGATACTGAGAACAAGTACTTCGTCTGGTTGGAAGGTGTCACGAGATGGCGGTGTACTTGGTGCTGCTGAAGCTGTGGTTTTGTTTTTACCATCTTGTTTGTTTTTGCCATCTGCTTGTCCTTTGTTCATCTGAGAGCCTCCTGTACCTGTAATCTTTTTAGGCGTAACCAGAATCGGGCATCTCCAGTTTTGTGGACTTGTGGGTATCTTGTTCAACGTGATGTCATTCATCACCGCTGAAGATGGCAGTTGATCAGCTTTGCTCAACTTCTTGCCAGCCACAATCAAGCTGTAGTCCATCAATCCCAGCGGCATTAAAAATTCCTCACAGTCCCGTCGAATCGCGGCAGTCACGACACCACGGACGTTCTCCGGCACGTTGTCGAGTTTCCAGGCACGAGCAGCGACTTTCTCCTGATCTTAGAGGTTGCAACATGATTGCATGATTCTTCAGCTCATCATCCCTGACCCTTTTCCTACTGGAACACAAGTCAAGGAAGATGGCAATGAAGAATCTGTATGTCTCTGGTATTTGGTATAGCCTGAATTCGATCACAAGGATCCCCTTCTTGGTTTCCTCATGATCAAAATCAGGTTACCAAAGAATAAATGCCAAATAATACCAGAATTTGGCATTAATGTGGCAACGGCCCTTAATGGTAGTATTCTCTGCGCTTGTCAGACCAGAAGCACTTGCCTCCCCACATCCAGATATGCCAAATCCTCTTGCGCACAGCGGCGATTTTCTTCCCCGCTCGCATCATCAACTTGTCGTCGTCGCACCCTTTCAAGTCATAGAGAAAATCGTAACCGCCGTTTTCGGAAGATAACAAATTCTCCAAATCCCAGCTGTCACGCGGAGAAGCAGTTGCTTTGGCAGAGTAGCTCTTGGCCAGACAGTTGATCATGACGAGATAAGGCCGCTTTTCGTACGTGAAGTGCAATGGCATCAAGGTCAGCAGAGTTTGACCGCCAAGCACGTGATCCACGTACTGCTTGGCGATTTCGAGCAGTGTTTGATGGTCCCCAGGAGACATTTGCTTGACAATGAACTTGCGACTGCGTGTGAAGCACATCAATTCTCCACCTTTGCCACCATGGGGTTCGAAGAAGTCAGGGGTAAATTCGAATTCGTTCTTCAAGAAGTCGTTTCTTAAACCGCAACGTTCACGCACCCTGGAAAAATGCTCGTCATTGCACAGTGTAACGCTCTTATTGTCAGCGATGATCAGAGTCCTTTCAGCTTTTACTTTGGAAGATGTAGTTGGTGAAGACAGCTCTGTTGTACCATCCAGCACCGCTCCGACAGGACGAATCGTATCCCTCCCGTCAATGCCAGTATCACGATCGTCGTCTTTCTCAGCTTCATCTTTGCTCCCACCCACAGCTTCTTCAGAGTTCTTGTTCACCAAGTCCTCGTTCACCATCAAGTCCTCCTTCTTACGAGGCTCGTTGACCACAATACTTTTGTTTTTATTCAGTGGCTCCAATTTTTTACCGGCTCCATTCACATTTGGTTTCACGTCGCGAAGTCCTGTTCCTTTGGGACTCGTTTCATCAGACTGAGACTTGTTCTTTTCGTAACTCTTGATGTCACGATAAAAAGTGAAACAGCGATCTTCGTAAAGCTTTTGCACCATAGCGATCAACGCTCCCAACCCAATGCCCAATAGAATCCCTGCTAGAAAAAGCACCAGGAGTAAAACCAAGGTGTCTGCTGAGACGGTGATGCCGACCGTTGTTCCCAGGGCGCTTCCATTTAATTGCTGTGCAACAGGCTGTGCATACGGCATTAAGATTCCTGTGGCAGGTTGCAAGACTCTGGCATTTAGCTGGTCTTTGACCATGGTGTATTGTCTGAATACTGGTTCCATAGCCATGGATGCTTGCAGAATCACCGGGTCAGTGAGGAAATTGACACGCTGCAACACGGCCTGCGCCTGCGCTGTGGCTTGTGCGGTGAGAGCGGCGAACTGCTGCGACATGGTTTTATTTCAAAGCAAAATTTAAAAAAAAAAAAATCTTACTCGAAAATAAAGGGATGTTGATTTCGTTGAGCTTATTTTTCTTCGAAGACAAACAAAAATGATACAGAAGCAATAGTACAGATAGTTGTTCAAGATTTTCAAGAGTTATGATTGGGTGCGAAAAAATGAGTTCAATTGGGGATATAATAGGAAAATATGGGGAACCACAAATCACGACCGGGAAAATTCTTGTCCGGAAGAGAGGAAATATTGAGAGCGGGAGCAGCAGAGAGAAAGAGCTGTCTTGTTTGAATCGTTGAAGTATGGCACAGGTGCAAAGGGACTCTACGTGAATGGTCTACCCAAGAACAAGATCGCTCCAACATACATCTAGCACAGACCTTGTGTTCCCTAGGTCCCTAGAGCTTGTGTTTGCCATCACCTATTTGCCTTTGGCCTTGCACTTGCTTGACGGAAACATAATCATTGCCGCTCTTCACACACACACGCTATGACTCTCTAACAGAATGATGTCTACGACGGACTCTACAAGCCTCTACGACTCTACAAGCTGGTAGAAGCGTTTCTACTTTTGGATCTCGCTAGCAATATGTCCCGTCTCTCAGTCACAGATTTTCTCGAGATACAGATCTTGGCATTTTTTCCCTCATGAAAAAGGGCAACCCCACAAAGGAGCTTCAGAAATTTCTTCGTGTCAAATTCAGACATCATCTGCTAGGGCTAGCTTGCTTTGTATCATCATCTTCTCAACATCCCGCCATATTTTCAATTGTATGCGTGTCCATAAGTCCATACGAGGAAGCATCACAAGCATCAGAAGCCATCCCCGTGTCTTGTTCATACGTGTCAGTTTGCCATGTGAGTTATCAAGATCAAGGTGTTATAATTCTCATAGATATTGATTCTTCGAGTTTGTTACGATAAATGTATCATTAGGTGTCGCTTTGTCGTTTTATTCTTCAGCCCCCCTTATAAACTTTTTTTCTCTAGATTTGTTTCAACAGCAGTTTTGATGGTAAAGCTTCCCTTATCTATGATGCATCCTCTTCTTTCCGCGTCGCAAAGTTTTCTCTAGATTTTTTCAACAGCTGCTTAGATAAATGCTTCCCTTAGTTATCTATGCTGCATCCTCTTCTCTCGGTGCCTCTTCTTTCGGCGCTTCCAGCGCATGCAAAACATCATCCAAGCGAGAATCTAATCTTGCCTTCTCCAGGTGTCGCGCATAGCGAGTGCGCAACAGCAAGTCAGCTCTTAATGCTAGTGACTTTCCATTTGTTCCTAGTAGTTTTCGCTCCAGTAAGGGAGCTAGGCGAGAAGCGATGGAACAACCTTCAGGAGTTTCCCCTTCATCATTGTGCACGCCTGATCCATTACTGTTTCTTCCGCTGAAGAAGCAACGGTTGAAGAGCGACTCTTGTGGGTCCACGACTATGAGGTTGCTGCTGCTTGCTAAAGAACCCGACGAGAATGCTGAAGTCGTTGCTGTGGAAGTTGTCGTGAGCAATGTGAAACTATCCGCGAGCCTGAGGAAGTCCACGTCAGCCAGGTTGCCCAGGTGCTCTGGACACTTCTCTAGATGTTGGAGCCATCGATTTAGGACTGCATCTGCGAAAGCCGAAAAGCTCGTGGTCGTTCCATAGTCGGTCTGGTCGTCGTCCTTGATCTCATTTTTTGCTCTGCTGAAAAGCAAAGCTGCAGAGTTGAGTAGCTTACACAACTCCTCAGCCTCGTTTAGGATCTGAGAACGACGTGATGGCGTCAACTTGACCTCCGACGACGATGTTGGCGTGCTGCTTCCTCCCCCGCTTTGTTGCTGTTTACCACTTCCACTTCCGACCGAAGTGCCTGCTGTACTATTCTTAGAGGTAGGTTTTTGGTGCTCGCTTACCCCGCTTGTTATGCCTTTCGCTTCCTAAGGGAGAGAGGCATAAAAAGCGGTAAGAAAAAGAAAAGCACCTTTAACCTACCCTTAATATTCTTCACTGAAGACACTGAACCACCCCGAGCACTGACGTTGTATCGGCTCTTATCCGTCGCGATTGCTGTGTTCAGCAACACTGCTGCTCTCTGGACGAAAAGCCGCAAGTCTTTTAGAGGGACAGATATGTCCCAGCGAGACCACACCACGAGAAGAGACTGCAGGTCTGTCAATGCGAACAAGTGCATGTTCGTCAAAGCGTATTTCCTGACTTGCGAATGCAACTCCCTCAACAGGCGTACTCTTGCGCGTGCTCGGACTAGGTTTTTTTCTTGTTGAACAGGCGATGATGGAGTCATCTCTTGCAGACGGGTTCCTTCAGCGACCTGGATATCTTCCTGCTCTCGCTTCTCCCACCCCCTCAATTCTTGCTGGAGGACATCACGGTGGAAGGCGAGGAGTATTAGACGGCAGAAATTCAACAGAAGCATGGTGGAACTTGCAAAATTCAAAAATGATGTATTTTTATCCACAGACAAGCGAAATGGTTGCACTTCCCGACATGGTAAAAAAAAATCATTGGATATACGCGAATTAACTCGCAAGCAAACAAGTTACTTCCCATAAAATATCCGCAAACACATATGCCACTGTCGCGAGTTCAGCCGGGCTTTGCCACACCAGTCTAGCTCCACAACTTTGAATACACGTTTCCGCAAACACTGCTAGATCCTCTTGCACCTTATTCACTGACTCTTCGAGCGTTTGCTTTGCCTCTTTGTAATCATTCTTCCTAGCAGAAGTTGTGCTTGTTGTTATGGTTCTGCCGAAAGCATCCACTAACCTGGCGAGTTCTAAAGGTGTAGCCTCCTCAAAGGTGAAGCGGGCTTCATTTAGACGAGCTACCACGGCGCATCTTCCTTCAGAGCCAGAGCCTTGGATATCAGCCTTGGACCACACTTCTTTCTCCTAGATAGATAGATAGATGTACCCACTCACGGGGTATAAGTTCTTTATAATTAGAGTCTGCAAAAAGAAGCCAAGGACCAAGAGGATGCTCCTCGGGATGCGTCAGCGGGACCACAACTAGCCTTAATTGATATGCGAATTTCTGAAACAGCTTCATGTGGATCAGACCGAGTCTGACGCGCAAAAGCATATCTCGGCGTGCGGTCTGAGGATCCGTGGTATCCGTTTGTTCCTCCTTAGACGACTCTGAAGAGGGTGTACTATTTGCAGAACTTGCAGAGTCCTCTTGTCCTTTGCAAAGATCCCACCCATCTGCAAAAGCCTTCGCCAACACTGATAGGTCTCGCACATGATACGCGTCGATTGTCAATCGAGAGTGGACGTGGCAGCACAGCCGTTCCCAGAGAGAAGCATCGGCTATCCTCAGTTTCACCAGGGCGTTGACAAGCATCGTTATTTCCGTACTCTGCTCGAAATCGCCCAGCCGTTGGCGCAGCTCCCGGACTAGGATTTCTTGGTCAACATTGTCTCCGTCCTCTGTGGCATAGTTTGTCGGACGAGGACGAGAAGTAGAGTTATTTTGTTCACCTTCTACCTCATTGTAGCGCACTTCAGCGGTACTTCTTCTAGCAGCAGTCGTGGTCGACCTAGCAGCAGTGGTCGAATCTCCTGTGCCAGCTCCTGTTCCTGACGATGCTGCTGACGACGACGCTCCTGACGACGATGCTCCGGAACCAAAGAGAGATATCTTGCCAAAAGCAGATAATATCAATGCAATCTGTGAGGAGTTGAAATACACTAAGCGCTGAATAAAGAATCGATAAAAACGATACATCAACTCGCCTGCACGTTGCTGCTTTTGCAGAGCTGCTGAGGTTGTAGTTGTACTAGAAGAACAGTTGGTCGGCCTTCCTTCTGGCGAAGTTGTGCCACTGCTAGAAGTAGTTGTACTTCTACTCGAAGATGATGATGTCGACCTCGGTTCTTTTCCACCCACACCTCCTACAGAAGCTTCTTCTTGACCGTCTTTCTTACTCCGTTCCACTAGTCTATCCCGTAATAACCCACCCACACCTCCTACTCCAAGCCTATACCGTTTTTGTACTGGATTCAGCTTGAAGGCTGAGCAGAGGAGGAGTGACAGGTCCTTTGGCTCCAGTAAGTTCCTGTCTAACAAGGCTTCGGCTTGATCGAACAAGGCGTCCCACAAGGGGGCAGATGACACGTTTTCCTTCTGGCTCACCTGCGCTGCCCGTCCCAGAGTCTGCGAATCCATGTACTTGGGTAAAGGAAACTGTTCCAGAGCTGAGGTTGCTGTTGGGGCAGGCGCGAAACGATCCCTTGAGGAAACTGGCTGAGGAAACTGTTGATGCTGTTGATGTACTCCATGAGAGCTAGAAGACGAATGTTGTTGATGCGCAGGTCGTCTACTGAACGAGTTTCGAGCTGCAGCGCTGAAGTGACGGCAAGCGCGCTGCCGTGACGAAGAGGAGGGTGTGGGCATACCTAGCATCTTTTTGGTTGTTGTTTCTGTGGCTACAATTACAAACAGCTTCAGCTATACAAAGAAGAGAAGGCATTATAGTGACCATTGACCTTGATTTCAAAATTACGCTCAGGACTTACGGTCATCGTCATTGCGAAACTAGGATCAAAGGCTTATAGATCTCAACCGATGCCAATCTCGTCTGAGTGCTGACAAGAACAACAACTTGAGAGCCAGAGCCCTCAGCAAGTGAATGAGCTAGAATATCTAATATTGTCGTGGTCAGTAATGTCATCTCCAATTGAGTTGCTTATATTCATTAGGTGTGGTTTACAATCTGGGAGCAAAAAAATCTTTCCGAATCTCGTGTTCTCTACCGAAAGCCGTAGTTGTACAGTGTTTCTCGAAGATTTCTTATCAATTCCTAATCTTCACTCGTCGCCCACAAACTTCTGGTCCAAACTGTCTCTGATAGTTTCCAAGAGGCCTCGCTCGTCTTCGCCGAACGTAAAAGTGCCTCCATCCAAATGTGCCAAAATTTCGCTTCTGTCCGTGAAAAGCCCTGTTTCCATCTTCTTCTTCAGATTCACCGGCAACGAGCTCTTCTTCGCTGGATCTAAAAATGCCGCGCGAATCTGCGTGAACTCTTTCTGATACGTCGAGTTTTCCCGCAACCGACCTCCGTTAATGGCGATTATCATGTGGATCTCTTGACTCAGAGTCACGTCCTCATTCTCCTGCATAGTGAAGCCGTCTCGGTCATAAAGTTTGTTAGCGGTAGCTGAAGCACATTCGTCGTTAGGAAAATAGTGAGGACATCCACGTCCCTCTGATACATCCGAGAATTCATCATCTTCTTCATCGTCGGAAAAGTCTGAATCGGAATCGTCTATACCCGCTGCGCATTTCATCACGTAATCGAAATTTTGAGCACAGTTATAAGGAATCGTATCAAGATCATGGGAGTCGTCGGCGCCATCGGTGTGCCAAGCGCCTGAAGTGTTTCGGTTGAAACAACACAATTTTCGTCTTGTTCGGCAGGTTCAGGTACAGAAAATGGAACGCAGAAGTTGCAGAGTTAGTAGGCACTCACATGATATATTTCCACGAAAAACGCACTGTTATACGCTAACGCACTGCTGTAATTTGAATTTCTTGTCTTCAAGCGATATAAAAAGCATAGTAAATAACATCAAAAAGCCATTTCAGAAAGTACCGTCTTCAAAATGTTCGTCGAAAAATTTCCTTCGCCATTCGAAGAGAGCACACTGTTCTTCGATAAAGAATGGGTTTGACTTGAGCTCTTTCAAATTCTTATGGATCAAATCGTAAAGCGCCTTTCCACCTCCCAAAAGCTCAGTTTGCTCACGTATGAACTTTTTCACTTCTTCACTTTCTGTCCTAGAAGAAGATCCTGACCCACCACCATTACCACCTCCAGCAGCTTTCTTCTTTGCTTTACAATATTTGACGAATTTCTTGAGTGGTCCAGACAAATTTTCCTGTTTCTCTGCCCAAGTTGCGTAGCCAGGTTGGGTTCGAAACACCTGGAGGAACGTTTTTCCAGCGTGCTTTCCAAAAGTGAACTCCTTGTTGTCCAAACGATGAGGAGCGTCTTGAGCTTGACGACGAGGAGAACGGAAACGAGGGGGCATGCTTTGTCTTGTAGTTGTGCGATAACAAGCACGACGATATGAGTTAGCGTTTGTTCCTCCTTGGATAACTGATACTGAAGAACTACTTTGCATCTATCATGCCTCTATTTTCATGTCAACAATGCAAGTTACTTTGGTCACCAATCTAAAAATTCGAATGGTAAGTGCTATGCTCAACAATGCTGATGCAAAGGGTTCATCAGGGAATGAATTTCAATTTTTGGCGATATAACTGAAAATTCTTGGATATCAGACTTCAAACCTAGATTGGAAATGGTTATATCCAAGAATTTTCAGTTTTATCTACTTTTTTCCATATTCATTTCCTGATGAAGCCTTTGCAACACAGATCTGAAAGTTGGATCCGACGAACCAATGAACAGAGATTATGGCTCCGCGCACCTAAAAGCGAACACCCACTGACTGTCTCAAAACCACAAATGGATGCCACGTCATCCACACTGCGCTATGTATCGTCTCTTAGTAGTAAAATCCTTTGAAGAAGATGAAAGTGCTGCAAAAGATCTTCCGAGATCATGACGATAATACGGCATCTTCATAGAAGGACCCCTAGTACTGTAGGATTCTGGATTTGATGGTGCCACCATAGAATGGACACCGTCTCTGAACTTAGTTGTATCTGGAGAAGACTCGTGGTCGTGAAGTGCAACTACAGGAGTCCTAGTTATATCCTGCTTGTGGGGGGGTGGATACAGAGAAGGTAAATGGAATCCCCCCGAATGGGATTTGGTAGCAGCACCTCGGCCCCCATTGCGGAATGAGGAACTGCTCGTTAGTCCAATTCGCGTAGATGACGATGAAGCTTCTCTAGCGTGATTTCCACCTGTTGCAGTACTAGAACTACTTGTATTCCTTTGCCCATCAGTCTTCGAAGACTGTCCTACAGCTCCTAGGGTCCTTGAAGTGTGCTTCATCTTCGAGTTTCCCCGTTCGTTTTTACCGTGTAGTTCTTGCATCTGCTTCCCAGAGATTTGATCTCTCGCTTCCTGTGCTTTGTACCGTTGATTGGCCCAGGAATAGACGCCGTCGCGACCAGGAAGCAGTTTTACGTACTGTTTCTCGATTTCTTTGTCTATTAGGATAGAGGTATCCGTTGGTCGGCTGTCGGTCCGAGTTAGGTGTCTGGGTGAGCAGGACGATTCAATTTTCAATTTTGGTGTATATGTTGGACGTCGATGAAAGATGAAAGATGAGAATACGTTCCAATAGGGTGCTTTTTTGTACGAACATGAAAATGTTGCAGGATGATTTGCTCGTCATCCTAGAAGCAAGAGGTCAGGTTCCAATAGGGTAGCAATTCTTTCATCAAATCCTCCAATTGAAAAAGTTGTAAGTACACAGGCGGCAGCAGCGGTCGTTTCCTTCTCTGTTTGAAACCGTATTTCGTGTCCGCTGTGTACTCGCATATCATACTGAAAAAAGGCGCAATCGGTACTGTCACTCTATCCCTCTCAACATGAGCGGGTAACTTCATCCGTGCGATCTCGTTTTTGGCAGAACTCCACACTTGGCCGGCCCTGGTCTGTTTTTGTTTTGGAGGGATCAGACCGACTCAGAGGATTGGAACCACAGGTGAGGAATTTCCCAGAACCACGATTTGCATGTGTCTAGCAAAATGGGTGGAGATGTATATTAGAATTGGTAGTGCACTAGAACTGGTAGTGGCGAAGAAAGACATTGTACATCTATTACCTTATGCACCTCCGGCATTTCTCCCCAATATTGGCGAACGCATCCTCTCGTCGAGTGCGGCACTTCTTCTTCAGGCTTCGCTGGCTCGACAACGGAAGACAAAGACTCGCTGACGAACAACTTTTTGCCATCATCTTGTTTTGCTGGTGCAAGAGTCTCAGCCTTCGTTGGCTTTGCTGCTGGTTCAAGAAGAGCTTCCTCGACTTCCTCTTTTGGTTGTGGTTTCTCCTCCGAGTCGTGCACAGGATGTTGTGGTTGTACTTGTACCTTGGGATCGTCCTCGCCATCATGCTCCTGCGTTTTAATCGGTTCTGCCTCTGTAGCGCTGGTGTCCTTGTCCTCTGCAGCGTCTTCCTCTGCTGCAATCCCGCTTGTTGCGGTATTCGAAGACGAAGAGACGGTGGCACCGAGAGTCCCCGAAGGAGCAGGCACCAGCGTATTTTCATCTTCGTGGGCCTCCGTTGTTTCTAAATCCTGCGCGTCGGCATCCTCACCAGGTGGGCCTGCGGATCCACCCACAACCGGTGGTGGATCCTCCTTCGCTAGTTCCTCCGCGGCAGGCAGACACTGAGGACCATCCCCCTCCTCGATCATTTTGAAAAGTTACATCTTCAACATGCAGTAGGAGGAGGCGGAACTACTCCCTTTTTTTCGAACTACCTATCTCAAACAGCGAGTGCAGTTGTGCTTGTGACGCTGTTTTCCTTTGAAATGCTCATCGAAGAGCAGCTTTTTTAGAAATGCTCATCACGACATCCTCGCGCACCGTCACTCCAATTTCTCGGACGAGAGGTGTGGCCAGCTTTACTTCTTGCCATCTTCATCTATTTCCAGAGTGACAAAAAGTCTATCTGTCTCATCATGACGCGACATGTAAAAAAATACTTACGTCTTTCGCAGTGTCAGTCATGTGCAAAAACAATTCAAAGATGTTCCAGCAAAATTTTGTATTTGTCTCTATCCCTTTCTAGTGGCTGTAGCGTTGTACGCAACAGGTTTACTCGTCGTTCAGACTCTTCCCGCTTCCTCTGGCACTGCTTTCGATCCCGCTTTGCGCCTTCAAGCCTTTGCTTTGCCGCTTCCCACTTCTGGAAAAGGGTAGCAACTTCAGCCTCGTCTGCCGCTATCTGGGAGGCTATGGCATTAGAGTTGTCAATGAATTTTGAAAGACTATGGATGTTGCTCGAAGTCTTCGCTTTGGTGTGGGTTGCGCGAGATCTGCAGCACAAAGAGCACCAACATGTAGTTATACCTCCTAACATGAGGAACAAAATTCGAAATCGAGGAGGAAAAGAAATACCTCCTAGCATGAGTAACAAAATTCGAAATCGAGGAGGAAAGGAAATACCTCCTAGCATGAGGAACAAAATTCGAAATCGAGGAGGAAAAGAAATCAATCCCAAAAGACTAGCTTCCATAAATCTAGCATCCTCTTCGGCTGTTTTTCGCGCCTCCCCTTCCTCCAAATCAAGCTCATCGGACAACACGTTAGCTCTTGCTAAAAAGTGTCGATATTGCCGCTCATACTGAGCTTTTTGGAGGCTTGAAGAGGTGCTAGCCGTGCTGGGAGGTGTCGCTGTAGCTGCCGAAGTGTTCGAATAGCTTGTTGCGGCGGAAGGGGTCATTGAGCCGAGCTGTTGTTCGACCTCCATCATGTTGTCGACCGTTGAGCCCATCGTTACTCCATGAGGACCGCCGCCATATAAAGCGCCACCAGGATGATCGCTGTTCAGAGTATCCGTCACGTGTGCCGGATTCTCGAAAGCAGCTATCATCTCTTGCAAGGGCCGGTTGATTGCCTTGTGCTCAATCTTCGTACGGCAATACGGACAAAGTGGCTTCTTCAACTGCGAATTGCAATGTGCGCAAAGGTTGTGGCCACAGGGGAACAGGAGGAGGGGAGACCTGTGTTTGTGTCATGTTTGTGTTCAGAGCGGGAGTGTGTTCAGAGTGATCATGGGAGACAAAAAATATTATGACCTGTCTTCTAGAAAACACCTGTCTTCCTTCCCTCCATCCCCAGGACCCGTTGCGCCACTATGCATCACATTCATGCAGATCGGACACGAATAGCTGCTCAGCTTATCCGCGACTAGCCTTTCCAACTCTTTCTCCACATTCCGAGTGGCGATTTCCTGCACGACTTCCGTACGCACACTCTTCTCGATCCGCTCTTGTAAGCGAGCAAGTAGTTCTGTGTCGCGAGACCGAGCGACAGAGTATCCTCCATCGGAAGTGACGGACTGCGTCGTAGTGGTTGATGATGTGGTAGTACTCGTACTATTCGTCGCCTGTTGTACAGCCGATGCTCCTTGTTGTCCTGCGAGGTTCGCGGTCCCTTCTGCAGAACCAAGCTCCAAAACATTGAGAGGGAATTCAACAAAATGAGACTCTCTGCAGACTTTTTGCTGTAATTGGAAAATTATAGCCATCTTTCGAATTCGAAAGAAATGCGAAGGTTACTTACTTAGGTTAGGTTTTTAAGGATCCTGCACATTCATCGGGCTAAATAAATCTACACAAGTTCAAGCTCAGGGACCTCGATCTTCGTTTTTTGTAGGCTGGGGTGATATCCGGTGTTTTTTTTTTCCATAGGACTACATGCTGCCTCCCATTCAACTACCTAAACAACCTCATATAAACTTACATACTGGGGGAGCAAGAAAACCGTATCACAACGGCCAAAAACTACGACTATCGGAGAGAACTATATTGCAATAGCCTCTGTCGAACAACTAAGGCACAGCCTAACAATGTAGGGCCCTGGGAGCAAGTGTAACAACCTGCAAGGGTATGACATGCCTGCTCATCGAAAAATGAACATACTGGAGAAGGACCTAAATAACTAGGAAATTGACCAATTAAAAAGGAAATAAACACATCGTAGATCACGTTACCCTCCTTCTACTAAGGTGCAAGAATTGCCTACGAACCGCCGATCATGTCAGAATGCCTCGATAGGATTAGGATTAGGTCATTACAACTTCAACTTGTTATAGAAGCACTCATCCTGTACTAGGTCATTACAACTTCAACTTGTTATAAAAGCACTCCTCCTGTCGTACATGCGCCATCCTCGACGCATTCCGAAGCCAGAGCATGTTCGCGCATCCACCTGCTACGCCGTTGTGCGAGTTCTCGCCGAACCCTACCTGGAGAAGTATTGTCTGCTGAGGGCATTCTTGTTCTGGTGAAGATACCCAACTTCGAACAAAATAGTTTACCCAGCAACTTCGAACTCAGTGATGGTCAAAATTATAGTCTTTAAAAATTTGAGCAGAAAGAAGATGTGAGTCAGAATACCAGGCGCGAAGGCCGTGATAGATGCTACCTACTACGGAGGTGTGACGTCCTCTTCTAGTTGTAACGAAGGCTGATGAATGCTGTTTTGAAATAGCTTTCGCCATTTTTTCTATGCGTCAGCTAATGCGATATTACTGTCTTTATCTCAAACCATTTTGCTGTCTCTGAATTCAACAAAAAAACTGTTTTTCAGCCGCCAGAGATTTTTCGAATTCGAACATCATAACCCGTCCTTGTGCTTACGCTAACAGGTCGTGGTGGTGTAAAAACGACTTGGGTCTGGGTCCGATTCATATACTATAGTGTACTATGTACTCATCCACATTTTTGGCATTTTATGTGGATGAATCTTCGTCAAAATAAATGCTATGATCTTCAAAACAGCTAAAAAATGAGGTCTTCTGCGCATTTCTTAGATAATCATGTGTAAGTCATTCATCATGCTCATCGTGTTGCTCTAAGAGGTAATCTCTATCTCTGTACAAAACTGAAAGGAGGCCCTGTTTTTCCGAGAGCAAGCCTTGCTTCGTAAATTTCGTAATAAGCTTTTTTCTCCTAGCAGCATGACAAGCGGAAAGGACATAATTAATCAGAATATTATTTGGTCAGGAATAAAAAAAAATGCTAGTAACTACACTGCCTCATTGCTTCATTTGTAAATCACTTGATGATACTGATACGCAATAATAATCGCAAACTGCTGAAAATTTTGACATGTTCAAGTGATAATTTGTTGTAAATTTTGACATTTTCATCTTCAGGTTGATATTAACGTTGTCAGATCGAAACAAAAATGAATAGGCAAATTGTGGACTAAAAGAAAGTAGTTAATATGTCCCCTTCATCCACCCTCCATCTTCTCCTAGTGGTTGGTGTCTTCTTGTGCTAGCACAGATAGTACTTCCCGTTCCCCTTCTTCACGATATCACCTAGTAATAGTCGGGTCCCGTAGTACCTCTACTTTTCTTCCGCAGCCACCTTACCATCTCCATCTCCTCTAGATCTTGTGCTTTTTATTTCGGAGTCAGCGTTACTATTTTGCGTCTCTGCCGCGCCGTCTTTTCTCCTCTCCTCCTTTTTCGCCCGCTTCTCTGCCCTAGTGACCACCGCACGCTCCTCCAGCACCATGTTCGAAAAAGTTAGAAGACTGACGTTGTGATTACTACGTTAGATCACATAGAGGGTAGGATCTCGCACATTTCTGTCGTGAAAAATGCCCATTCGAAACGCGGTCTGCATCATCAACTTGGTAGACATGGACGTAGACTACTTCGATTGCCTAAAACTACTTCGATTGCCTACCACTACTTCGATTGCCTAGACCTACTTCGATTGCCTAGAACTACTTCGATTCATCAAGTGCCTCCATCAAGTGCCTATATACTTGGGGCCAGTAGACTAGGACTTCATCTCTGTTGTGGAAAACACGAATCCACTCGAAACGTGACTGGTAGCGGCTAGGTTAGGTTGGGGATCCTGCACATCGAGCTCCGGCAGCACCTGCTCGACTCCGAGCCTACAACTACTACTGCCATTTTCTGGGCTTATATTTAAAGCTCAGCATTCATTGGTCATCATGACTCTGAACGGAAGAGACCTCCTCCAAGGCTCTCCCCTTTCCCTTCATTTTCCCCAGTGTGCCTTAACACATCATTGAGCAGTCCTCTTGTTTCCTCCCCACCCTGACCTCTCTCGTTCTCTTCATCCTCTGCAGAAGATGCCGTATCCGGATAATTCATTGCACCTCCAGAGTTACCGCTACGACGGTCTCCGCCATCCTCACTCACACCACGAAGATTAGAAAAAGGCACAGAAAAAGGCACAGAAAAAGGCACAGAAAAAGACGGAGAGGTAGATAAAGGCGGAGAAGAAGAATGAAGAATGTACACGATTCGAAATCTACCTCAGAGTAAGATATGAGACTGCACAGTTTAAATGCATATGATCAAGCTCCTATGTATATAGTAAACAATTTTCATTCTGAACTGAAAATATCGAAAACTCGCCTGCGGACTCGCCCTCTTCTATGCTTTTATCACCTGCGTCTTCGCCCTCCTTTTTCTTTTTCGATTTCTCCAAACCTTAGAGGAGCCAAGACGAGGCTTGTAAGTCTCAGATGATATCAAGTACGTGGCTCCTTCGTACAGATCTCCAGAGGGAAAGAGAAAGACGAAAAGGATAAACGAAAAAGGAAAACTGATACTCGCTTCGCGAGGTACCTTCTAGATGGATGAATTTGCCTACAGCAAGAGGTGACGCAGCGTTATGACCTCTACTTCGGCCGTTATAATCTCTTCTTTCTGCAGGTTATAACCTCTTCAAGAGGTGACAGAGGCGTACTAGAACTCCAGAAAGGCCTACCCTTCGTCATGTGTGGGTCTCTGTCGCAGTTTAGCTAGATTATTTATACGTGAGGACGGACAAACTCTACTTTAATATACGTAAGTACGTGAGGTTCAAACACCAGGTGTATACATAAGGACGGAAAGACGTAGGCCTGCTCGACGTAGGCCTGCTCGACGTAGGCCTGCTCGACGTTGGTGCGTTCCACGTAGGCCTGTTCGACGTAGGCCTGTTCGACGTTGGACGCTCAAGAGGCGCGAATGCAGCCGTAGCACGACCATCATTACCAGTCGAATTAGAAGCGGGTTTCTTTAGCCTCATTTCTCCTTCTGGTCGTTGTACTCTATTGTCCACTTTTTGCACATAAAAACTCCTCTCTTCTCGTCAATATTAAAACTTCCAGCTCAAGAACCAGGTAGGATAAGTGAGAACGACTATATTAACAGAATAATACGAAGATCAGAAGTAGTACTAGTAGCATTAATGATGAAGATGCAACCCGAAGGGACTGCAAAGACTAGACAAAGAGGGAGGCACAAGAGTGGTGGAGGAGGGGGGAAATAAAAAGAATAATAAGTACTCTCTAAGCAGTTGCTAACCGAACTCGAAAGCCTCAATCGAAGCTCAAGCTTCTTTAAAGAAACTCCCTGTACGAGGAGAGCCATAAAGCCCATGTAGGCCTCCAAAGTACAAGAATAAATGTCATGTGTATGTCCCTGTTATGATCCTTCTTGATCACCGTAGAGACTGATATTCTATCTCTATGATACATCAAGTAGACGAGAGCCATAAAGGACGCCTTCTTCTCTTTTTTTGACTTGGGTGGAAGCGAGCCAGGGTCGTCCATCCTGTACAGCGGCTTCAGACCCATTTTCAGATTAGGGAGATAAGTTAATTTGGAAATAGAAGAAAGTGCAAAAAATTCAAGCTCTTCAGTTGAAACTCAGCGCAAGTCATCTAGCTGAGTGACATGGATATTAAGGTACGAAATGTTCACGATTCCGCCTCAACGCATCAACTCATGCCTATTGATTCACGACAGTTTATTTTCCCGCGTTTCATAACTTCTAGTCGTTTTTTCTGTTTCTTCTCTCTCCGCAAAAACTCGCTGAATGCTGGAAGTTAGAATGAGTTTCTATAATTGTAGATTGCTCTTTCCTAATGATCCCTGATTCATTTAGAGATCTGACGAGGCTAAGTGTCTATGTTTCCAAGTGAATGAATGAATGTGCCTAGCAAGTCTAGCATTTTGGTCTTTCCTAATGATCCCCGTAGTGAGTGAGTAAAACGAAGGATGTCGCTCTCTAGATTATGTCTTTGATCCTATGATATGGTCGTTCCTTAATCTTCTAACTTCCCCGATTGCGGAGCGTCGTCCTTCATTATGAAAGTGAGTAATGTCTTGTGTAAAAAGGCTTAAGCCTGGGATGAAAGTGTTATGAAAGTGAGTAATGTCTTGTATAAAAAGGCTTAAGCCTGGGATCAAAATAAGGGAAAACTACCCGGTTATGTCAAAAAGTAAAGCATCTTTGTCCCTAGGACTATACTATGCTTCTGTTCTCCCCCAGAAGTTGTTAAATACTTAGTCGGAGTAAGCTATAAACCTGGTAGGAGAAGATTCTGTTCACCTGTTCACTCATCACTTGTTGAGTAGTCTTTTCTTTCATCTCATTGATTGATTGTCTGATATCATGGAGTAGTCTAAGTACTTATCATCGATCTGCTCTGATATATAAGAAAAAAGCCCTTCTCTTTGCTTTTTCGATTATCATCGATCTGCTCTGATATAAGAAAAAAGCCCTTCTCTTTGCTTTTTCGATTATCATCGATCTGCTCTGATATAAGAAAAAAGCCCTTCTCTTTGCTTTTTCGCCAGCAGTGGAAAACTTGACTTCTTAACTTCTCCACGGCCGCAGCATCCGCAGCATGGAGCTGCCGGAATTTTAGAAGATTTAGCAACTAAGTACAAGAGTGACTTCAACTTTCACACACAAGAAGAAACAAGCTTCCAGCAATCACTTCAGCAATCATGAAGATCATTATCATCACACGCGCAAAGATCTGCGTTGTGACTCCACTTCACTACTTCATTCAGCCTAGTCCAGCACACGAGTAGCCGACCTTCTCCTCAGTCGTCTTCGTCAAACGCCTGTCACTTGAGTTCTCTCAAATGCTTCACTTTCAGCCATAAGAACGTTGCCGATATCATCGTCATCCGAATCGAGAGCCGCTCTACGGCCTGCTACAGGAGCTGATTTGCGCTTAGGCCCGGAACCGCCGCACAGGCATCCGCAACAGAGTATTCTTAGAGCGGCCGCCGTATCAGATCGCATCTCAAGATTAAGATTAAGAGATTTCTGGCATGCGACAGGCAGGGGCCATGCCTCCAAAAGTCTGGGAGCCATATCCTCCCCTTCTTTACACAACATAAGAATCTGAGCTATAGTCTTGGATCATGGTGGTAGAGGCTGAGAAGATGCTTCAGCGGTTGCCTTAACATCATCAATATCATCTGCACCACTATAACCGCTCCTAGTGCGCTAGCTTAGCGGGAGATGTGGGAGGAGCAGGAGGAGGAAGCAGGAGCTTATTTTTGGATTCTATTGGAAATGGAGCTGAACTACAAGGATCGGAGCTACAAGGATCTGAACTACAAGGATCTGAACGTTAGAACAAGGTATGCTCCATTAGCTTCGATGACACTAATAGATCTAACACATAGACGAGCATAGACTCTAATAGAAGAGGAAGATGGAATACAACGAGAATGACCTCAGCTGCCCTTATGCGCATAGCTCAGAAAAAAGAGAAATACAAGGATCTACCTAGGTGCGGCTAGTATGCGAATAAATCAGCAATGGGGTAGACATACAACGATCTTAGGTGCAGGTAGTATGCTGTTGAACTATTGAACTACTGAACTAGTTCAATTATAGAAACTGTTGAGAGCCGATAAAGGAAAAGCTTGCTCTTCTATAATTCGCTTTAACCCTAAACCTTAAATGATAACCCAAATATACCACGGTTTGCCAGGCTTTTTGGCACCAAGAAACTTTGACTCCAATCGCTCTACAAAGGAGGACGCCAAAGGCGCGGACAGGATTAGAGCTCTACAATTATTTTGTTTTCGAGCTCCACCTATAGCGCGAAAATCTATTGTCAACATTTAAAATCAAGTTTTTAGCCCATTCATGAGGTAGAATCAGTTGGAAGGTGCTTCTTTGCTCCTTTTAAATATGTAGTCATGGAGAAGAAGAAGAACCAAGGACCATGTTCTCCTCCACGTCACTGTCCTCCTCAATGTCAATTTCAAAGGTAAACTTGCGCTTTAGATACTGCTAGTGATGATGTTAGTCGGTTCGGAATTGTCCTACGACTTCCCTGAATCTCTTCTGAGTCTTAGATACTGCTAGTACTCTTTGAATATTGTTTCTCTTTTTTCAACACTTAGAACGTTTGGGACGAGTAAAGTGCACGACCATCCTCCTTATATCGACGAGGAAGAGAGAACAAATTATTGAGCGGTCGCCTTAACATGAGAGGCTCAACTACCAGCGTTGAGAGCAGCTCTATTACAGAGGTAGTGCTATAGTCTTCCTGTTCATCATCCACGTCGTTCGTTAGACGAGCTAGATATCTCCTCGCGAAGAGATTTTATTAAACATACATAATTATAATAAGAACTGAGAATTTATTAGTATCATGTTGCCCTGCAAAAATCTATCCTTAGATCCTCCAAAGCAGAGGAAATAATACAACCGAGAAGCACGTAATTAAATGAGGTGTAGTAGACAAATTATCGAGGACTAGCCGTAATGGAAAAGTATCATCACTTGATGCTGTTTTTCGCGTTTCGACCTCAGACGAGACTGCAGTTTTCGAACCACGAAAAGACCTCCTGTTTTTTCTCCGTTCTTCCTTTCTGCGTTCTTCACTCGAAGCTTCCCGTGTATGTGCTAGATAGCTTCGAGCATCTGACCCCTTGATGCTTTTGTCGGTTTTATTAGAAAAAGCATCAATTATACAACATGCATAGAGACTGAAACGTACTTTTTCATGATAAAACGATCTAAAAATAGCCGAACCTATCTAGATTGTTTAGTTTCTGTTAGACTTTTTTAGATTGAGATACAACGAGTTCCGGGCCACGTCCACCTCATGCATTCAATATACTTGCCATAAATCCATTGCTTGCATCAGTATCACGATGTGAGCGACGCCGTTTCACTTTCCCTGAAACCACCACTAGGGTGGCGACGAAGAAGTAGAGAGATCGCATTTTTCGGCTCGTTTTCCGTTACTGTCACATGATGGCTGTCATGATGGTTGTTGTTGAACTCGTCATATTATGCAGAAGGTTCTTGGAATCTTTTTTCTTTCATAGTTTTTCTAGTAAAAATGAGGGCTCATTCAACTTCTACTTCATCTATTTTCTGATGACATTCTTGTACATCTCCTATGCTTGTTTTTCGCAGCAAATTTCATTAGGTTCGCATGACTGAATAGTCGCTATTCCAAATATCTGTACGCGTTTTTTGCATGTTCTGGGAAACTAAGGTCCTTTTTGGTGCCTTTTTTTCCTGACTTTTCTTTTTCAAAGACATACTGCTCGATATGCCCTTCTTATAGCACTCTCAACAGTTTTTAATGTGCCTTTATCGTATGAAGAAACGACGAGGAGAACCGACTGCATCCCCTTTTTCAGAGCCGCAACAGCTAGGGATACAAAAGGAACACTGAGTAGCCATGCCATAGTACGGGTAGCCATACGGCACTACGATGACACAGATATTTCTATGATTCCAGAAAGGTCCTATCCAGCGTCCACGAGCAAACGCAAACAAGACTTGAAAAGTTCATGATAAGTACCTTGCTCGAAATACTAAAGGTCAATGAAAGGGGTCGGCGGAATTAGCAGAACTTGACATCTTATCGTTGACGCTGTCCGGAGGGCTGTCAGAGGTCTCATTGTTCTCAAAAATTCACATACCCAGCCACACTTTCCTCATTGTTTATCAACCCCCGATCATCGACTCCTGTGCCACTTCGTCTCAGATCTCGACTGTAGAAATAAATCGCCAAGAGAACCATCACGGGTAAGGAGTAGACGAAAAGCACTGATCTGGGATCCCAGTACCATAAGTCAGCATCGGAAACGGGAGAGCCTGTATCCGTTGATGAGTTGAGTTGTGATGTGAGGAAGATTCATGTGTGAGGGGCCTGTATCCGTTGATGAGTTGAGTTGTGATGTGAGGAAGATTCATGTGTGAGGGGAGTTGAATGCTGAGGCTAGGATAGTTGGATGGTCAGAGCCAAGAAAGTGATTTTCGCTTTGTGTGACAATGTTGTATGTAGATGATTCATTTACCTAGCAAGAGGTCATAAAATAGCAAGAGGTCATCAATGTACTAATAACGCACGGATGGTATAAATAAAGTAGTACTGTCTCTAAAAATCTCTGCGTCCTCGGATATAGTTTCTCCTGTCCGAGCTACATCAGATCCCCCTCCACCTGCCGTTGAGTCCTCATCTACGCCGTCGTACAAAACTTCCCCCGCTGGTGAAGCTGCGTCATTATCTTCCACGGCAGCTCCCGTTGGGCTACAACATGTTGCTGTGCTACCCAATGTTGCAGGAGTTGCAGTAACGGCCTTCGCGCTACTATTAGAGCTCAAAACAATTCATTTCTTGCCTACATTTCTCCCAATCCTAAGAAGGAAATAGGGCGAAATGACTTGTAGAGATGAAATATATTGAGCCTTAATACTGTCTCCTTTTATGCCATACGTCTGTCCATAAGGACTCTCCACCTTATCCAACGCAAACCCCTTCAGGATCAAGCCAAATAAACCAAAGGTCATCGGCAACAAGTACAACAGCAAGAGAAGGACGAACGCCCACCGAGTGATGTTCACGCAAGTCGGCTGGCGCAGGTGCTCAGGCCACAGCTGCATGATGGCAGAGAAAGTTGATGTTGATCCTCCTTGAGGGTTGTTGTTGTATCCTCCCGAGGACATCAGAAGGCCTGAATCTCCACCACGAGTGAAGGACCCACTAGAAATCTTCTCCCACCAAGGACTCTCCGCTAAATTCCTCGATAACACAGCCCCCCGATGCCATGCTGCTGCTAATTGCCGTCGCAGTCTCGCTTTCAGCGAGTTGTCGTACAACTTGTTGTACATTCGTGACGGCGAAGAGGGAGAACTATTTCCACTCGAGGTATTGCCGTTGTGATGTTGGTTGCGATCCATATTGAAGTAGTGACCAGCACTACCACCACTAGAAGAAGATGATGCCGCGCTTCCACCATGAGGAGTAGGCTGTTCACCTAGCAAGTCCGCTGCATCGACGTAGAAAAACTGCGTTTCTTGATACTGGTCGTCAGTGCCATTTGCTGCAGATGTAGGAGCTGCTGCTGGCGCTGCAAAGCCTGTTGCACCGCTCACTCCAGAACGAAAAGGTTCAGCTTCATCCAGAGACAAAAACCCTACGTCAGCGGGACCACAACTTGTGTCCCTCGGACCGAAGGAACTTGACTGGCCGCGTCTGCCTTCGCTTGGCACGAAGCCCGATATTTGATCGAAGTCGGCAGCGAACATGGTCTTGTCGTAGGGCTATACGAGAAACAATATTTTTATGAAGTAAATGTTGTTGCCAACAAGTGTGAGTACGGCCAATTAGTATGAGCACGACTAGAAGAAGTTAGTACTCACAACAAAGATTCAGATTTGCCTAAATATCCATTTCCCTAGACTTATCCATTTCCCTAGACTGTCGTTTAAACTTGAACTTCGTGTGTGGCTCTGCTACAAGAAGGAACAACACAAGTCTCGATCCATCGAGGAGAGTACTTCCATATAAAGTCGCTAAAAATCATGGGAGGATCTTCAAAACGAATCTCCCTGCGATTTGAGCAAGGGGATTATAGTGTGGATGTCTGTTCCTCTGCGGAAGCAATCTCGCGAAAAAAGCTCAAAAAAATCGAACTCAATTCTTTCAAGGTGAAGAACAGACCTTTTGCTATTTACCTTAGCACCACTTCCTTGAGAACGGACCAGCTTTTTTCTCGTCCCTCGTCCTCTGATTAGTAAAGAAAAATGCGACTATATTTGCAAGAAGAACACAATTTCTAGCACAGAAGCTCACCATTTCTTCAGGCATCCAATACAAAAAATCCCTACTGGTGGTTATTACATACGTGCTACGATATTCTACGAGGAAAATCTCCTTCCCCGTATGCTTCAAGAACGGATTTATCACCTCCTGCTCTCCTGCTCATCCTGCGGTTCCTCTGTCGCACTGCCTGGCTTCGTCTGCTTTCCCATGCACGCTTGTCCGAACACACTCATTACGGAAGATCTCCGATTCCAGAGTCTTCGGCCACTACGACCTATTGCCACGCCATCTTCATCAGAGCCCTAAACGTCTTCCCTAAGCCCGCCCAAGTCCATCAAGTCTCGACGCCCTCTATTCAATGCGCCCTGTCTTTCGGTGCAGAGCGGTTCACCTATATCATCATCACGCGTTTTTTGGTGGTCATCTTCTACCGATGGCGACACCGTTCTCTTTCAACCAACACCAACACACATTTCTAATTACATACGAAGGGGAAAGCCTATCTCTTGTGTGCGTCTCAGATGATTCTCCAAGCACTAGCTGAGCACCACAATACTAGCATGTCAACAAATCATATACATTTCAAGCCAAATTTCAGCGCCATGTGACGAATGCAGAAGGCCTAGCGCCGTTGGCAGAAAGTGGCAACTACCCAAGTTTTTTTTACATGAGAAAGAGGAATTATTTTTTTCACTGGTTTGCAAATACGAAAAGCGTCTGCGCATGTTTTCCAAATCAATCATTAAGGTTTTGTTTCTATTCACTTAGTAGCGTATCCAGTCGTCCTCTATTTTTGTTCCAAAATTCAGTCCTACATCATAATGCGAAGCCAGGTCTTCTATGTCAAGTATGAAGGCCCACGGCTCTACTATACAGTCATCATCTGCTAGACAATGGCCCTGGTGATGAGATTGGTCGGCTCAGATCTGCCGCCTTCATGTCCGAATCCAATAACGCAACACCATTCCACCAAGCAAGAAAAGTGGAGAATTGCCATGAGTTCACAAGTCTTCTCTTCTCCATCTAACGAAATATCAGAGCGATCTTTTCTACGCAGACCTCCCGTCGCTTCTGCTACTCCCGCTACCCTACTTCCAAACTTCTACACCCTAAGATCTACTAGCTCCATTTAGGCCGCACCGTAGAAGATCTACTAGCTCCATTTAGGCCGCACCGTAAAAGACTTCGTCTTCCTCTCCCCCCGCCTCTGCAATGATCTTGTTGTCGAAATTAGAAACTATAAAGGATAGGGGACCCTTCAGCGTGTGTCTCTGAACAGCTTAGCTTTTGTCTTTGCCGGCTAGCTTGTTGTGCCTGTGAACAGAGTGGGCAGGCTTGGCCACGTCAACTACTATTTTGCTACTTTTCTTTGCTCTTGTGTGAGTGTGAGCGAGTGGGAAATTGCCATAACTAAAACCCGCTGGGCTTTCTCGAATTCGGTCGGGCGAGCACGGCGCAGAGCGGCACGGAAGAGAAGGCACAGCGTGGCGACCAAAAGAGCAGCGAAAGGACCACAGAGGACCACGGCAGAGGGGTGATCGTGCGTGCTACTTGTGGCGGGGGTCGCCGCTTCCCGCGCAGAAGCCCTCGGCAATTCAAGAGCAGAAGCTGCCTTGACCTTTTGCAGCTGCGCCTTTTGCCGACAACCATCTTTCCCCAGCGTGCCTGAGTTGTAGTGATTTGGTGAATGTCGCTGAGGGGCGAAAAGGGGTTCTCTTTCTGCTTACAATAGCTCCGGTTCTGGGAGCTAGCGATGACGCTCTTTATTTTGAACGATGGCAGACCAGCGAAAACTAGCCCGCTGCGAGTATAGCGCGCGCTAGTGGAGAAAGAAATGCCAGACTTATTTGATCCGAATTGTCAGGAGAATTGCCAAGAAGAAGAGAGTATACCTTGCGGAGCGTTGAAGGAAGCCTGGTAGAGGGTCTGGCCTTGGGGGGGACGAGAGTCGCGTACCCGTTTTTGGTCGTACGACTCGTATAAGGAAACCTGGATTTGCCCATTCCCATCGCACGAGTAGTCGGCCTCCAAGGCGTAGAAGTTCCCTATTTCCTGTGTGCCGATCAGTACGCGCCGCTCGAAGACGAGTCGGCCCGCCGATGCAGTCACCTTGAATATGTCGGCATTCTCCACCTCTACCGGCATGGTGCATCCCTGCTCCTCTTCGATGGCACGTCAGATTAGAGGCTGAGAGTAAATTTCTGCAGCTTCCCGGGGCCGCGTCACAACATGTAACAACTCCTCGCGAAACCTGTCAAAAATTCGACTTCTGCTAAAGAAGTCGCGAAATTGATGAAAAGTCGCGAGTCTCTATAATCATCTAACACTCGGCGCACCCAGTCCGCGCTGTGTGTGTGTGTGTGGTGAGAAGCTTCACAACCAACTCACGCGACATAAGGAGAAAGCGCGAGCGAAGTCTTCTTCTTCAGGCTCAATCGGTTCCCACATTAACGACGGCTCCTTCCCGTTCCGTTCAACTTGAAGGTAGTTCTGCAGATACTTTGGCAGGACCCTCGCCGCGACCGTGGGGACGGCGAGACTGACGTCAAACTCCGCGCACATGGTTGCTGTGGATGAGTTGATTTGTGGGAAGAATTCTGTTTGAAAGAGATGAAGTCTGCTCTGGTTTCTTTCAGACGGATGGAGCCTGTTCTTTGTGTTTGTGTGATCTATTCTGTTCTGATGGAGGTATTGCTTTCGCCCGTCAACAATCTTACATAGCTCTGGTTCGCACATGTTGAAGAAAAAAGACTATTCTGTTCTGATGGAGGTATTGCTTTCGCCCGTCAACAATCTTACATAGCTCTGGTTCGCACATGTTGAAGAAAAAAGACTACAGTACCAACTTCTCGCCCCTCGCCAACCTTGGGAGTTTTGCTCACCCAGATCTGCTGTCTAGTAAGACTTTGGCCGGCGAGGGCGACCCCCTTATCCACGTAGTAGAGAAAGGCGGGGAGCCCGTTTACAGTGCACGACGTATCAACCCTGCGGCCCTCAAAAACCACGTCAGCCATAATCTGCGTCGGAACTGAAGAACCCTCCTCCGGCAAAAGCCCGTTCTTCGCGTTGAAATGAAAGCCGTGGGAAACAATGCGCGGGACACACGTAGTCACGCGTATTCTCTTTGTGGAGCCATATCGCTAAAACGGAAACAGACCCGGATAGAGATAGGAGTCGTGACTCTGAAAGACTGGAAAGGCCCAAGAATATTGGATGGCGCCACTCCAGGAGATTGAGATTGTAAGCACATAACCATATCCCGGGAACTTGATCCACAGTCGTACATGGCTGATCTTGTCTGCCAAATTCTTTTTCTCATTCGGGGCTCTTAGAGGAGTTACAACCCAAAACAAGTGAATCCGATCAACGTACGGCTTCGGCGACCATCATCACGCTCTACTTTTTGCACTTTCGTGCACTATCACTTCGAATAAGAAAGAAACAACGTCAGAACAAGTATGGGCAAAAAACTAGAATCCAGCTCATAAGAGTATATTCCGCAGGTCTTGCGAACCCAGTTTGAGGCCGGCGGGAGGATCCCGATCAAAAAACGCCTTCCACCGCATCCAGTGGTCGAAGGGGTGAGGGGGAAGTTTAGATGTCAAACGCTCTGCGAGGAAGTCCCGTAGCTCGTTTAAAGTCCCACTGTACCACAAGCACGGCGGCATTTTGCTTTTTTCGTTCTATGAAGAAAAAGGACACTATGTATACGACAAACTGAAATACTGTTACACCAATTCATACACTTCGACGCACTCTGTGCGCCCCCGATTTTTGGACCGTCTAAAAACCCCCCCAGGCGATCCGCCAATTCGGTGTAAGATGCACAAATTCTAAGATGTGACTATTCTACTCGGAGGTCCGCCACGGGAGAAGAAGGGGGGGAAAATGGTTTGAGGGCTTGCTTTTTATTTTTCTATACTTTCTCCTGCGATTTTGTGGTTTGATGAACGGGATGCAAACTGATGAGCGACTGGACCATTTGTCGAAGGCCACGGAAGCGAAGTGGTCGATTCTAACAGAATTGATTCTCAACGAACGACAATTCTATCGCTCAACATGGCAAGGTCATGCTAGTTGGCCCGATATGACAGAATGTTGACATCGCGTCTGTCGCTGACCGAAATCTATAACAGACAAAGCGTCGCTCTCGTCTTTCTCCAGTCGTTATCTTTTCCCTAGTAGAATTCACTTTCTTCGGGTCTAAATATTCACTCTCCTCTCGCTTCTCCTGGCATGCAAGTCATCACGATCATCTTCATTCCACACATCGACGTCAAAACGAAACACTATATTTGCAAGAACACAATTTCTAGCACAGAAGCTCACCATTTCTTCAGGAATCCAAAATCCCTAAATTTATGTTTTGGAGACTTCTTTCGTCTTCACCTAGATGACATTTATAGAAGAATCCTCTTGCTCTTGCGCGTGTTAAAGGGTTAGGTCATAGAGTACATTTCGATGGCAAGGAGGCAACGCCCCTAGAAGCATAAGTGTCATCCCTCATAATGATTTTTTGTGTGGACGTGTTTACCCATGATATCATCCCGACTGGTTGAAGTTGTGGCACGAAATAAAGATTTTCAAGTTGATGGTGAGGAATCCAGCAGGTATGTCTATGTTCATAATAATAGGACATAAGACGTGGTGCAAAGTGGCTAGGTAGATGAGTGAGGACATAAGACGTGGTGCAAAGTGGCTAGGTAGATGAGTGAGGACATAAGACGTGGTGCAAAGTGGCTAGGTAGATGAGTATGTATCATTTGCACAACAATATCGTACATTCATCGATGCCGTGGTGCTGTTAGTTGAGACGAAGAAGATGCACAGTTTTTCAGACGAGAAGATACTGAGTTTAGTACATTTGAGATAGAGACTACACCACCCGCAGGATTAAGCCCGCATTATTTCGATGATTATTCATCGAGGCTGAGTCTATCACACACGCAATCCTAAGTAGCAACATACGCCGAAGCATGACGACGACTACGAAGGCAGAATACAGTTATTAATTTGAGCACTAAGGGGTTAGAAAATTGCTGAGGGGACAGCAAACCAAAAGTTGCAAGTCACAAAAATGCAAGAGGGGGTATAATAACTTGAGCCACAGTATTAACAAAAATTTCATCAAAACCATTATCTGGGAGATCTGCGGTATTCATTCATTCATTCATTCATTCATTCATTCATTCATGTAAATGTTCTTGAGGTTTTTTTTCTTTGGGACCTGGGTGTTCTTGAGGTATTGTTTCAAGAGGCTCCTATTCCCACGTCTTACGACCGTATCTCATGCTACTACCAACCGGACTTAACATCGTCAGCCTCGTCCTAAGCGTTCCTTTACTACCAACCGGACTTAATATCGTCAGCCTCGTCCCATGTTAAGCGTTCCCCCATCAATTCCCCACACGGTCCCCTCCACTCTGACCCGTCTCCTGGCGCACTAAGCAGTTGAGTTCCAGGCCGTCTAGTGCCTTAGAGAGCAGCTCGAATTGACTCTGCTTGACGTCTACCTCCTTTAAGGAGTCGAGATCCACGACAAAATCTTTCGGGTCGGTTGCGAGGGAGGGACCTGGAGCAGTTTGGACAAGAATTTGAATTTTCCTTGTGATCGGATCTTCAGGCTTGTTGCCCATGCTTATTCTATGATGTCAAGCTCTGCTTTTATTTTCATTTTTCTAGAGCACAGCCTCCAAGTCATCACGCACTTCGTCTCAATAGCTGATTGAGCAGGGTCCTTCGCCTACTACGCCTGATCACAGCACCACGACTGGTTTAGAAGTGATAGTGACAATACTTTAGTCGCTACAAAAATACTGCTCCAGCACAGATCAGTACCAGCTTTCAGCGCCCATCTATAATCCGAAAGCTTGTTTAGTAGCTCGCATATGATAACTCGTTCTTTGAGTGGTATATCTGGCTTCAGGACTAGAGCTGGAACGCCGTTAAGAACCGCGTCTCTCAGCATTGGGTTACTGCCATGCTCATCAGGTACCACATAGGAATCGACGTATGATAAATGGTCGTCGGGACGGGCTGCAGTGTTGAGATGTTGAAGATTGAAGACATCAAATAGTAATCATTCCGAAAGACCTCTTCGTGCATGATGTAGATGATGACCATTGACTTTTTTAGAAGCAAAAAAAGTTGTACAGGAAAAGGAACCAAACAAGAAAGAAGACTTATACCTAATGACGCCCTACATCAAAAAACTCATAACTTCTCAGAAAAAACAACTACCAAATCCTTCTTGGGTCCATATGCTCTTCACCCCTGTCCTAAAGCAATTCAACGCTTGAAAAAAATGTCCATTCCCTAGGGAGCAAAATAATTCGCTTTCCTTGCTCTTCCTCAAGAGCTGTACACTAGGTTTCGGAAAACCTGGGGTCTCCATGACTATCCCAGACCAGTTTTTCAGAGCGTCCTTCCCCCCTTCAGTCTGTGTCGTTTCCCGCACTAGAACCGGTATGTCGTAGCCTTGATACTCAGTGTCGTCTATGGAAGTGAAGGGGTGGAAGGAAGGAAAGGGAGAGAGAGAGAGGTTTCTCACGAGGAAGAGTTGTGACAAGAAAGACTTCTTATAATAAAAAGAATGATGAAGGTATCTCGAAATTGTAGGTGTAATAGTCAAGTAGAAGGTAGATGGTAAGAAAGACTTCTTAATGAAGTGGATATTAGAGTGCTTCTTGCGCTATTCCAAGCTGTTCTTCAAAAAAGAAGCTAGATAGCTGTTCTTCAAAAAAGAAGCTAGATGTTCTTCTGTAAATGTGATAGCTAAATTCACATGGACTTGGAATCGTTCTCGTTGTTCATAAAGTCCCTGACCCGAAACCCTCTAGCCATGCTCTGAGCCACTTTGTGCACGTGCTCCACTGAGAGACCTGTGTGTCCGCGATTACTGTAATCTGGTTAGAGGTAGGTTTTTGGTGCTCGCTTACCCCGCTTTTTATGCCTTTCTCCTCCTAAGGGAGAGAGGCATAAAAAGCGGTAAGAAAAGCACCTTTAACCTACCCTTAATCTGGTATCACGCATTCACACTTCACGGTTAGAAGGCGCGTGGACTCCGCATACTTCGACAGCAAATCCCTCAGAGTTGTGACGTCTCGTGTTGTGATGTCGCCGAAAGGGTCCATAGGTTTGCCATCCCAGTTGGGGTTGTGATACCTGCTTGGGAGTGGTGTTTATTGGTACATTCTTTTTGAGTTAGAGCTTGTCAAGTAGACATAGACACTCGACGCAACATACTGACCCAACAACTGAAGACAAAATAGATTTTCAATGTGAGAGTGAGTGTGGTCAATCGCAGATTATTCCGATAATAGAAACTATTTTTGGTAGCTAGAGCCCTAAGAACTAAGGAAGAATTCAGAAATTACTCCAAAACTGGAGTAATCAGGTGAGCCTAGGGCTTTCTAAGATCAGTATTCCTATGGGGTGAAATTGTAGTCAGGACTTCCATCAAGTCTCTGAGACGGCGAGCGGCAAAAAATACCCTTCACAACTCTCCTGCACGGGTCCTCTGTCGTATTGACCTGCCTTTTCGTGGCAGTCAATACATATCAAAAATGGAATAGAAAATACCCTTCACTCTCCTGCACGGTTCCTCTGTCGCATTGACCTGCCTTTTCGTGGCAGTCAATACATATCAAAAATGGAATAGAAAATACCCTTCACTCTCCTGCACGGGTCCTCTGTCGTATTGACCTGCCTTTTCGTGGCAGTCAATACATATCAAAAATGGAATAGAAAATACCCTTCACTCTCCTGCACGGTTCCTCTGTCGTATTGACCTGCCTTTTCGTGGCAGTCAATACATATCAAAAATGGAATAGAAAATACCCTTCACAACTCTCCTGCACGGTTCCTCTGTCGTATTGACCTCCCTTTTCGTGGCAGTCAATACATACCAAAAATGGAATAGAAAATACCCTTCACTCTCCTGCACCGTCCCTCTGTCGTATTGACCTCCTTTTTCGTGGCAGTCAATACATATGTGAAAATCGCAAGGAAAGCACCGCCACGCCCGGTCGCCATTTGGCATCTGCTTGCCACATACGGCGCATGGCTTCCCAAGTGGCGACACGAAGAGTGGAGATTAGAGTGAAGATCATAGAAAGAATGTAGTACATAGAAACCGTAAGACTACATAGAGTGGAGTTCGAGTAAACTACATAGAAGAAGCCAATGATTGTATAGCCGCATAAAATGATATTAGAGGTGATAACCGTAAGACTACATGTAAGGATTCGAAAAACTGAAACAAGCAAGCAACTACTTAAAATCAGCGAGATACTGAAACAACGCGGTGATCCTATCCTTAATCCACGGGTGTAGGAAAAATGAGGTGACAACCTAGTACGGATAGTGGAGATAACACATTGTTTTCTGCCGATCGTGTAGTAGAGGTACTGTGAATACAACCCTGAGGATGCAAATTTTCGAAAAAAATGAACCCTAAACCTCCTATGAGGCCTACGAAGCAACCATGAGCAGTGACATCACCAGAAGCCATAATTCAATCCATGTCCTTTCGGGCATTCTACGAGGGAAATCTCCTTTCCCGTATGCTTCAAGAAGGGATTTATCACCTCCTGCTCATCCTTCTTAGAGCTTAGAACAATTCATCTTGTCGAACCTTTTCAGCAGTCGCTCAATCTTTTGAGCAGTGCAACTGCTAAAAAGATCAGTGTTCAATCTTTTGTTCAACGCCGTTCCTTGAACGGCACGTATTTCCTCCTTGAACACGCGTCCTCAGGGATGCCTCTGAAGATGAATTACGGCAAGTCTTAACCTTTTTCTCCGCTTCTTCAGGGGCCATTGTGCTGCTCATATGCCACGTAGAAGATGAGCTCCGACAAGACTCAATGCCACGTAGAAAAAGTCTACTCCTGAGCCCGTGCAACTAGCGTTGCTGCTACATAGAGGAGGCTCACCTAAAAGAGCGCGTCTCAGAAAGGTTCGACTTTTCAGCTAGCACTACCGTCGCCTGTAATTACAAGCTAGCGAAAGGTCGTGGGTTCCGCTGTAGCTGCTTGACAGAAGTGGTTCAGCTAGAACTGTTGCTGCTGGTTATTACATACGTACGCAGAAAGGTGGATGCCAGCTTTCTCCTCGTAGCTCTCCTGTCGCCGCTTAGCTTCTCAATACCAAAAGTCGCAATCAAAACGTGGCTGCTACGGCTACACTCTGCTCTTCTCTACACCGACATCAAAGCCGCTATTCTCTGCTGAAGTCCGTGGCTCAGAACCAGCCCTGATGGCTCCTCAGGAACGACAACAATGAGCCATCAACAAGTGGGACATCGTGGTGGTGATGGTGAGCAGAAGTTTGAAATCCAAAATAAACACAGACAAGGATTCTCCTCAATCGAATCTGCCACAAAAAAGAAACAATTGTAAAAAAATGTTGTTGAGAATATCAAGTGTATAAGTACTTTTGAAAAGTACTTAGTTTGCATCCAATATGCATGGATGAAAAAATTTGGCTGTGATGGGGACCGTCCAGATGGAACCTGCGTAAGCGCAGACGGATAGCGTTTTTTATGACAGGATTGAGATGCATTTCACTTCCTATGTATCGGAATACCTTGTTCGGTGGTCGCAGTTGCTCATCTAGATTCACTCGCTCATCGTCCCTGCTCGCTCGTATTGAATTCACATCCTAAAATGGTCCAAATCCAAACTCATTGATTTATTATGGAGAAGTGGCACTGACTCTCATTCTTTCTCTCGTTGTGTGAGCACTATAGAATACAAGACAATTAATCTCGGCCGCACAAAGTTCAGTGCAGACTGCCGCGCGGCGTCACCAATGGACTTCGCCACGATGCTTACTCACACAAGTTTTTACTAAACGGAACTGAGGAAAAGGAACTGAGGAAAGAAGTTTTTTGTCCCTCCGTGGAATGCAACTACGAGACAATAGAAAGTGAATATAGTCAACAAAAGAAGAAGGGAACACAATCCTAGACTCAACTGCTTCCTTCCATCAACACAATCGGAACACGATCTTGACTCAACTGCTTCCTTCCATCAACACACTTGGGCGTCAATTATCTGACGCAAGGTACCATAGCTTGTGATTTACACAGCAGAAAAATCTCAGGGTGAAATTTTTGCCAAAATCATTTGGACTTCTGCGATTAGAAGCCACATTTTCTCGGCGTCGATCAGAAGCGATAGAAGCTGTTCTTTGAGAAGAGTCTGTATGCGATGCGCAAAACATTTCTGTCAGCATACTTACAACTGATCATCTAATGCTCATCCCTCGTAGTATATAACTGATGATGTGTGTAATAAATTGTACTAGACCATCCTAGACCGGCAGCATAACAACAGCTCCCACGATGTCAGTGCTCACTAGATCAGCGCAAAAATGCCTGCCTTGCCCATCCGCACTAGATGAGCATAATATCTCCCTTGTTTACCTGCTCGCGCACCAGACTGAACGCCACCAGAAACCGCTGTCCCTCTCTCACGCTTTCAAAATTAGAAAGGGTCATCATGGATGCCTGATCCAGTAGTGTCCACCCTCTACGCTTTGCTGATGACCGTAGAGACGAGATCTGAAAGTGCAAGAGTACATCTCCTCGTTATATTGGAGTCATAATGAATTCCGATTGTTCGCTGGATCGAGGGCCACTACCGCTGTCGCTGCTGGACCCGCCCAAGCGCTGCTGCCCAGAAGAGGACTTCAAACCGCCTAATCCGTGGCTAGTACTGGAATTCAACCCGGTTCCAGAACCTATGTTGATGTGGGCGATGCAAGTAAAACGAAGTATATGATGCAAGATCCAAGTGTGTGAGCTACTAATTCTTTTGCCCGATCAACAAGTGCTTAATACAAGCTCAAAAAGCGGTGCTCAACAAGTTCAACAAGTGCTTGTGTGCAATTCTAAATAAAACAAATACCAAGTGCGTTATTCTAAAAAGAAATACGCTTTATTCTAAAAAAGAATACGTCCTCCACTGTTAGGCGTAGGCACGCCAGGTTCGCGGAATCTTATCATGCATTCCTTGAGGACCTCGCAAAAGACGGGCTGTAACAGCTTCGGTTTCGGCATCATGTCCATGTGCAGATTAGAAACCGAAGCTACTACGTCTCGTACCCGCATGTGCTATAAGGCTAATAACATTTATGGTGAGAAAACTGTCTCCTGTTCACTTATAATCACATGGGACGAATAAACATATCAAAATTATAATAAAACTGTCTGTTCACTTATCACAGCTAAAAAACCGTCGGACAGAGACAGGTAGCCCAGTGATCATAATTAACTTCAGGTAAGCATTGATTCCTTAATATCATCCTTACACAGTGATCATAATTTGGATTTGGATTTGGAGATTTCAGAAAAAAATGCCTTATGATCATAACTTCAGTTATTGACTCCTTGTCCAATGTCTGCATGTCTTTATGCGCTGGCAATGAGCGCACGCAGCGACTCGTCAGCTCGTCTTTCTCCAACTCCCAGAGCGAGCATTAGAAGTTCACTCATGTCATTGACCACCGAAGTATTATCCGCATGATGAGCACTACGATATTGATGTACTCTAGTTGCATAGCTAAATAGTCTAGTTGCAGGGCTTTTTCTGAGGAGGAAGCAAACCCAACATCATGGGTAAGTAAAGTGAGTGCTCTATCTTTTGCTTCCATTATAGTCTAGCTAGACGCTTTCACCATCCATACTTCTCAGCCATCCTCTTTTCGGTGGAAGTTAGAACTGCCTTCGCCTTCGCGTCCGTAGAGTAATATAATGCGAACCTGGAGTGGTGGTAAGGAACTTACGTAGTACCGTTAGGGAACAAACAGATAAGTACTTAACAACAATAACGCACTTCTAGATTGTCAACGAGAGAGTAAAAGTACTAGTGTCGTCGATTATCACATTAGAAATAAGAAAACTGAGGACTATCTTCATAACAACTCAGCAAGCAAATAAGATTACGCTTCAATCTTTGTCAGCCGCATCCGCATGTAGTCCTTGATCATATATCGTAGATGTTGCGTATCCACCAACATGATCTCCATTTTTAGAGGTGGGTGACTACGTATGGCGCCCTTGGGAAGCTCCCTACTTTCGGGATACTATACGGATACACGTGTCTAGTACTGTCCTACGAGATAATCTTCCTAGCACAGAGAGGCCCTCTGCTAGTACCAAGTTGATCTTCTAGCTAACCTCGGCGCAATTCGTTTATCTATCGAGTTGTTCCTAGAACCGGTCCTAAGCCTCTGGCTCAACTATACAAGCCCAACTCCGTAACTCTTGGACCTTCTTTAGTACTTGAACTTGATCCGGGACGATCTCAGCATTATACCCGAGCTCGTCATCCGCTTGGACTTGGAAGTCCTCTGTGGTTACATAGATATGCACAGGTGGCTGTGGAAAATAAACAAGAAGAATGAAGAAAAGCGCGGGAAATCTGTCGGACTGCCTACCAGCAATACAAGCGAGAAGGGCGCAAAGTGCATCAGCTTCGGCGAGCCTCCCCGGCCTTCCCTATCGCATCTGGGGCGGAATCAATGCGCCGCCAGCTCGACGGCTGCTGGCGTCATGGTTGGATCTGCCACCGCGGGCCCCCTCACTCTAGGCAGTGCCGGGGAAAATCGCACTGCCCGCCGCCTTTTTGCCAGAGGAGGCCGAGGCGGTCCCCAGATACCTCAACACCCGCTAACTCCTTCCAGTAGATACGCCAGCGCAGCCGGGCCGCCCTTGCCCATGAAGAGCGCCCACACATGCAACCCGGAGAGGGGTCAGCCGAACTCCCGGCGCGATCGCCCGACGCGGCGGCCCTGGTCGCTGGCTTTCAATTTTTACGCCAAGTCGGCCCGAACTGAGTCTGGCCGGGCGCTGAGATGGTTGCGGCCCAGTTTCATGGATGGCTGTGCCTCCCAAGAAGTCACTCCCGGGGAGCGGGCTAAGCTCGCCCGCACAAGCCTGCGGCCGACCGCTCCAGCGTTTTGCCGGTTGTGATAGATGGAAGGCGCACCCCCTCGGCGAGTAAGTGGCACCAGGTCCACGCGTTGGGATCCTCGTGCGCAGCTCGGTAGCCACTCCCACAGCGCCTGCAACCCTAGACCCGTGGCAGAGTCCTCGCGCCGGCGCTCTCCATGCAACACCCGCGGCCGCGGAGGCAGCCAGCAGGCGTTGCGCCTCGGAGCTGCCGCGCCCAGACACCACCCCCACCGCCATACAGACGCGCGGCGCCTTGCATGTCTGAGCCTGATACAAGGGCGCCACCTCAACGCCGGCGCCCGCGTCACCTGCGTCGCGGCGCAGAGTAAAGCCTCACGCGCGGGCTTTGCTTTTCTAACGCGGCCCCCCCTCAGCGGCCACCCCCCTCCGCAACTTGCCGCAGCATCTCCGCGCCGGCCCTTCGTTTCGCCTTCCGCATTTCTTGCCCCTTTTCAAACGTCCGCGACTACGCACGCGCGCCGCCTCCCTTCATTGCGGGACCTAATGGGAGGGACGACCTGCCCCGGCGGGCCGGCTCCCGTGCGCGCGCTCACGTCTGCGCCCGGGGCTGGGGCTTTGTAGTCGGCGCCGCGGTGGTTCCAGTTTCTCCGCTTCTGAATCTCTGGGCAAACTTCGCGGACACACACTTATACATGGATACATAGACAAAGCTAAGTACGTTTTATCATTTCCGACTGGACATCGAGGACCTCGCAAACAGCCTTCAGCAGCTCTTCGTCACACTGGAGAATTTCCGGCGAATACTTCTCGTTGGTCCACATACGCTTAAACTTCTGCACGTTCTCCGCATCAGCGGCCATTGCAGCATCTGCATCGCCGTGGGAGTTTAGAAGATGCTTAATTAATCGTCTGTACTACAAACTGCGATTAGCAGTTTGTAGTACACACGTTTGTAGTACCCTAGATTAACGACGCTGCCGATTGGACCATGGTGGCGAAATTTTATCATATCAAGTAACACCCACTAACTACAACTAGTGTTTAATAGAATAAGAATAGTTTTTACTACAAAGCAGTTTGTAGTACACACGATTGTGTAAGAATAGTTTTTAATCGTCTGTACTACAAACTGCTGTAGCCGGGCCCGGCTTTGACTTCTTTTCATCAACAAGGTCTTTCCTTTATATGCGCTTTTTTGCGTGCAGTTGTTTTATAAGCTTCAACTTAAACACTTCGGGGCCCAATTTGGCAGACATTTTTGTATCGGCAGTGTTTAATAGAATAAGAATAGTTTTTAAATAGCCGGGATACTACAAACTGCGTAACTCTTCTGCCGGTCTGAAAACTTCGTCGGTCGTCATCTGGACCTCCTCTTCGGCGCCATCTGCTCCACCCACACCGGACTCATTACTCCTATCCTCTTCTCTCTTAGAGGCGCGACATATTTGGCATTAGTTGCTGCGGAGTGGATTCATCATCATTAGTTCATCTCATCTTTAACACAACAACTTCTTCTGCTGTTGTCTTGAGTGGCATGGAATTCATCATCTTCATCATCATCAACATCATGGTGTCCCAATCTTCAAGCTCTTGCTACAACGTCACAATACATAATGACTCTGAAGTCTCAGTCGCAAAGGCGTTTATTCAAATCTTAACCTTCTGTCCCTCTCCATCTTCTCCAGCAGCGCCGTCCTCGCCTGGCGGCTGCTCGTTTGAACTGCGCTTCAGGGAGTCAGACCTAAAACTATCAGCTTGTTCCTGCTCGAGACTATTCGGTCCCAGTCCTCTTCCCGAGTCTGGAAATTATATGAACGAAGACTACTAACAAGTGGGATAAAAAAATGGCCTGAAGCAACCAGATTTCTTTTAGGAAGTAGAGCAACTAGAACGCAGGTTTTACTTTTTATCTTTTCAATGCTCCATAGCCATAAGTTGAGGACCCCTGCCCTGCTCCACGCCATTGACGCCTCCACCAGCACTCCCACCACCAGCACGGTTTATTCCACCAGCATCACTACCGCCTCCTCCAGCATAGAGGTCATTCTGTATGCCCGCATAGGGATTGCTTAGGGGATTCGAACCCCTGTCCGCGTAGGGATTTGCTGCTGATGACGATGACGCAGCAGAGCGACCGACGGCGGGAAAATTAGAAATCTTCTATAGAGCGGTCGGTGAAATCTTCTAGAGAACGGTGGATGAAACTGAAATCTGAATCTTGGTCTTCACAATAAAACAATGATGCTAGTGACGTCCTAATCTTGCTTCTATAGAACGATGTAGTCGTAGTGAAAACAAAACTATGACTCTGATTCTATCCCTTCAAGATGAGTCACTTCTACACAGTGACAATGAACAGAACTACAGAGTTCGAAAAAAATTATGAACAAGCCGTGGAACCCTTAAGAAAGGCAGCGGCCGCATTTGGTACGCCTGGTGTGAAGACGTCCCCTCTATCCACGTTGTCTGCGCCAAGGTTGTTCTGTAGAGGTGGTTTTTCCATGAGTCGGGTTCAGTATTTCAACTTCTAGTGATACTGAGTACAGAAGACTCTCCAGGAGCATTTTATCAATGAACAAGCTAACCTGCTTCGTTAGCCTCTAAACCCACAGAAAAACGATAATCTCAGTACGTTGTTCCGTTGCTGATAGGGATTTGCCGGTGACTCAGGTATAGATCCGACGTCCGCGTACGGATTTATTGACTCCCCTATTCCCTGTAAGCTCCCGACGTCAGCATACGGATTGGCGTCCACACTTTCTACCTGCGAGGGACCCTGTTGAGGAGCCGCTGCCGCTTGTTGTACTTAGAGTGCCAGTAGTTGTTTTCTGTGGTGTTATTCATTTTTGCTAACAGCTACAACTACAATTACTTTTTCCCATAGTAGTGGTAGCTGTCGCTCCTGAGAAGAAGTAGTCGTTCGCTCTTGAAACTAACGCCAACAAAAACACCAAAAAGGATCGTGTCCATAAGGCTCAGACCCTGCAGCCTGTTGTTCGGAGGGCCCGTCTGCCTCTTGTTGAGCTTCAGAAGCCGCGTTTTCGTTCTGTTGCTCCTCTCCTGCCGCCTGGCCCTTTTCCTGCCCATAAGGGTTATCTTGCGAACCTCCAGCATAGGGATTACCCTCGGATGACCCACCATAGGGGTTCTCATCGTACGGATTACCGCTTTCCGACATGTCTTTTGACCTAGAATTGATTCTAGAAGGAAGAAGAGAAGTAGAGATATTACATATGAAGGATAAATTTGCTTATCGTCTTATTACATATGAAGGATAAATTTGCTTATCGTCTTATATGAAGGAAACAATTGCTTATCGTCTTATATGAAGGAAACAATTGCTTATCGTCCTTTTACATATGAAGGAAACAATTGCTTATCTCATATGTATGAAGGAAACAATTGCTTATCGTCTTATATGAAGGAAACAATTACAAAGTATCTACCTCCAAGATGAGTATGCTAAATTTGGGAGCAACAAGTTGTAATCAAATGGGTCCATTTTCTTTTGATTTCTTTGTAGATATGTCTTTAACCACGCTCACAGTCTTAGGGGATGATGAGAGGATCTGTCTCTTTGTCGTGCCACTGGAACGCGGCCCTTGAATCACAGTTACAGAGAACTTTTTCAGTAAGGCCCTAGCGAGAAGAACATAAGCACCTTCTCAAAAGATTGCCGGCTACAAAGTGCATGCGAGTGCATCTTCTAAAAAGACTGGCGGCAAACCAGAAGTGTTGTTGACACCTCTAGAAGTGTTGCCACCTGAAGCAATAGCAAGACCAAATCCAACGTCGTCAATTGAAAAGAGACTTCAAATACAGTTTTTCGAGACATGTTTAATATGTCTCGTGTGATGGTGGAGTGAAATTATGAGGCTAAAAACTCGTGTCTCGAAACCTCGTGTGATGGTGGAGTGAAACTATGAGATAACATCAAGATGATCATTCACTTTCGTATGATGGTGGAGTGACCCGATAATTTCATATGTGATGGCGGGGTGACCAGAAATCCACCATATGGAAAAAAGTCGCGCTCCTAGCATGATCTAGTACTCCACCATAATCTAGTAGACCGCCATGATCTAGTAAGCCGCCATAATCTAGTAATCCACCATGATCTAGTAAGCCGCCATGCTCTAGTACTCCGCCATGATCCAGTAAGCCGCCATGATCTAGGCCACTACGCCAACTACGCAGTTGGCTCAGTGGTTTAGGCGTTGACCTGTACACTTATCACTAGTAACCGAGCTGATTGTCCTCCACAGTCCCATAATCCTCCTGTGATGGTGGAGTGCAATTATGAGGCTGCATTGAGGCGTTTTTAGTGTACATTTTTGCTCGCGTCAATAAGGATGGCAGTAGAGTCTAGCAGTCTCCGAATAGGGTAGTGTAGTGATTCATGTGCTGACCAAGTACCGAAGAATACTAGTAGAACTACCAACGAAAATGAAATCAGATGTGGATGAAGAAGTCCATCATTTTTCGTTCGAAGGGACGAGGACCCGAGTTCTGGTTTGGTTCCTAATTGAGTCTGCTCCTTTGCGTAGACTTAGTATCTATAGCAAATCCTCGAAAACAAGTGTGTCGTCTGGGTTATCATTATAGATGTGGGGTCTCACCTCTTCACATTCCATCTTAGTACCCAAAATACAAATAGTGTATACAGCATCGTAATAACGACGACCAGAATAAATCTACATCAGATTCAGCCTCCCCACCATGACGGGCGCATGTAGTGACCCAACGATTCGCTTCCCATAGCATGAGCTCCTGAAATCGTTTTTCTTATGGAAAATCCAAATTCTTTAACAGCGCCCTCCCCTAGTACGGCACAAGTCCAACTACTAGTATCTTGTTTGCAGTATTCGATAGACTGAAATAAGCAAGTAACTGATCAGAATAACCGAGATACTGATGAGAAGGAAAGGCAGCCCTGATGTTAAGCTAGCACCTCCCTTATTTCAGTCAGTAACTCGGTTATTTTGAGTTTGCGAATAAGTGCTCTATAGTCGAGGAAAATGTCACAGTAGTGATAGATCCGGTTGTCGTGTAGATCTAGATTACAAGCCAAGATACTTCTCACGTGGTCCTTTCAGAAGGCGACAACCAATTCGACAGTCCTACCACAGTCTATGCCCCACCAGCTTTCTGTCCGCCAGGAGCCGCAGTCGGAGAAGAAAGCTGCTCAACTTTCTTGGTATTGCCTGATTTGGATGTTTTACAACTGGTGCGAGGAGTGTTCACATTGCTGATCAGTTTGATCAAATTGACGATCTCCCGACCGTTGCGGCAGACCGTGTAGACAGCGGAAAAAAACGGGAACTCCCTTTCGCATGCATTATGCTGGAGCACAGACATGATCTCGTAGCAGGAGGATTAGACCTAATTGTAGCAGCTTTGTGCAGGAGCTTAACGAAAGCTTCTTTTTAGTTCCGAAGGAATGAATAAATGAATGAATGAATGAAGCAATGGTGCTCTAGAATGCAGATGTACGGAGTTTTAATGCAGGATTCGAACATGTGGTCACAACCAATCTGCCTCATTTCTAGAAAACAACACGTCACGTCTCCTCCGATCAAGTAGAAGAACCAAATTTTTGCACTATAGAGCCAGTACACATTAAGTAATATAGAGCCAGTTGTACACATTAAGTAATATAGAGCCAAGCTGCACATAAGTCAATGTCCCCTGCAGCTTCTGACCGTTTAACAGCTCAGCCTCGATCTCATCCCAGAGGCGGGTAGTCTCTGCCTCCGGGGTTTCGTTACGCGCCTTCTTGAGGGCCTTGGAATCACCACCATCTTCTAGCGAAGTTAGAGGTGGGAATCACCGGACTGACCAACCATAGACTGTACTTCAGACTGAGTTCATTGATGATACGTGAACAGGCCAACGGTTGGCTTAGTGGTTAGGCGTTGGCCTGTTCACTTATCACTTTATAACCAGACAGACTGTAAAAATATCAGCTCATTTAGTGTGCAAAGCAATCATGCTAAAGTACTCGGTAGATTGATAGTGCAATGTGTCGGAAGAAGGAAAGTCTCGATCGTAAATTTTCCTCCATCTGGGTCATTTCGTTCTTGACTTTGGCCGCAAAAACTTCGGCAAATCGCTGAGCACACTTACGGTTTCTACCGCCAAAGCAAGTGGTGACCAAATCCGCAAACCCGCAGCTTTCAAAAAACGTACTGTCATTACGCGCAGGGTGTTAGAGTGGTCGCCAACTGTACTTCTGCACTCTAAGACGTGTATGATTGGTCGCCAACTGTACTTCTGCACTCTAAGACGTGTATGATCCTAGATGCTAGTGAGATATCAAATCTACATAGCACTCTCCCTCATGTCACGCCGTTTGATCATAATGATAAAAAGTTTGGATGAACTTCTTCATTTCCATCATCCCGATTCGCATCACAGCAGCCTTCGTGTTTCCGCCAAATCCCAGGCCGTCAGTGAAGCCAGCAGCTAAAGCAACGATGTTCTTCAGCGCACCACACAATTCGACGCCAGCTACGTCAGGCACGGCGTCGATCTGAGTTTTAACTTAATAACAAATTTATCTTCGTCTTTTAATTATATGGAGTAGTGTTTGTGTTGAAGTACTCGGTTGTAAACAAAGTTGAAAATTATTTCGTTATTTATCTTCGTCTTTTAATTATATGGAGTAGTGTTTGTGTTGAAGTACTCGGTTGTAAACAAAGTTGAAAATTATTTCTGCGAAGTCGTGTCATCCGTACTACCTGAAACTGCCCATCCACGTGAAAAAGTTTGGTCATGATTCGGCTTTGTTGCTTGATGTCAGCCCCACTCTCACCCGCTGTTTCCGGGTACCCGATAGTAGCTTCACAGAAATCGCCACGTGCTACTTCATTTGCGACATTTGCACCCATTAAAACCATACAATGATGCCCCATTTCTTCAGCAATTAGCTCTGAGCACAACTGTACGCGCCCTTCCTTCACATCAATGCCACCCTTGATGAGGGAAATGGATACCTGAGTGGTGGGGGATATCGATACTTGTATAACGGTAGTGACGACCACTTGGAGACATAATTGACTGGGCACATTCATTTATTATTATGTCAAATTTCGGAGATTCTTTTGTACTAGGGACGAGTCAAATTTGTACTTAAGAGTAACAGGCACAAATAGGAAGAAGCCGGCAACAGTAGATCTAGTACCGCTCCGCTGCTGCAGCTCTTCTTCACGACAGGGGTCATCCTAGGGACAAACTGATGCGGCACGCACCAGATTAAGATGTCGGCTCCCTCTGTCGTCTTGCCTAGGTCCGGGTTGGCTACGATGGTCGACGGAAGCGTCACCCCAGGCAGATACTTGACGTTCTGTCCGTACTTGTTGATTACGTCCGAGAGCTTCACTTTTTCATTAGAGGCCGGGAGGAGGGTTGTTGTTCCCAAGAGGTCGGGAGGTGTAGAAGAAAGGTGTTCACGTTCACACCACACTCCTGAGGGGGACAATTATAATCAAATTGTAACAGAGAAAAGAGAAAGTCCTGTAACTTTCGTTTCCAGAGTACATCCTTGCACCTAATGAATTCGATTGAATAGACATTCATCTGCGCTTCAGCATTCATCTGCGCTTCCCATTCATAATCTCTTGATCCGCCAGTAGCTCGCCATTCTCATCCTTCAAAATTATCGCTGGCGTCAATTTTGACGGCGTAATCTCCTCTTCATAGACGTACATGTGTATTTCCGGATGAAACAACTCCTCATTCTGCAAGACATTACGGCCTATGATGTTCGCAATCGCGCTACCCCAATTTCCAGACCCAATAAGCGCTACTCGCTTGCGCATGTTACCTTGTTGCGGCAATTGGGGATTCTCCTGAGTCGTCGTCGCGCGTGGTGTGAGGACGACCGGAGAAGTCGGAGGCGGGGACGAAGACACCATGATCTTCCTTGTACTAGATATAGATGAAAACTTCGACTTCGAAGCTGGAGCAGGAGTGAAGTTATCAAAAATACAACTTCTGCCAAAAATGGAACTACGACTATGAGGTGAACAAATATGTCGAGACGTCGTGATGAGGTGAGCAAATGGAAGCGTTGCTCTATTCCTCGTCGAACAACGTGAAATGCTGCTACTTAATTTGAATGCCTGACTGACATTGAGGACCTGTTCGCTACAACGACAAAGACTTCTGCTTGCAGCAATCATTTGCTGCTACCTAAAGTTTACTTCTCATGAAGAAATGCTGTATTACAACCCCATGATGGATCATCGTGTCTTCCTCCGATCATGGATCACTTTCCCGTCTACTTGAAGTTTCCACAGAGAGAGTAGCTGAGACGTCGTCACTGATCAACAAGAGCAAACGCAGTCCATCAACCACAGAACGTAAGACAGATTGACACAGAGGGAGTCACAAGACGGACTAAAAAAAGGCACACCACGAGCCACCGACGCGGAAACATCAGGGAAGCAATAGCAAGGGGACACAGAGAAGGGAGAGAGACAGATATCGATATTGTTTGAAGTAGACCCAATAAGTATTCCTTTAGACAACTAAACTTTCCTTATGACCCGCTGGACATGAAGAACAGCTTTTCAAGATTTTGCTCCATGCATCTTGCTTGTTTATCGCTAGATTCATTGTAAATAGCGTAAAAAAATTTGCTTCTGGATTTCTTTGCTAGCGCGTGAAATAAAGTAGGTGTACGTCCATCATCATATTTGATCTCTGTCCCAAAATCTTCATATTTCGCTCTCTAACCTATCATCCCCTTCTTTGTATGATGTGATACCCAGACTCGCTTAAGACCACATCGCTGATCTCATCGACCTGAAGCTGAAACGCAGCTTCCTCGAACAGCTTGGTCATTCGTCCCCGCGAGAACCAGCCTAGGTCGCCAGCTTCGTCACAGCCTTTCCTACTACTATTGCACTCGCTCCACTCGCGGATCAAGGCAGGGAAAAGGGTATGAAAGCAGAGAGGCGGGAGGCGCAGAAGGAGGGAGAGTACTTGGAGGGAACAGGAGAAAGATATAAGAGGAGGGACGAGGAGCAGTAGAGGAAGTACTTCCAATTTTCAACGTCATAGCGCTATTTGCAATCCATCAACTACAAATGAATCCCTGAGACAAAAAATTTGGAGTGTATGAGTGTCTACATCAATCATAAAGGCACATGTGATTAGTAAGTGGCATCCGAGGGAAACAAGTAGATGCCAAATATCAAGGTGTTAGGTCAAGTTCATGATCAGCAGCGAGAAACGTGCCTACATCATAAAGTTTACAGCTGCTCGAAGGCTTCCCACCTGGTGGGGATGCGCTCGGCTTTACTGTTGGTGAGGATGTTGGAGGTGAGGACGCAGGAGGAGACGATCCTGGAGGGGCGACTGCTGCTACTGCTGATGTGGACCTAGTATTGGCGTCAGTATTTGTTGAATCTCCTGCGTGTTGACTATCAGGCTTTGCTTCTAGTTGTTGTTCCGGTTTGCCAACATCCTTGTCGGCATCTAGCAATTGACGCAACAATCGTCTAACAATGGCTTCCGCTTCTTCTTTAGTCCTTGTTACTCTGACAGGGACACGCTTGCTATCCTTGACGATATTTGGGTTTCTGACGTCCTTGTGTTTTATCAGAAGATGTCTACATCGGATTTTCCCATCGTTCATCTCGCGTTTGCGTCTGGCCAGTTCTTCTTCCTCGGAGTAAAAACTAGTACTGGCAACTAGTGCGATGTAGCGCTTGTCCTTGGCGTTGGAGTGGGTCTTACCATTCTGTTTTAGAAGTTCCTCGCTACTAAGTTCGGTCCTCCCACTAGTCAGTAATTCTCCAGCAGCCAGCCTAGGCCTAAGCTTCTCTTCACTAAACGCCGATGCCTTACTGAAGTCAAAAGCCTGGTCCGATATGCCGAGTACTAGGGTAGATCTAAAATCGTCGAAGAGTTTCGAGAAGGTGCTGACTGGAGGCGCCTCGCGACATAGTTCCTCGCCCATCACACTGAGGCTGCCACCTAGAGGTGTGTCACCTGGCTCTTGTGGCGCGTCATCCGCGGTCGTGACAGTTCGAGCATTAGCATTACCGGATTGCTGGTCAGCTGACGTACCAGTTGTTGTTCCTCCCTCGAAAGTGCTGCCATGTAGTTGGTCATCCAAGTGAGCTCCTCCCTTTCCTCCTCCCTTGGTAATCATGTTGCCATGTTTTTGGCCATCTAAGGCCAGCTCCGGTGCGTCCAATTCGACCCTTTCGGGTACTAGTTCTTTTTCGTCCAAGTACACTCTCGCTTGCTTGCCTGCTCGTAAGCAATGCACACGAATGCCGTTGACCACCGCGACAACCAAAGTACACTGTAACGACTGCTGCTCACCCTTGTGATTAGCGGTGGAAAAGACGATTTGTCGTAGCTAGACGATTCTTACCAGTTCTTCTTGTACTAGTTGTTATATTTTTTGTATTGAATCATCATTGGTGTAGTTCTTATATTTTTTGTAAATCTATCATCAATCCAACCTGCTCAGGAAGAGGAACTACATTGAACAAGTCTAATAAAAGTAGAAGCCTTAATCTTGACTAATTCGCCGTGTAGGTCTCTTGAGATTCGCTCCAGGGCACGCTGAAACCTATCGTGGGTCCATTCTCCTCGATAGCTGGCTGACGTGGGAGGGTTGGGTTTCTTCACAATAAGCGGCTGAAGACATTGAATAGGTCAGTCCAGTGCATGAAATGGCGAACGAAGTGTGGTGATGTAATCGATTTGGATCGTTTTAACCCAAAAACGAATGCTCGAAACAGAAAAAGTCTAGTACCAATGGCCTTAATCAGCTTCATGTGAAAATTTTTCGCGCAATGGTCGGCCCCTGGACCCGTAAAGGCAGCGTAGAGACTCAAAGGCGAGTTCATATGTGACATATCTCCTACCTTCATTGCGGCACACGCTTGAAGCAAATCCTTCACGATTACTGCCTTCGTTACTGTGATGGATGGATGGATGGATGTTGGAGATACACTGAAATGATAAAGGATAGGATACAAAATAAATTGGAACAAAAAGGATCAAAGTCAGATCAGCAAGAAGAGAATACTTGAAAATGACATGAAGATGGCCATGAATCCACTTGGAATAAGAGTAGTAGTAGAATTACAATACATAGTTACTAGTATTACACTAGGAGAAGTACTAGTAGTACTACAGCTAGTGGAAGATGAAAAACCCAATACGCATCGCGCCGTCGCCATCAGCACTCGTCATTTTGACGCCCTCCTCAAAAATCCCGTCGCCGGTCTTATCTTGGCACACCTCAGCTTTCACTTGATGCAAGTACGCCTTTCTTAGAGTACGACCGGAGGGGTCGATGGATTGCACTGAGGAAGTGGGTGCCAGTGCCTCACTTTAATGGATCACATGATGATCGAACAGATTGTTGTAGCACAGCAAATGATGATCACAATCGACGACTAGTCTCTGCATTCTTAAATCTCCCTGGCTCCAAAACGGGTCTAGCTCGCATACTATCCCCGTCTCATCGCAGAGGTGGAACAGACCACTTCCCTCATTCCATATCACGTTTTTTTCAGGCCACCACCAACACAAAGGGTCGTCGGGATGCTCCTGTTGTAAATGGTGACGAAAACCCGATTCAAAATTTTATGGGTTGTTGATATTGTTTGAATAATAAGGATAAGGTAGACCCACCAAGGACGACCAAAACTCCCTGCATCTTCTCAAACAAAAGATGGCGTCACCCAAGGCTAAAGGCCCCACTCGCCTGACTGCAGACGCCGCTCAGCTTTAGCACCTGCTTTGCGATAAGGTGAATCAGTGGGGCGCCCGTCTAGCTACTACATTACAAACGGGTAAGGGCTAGTATATCCTGAAGCTGAGACTGATCTATCAAGAACCAAAGACGCGCACGCCAAGTGCTCTAGGTGCGGGCGGCCGACATCCAGACGAAAACAGGACGGCCGCCAACGAGATCCACGCGGGCCGACGGCGGTGGCCGTTCCATCAACGAACCAGAGGCAGATGCCCTCGGCGCTCTATTTAAGCTGAACCAACAAAGGCGACCAGCCTGCGCAGCCCAGGGACCTGCTACTTCTGCCCATGGGGCGGAGCCCTTCCCTGGATCAAGCGGGAGCGTGCTCACAATAAGCAAGGCGAAGAGAATGACAGAGACAAGGATCGCCGCCACCCCCCAATCACATGCACAAGAACAGAGCAGGGGCAAGCCCCCGCCAAGACTTCGCAGAAACGGGCACCGACTTGCGTGCGCAACGAAAAAATGGTCAGACCAGTACATCAGAACGAAGAGCGAGCGACACTAGTCGACCAGCTTGAGACGGTGCCACATCTCGCAGCGAGTCCCTAAATGAAAAAAAACTCACGCACAAGGCCGCGACCGTAGTACCCGCCCCAGAAGTCCCGCACGTTCTTCATCTTCTGACGCGGCGCATAGATAGATACAGAAGCGCCACGCCTGGCGGCGCCTTAACTGCGCTGGAACGGCGTGCCGGCGCGCGCGGGTCGCCTTTCGACACCAACGCGGGCGCCGCACTTCGTGCGGGGCAAGACAGGACGCCGTGGACACGCATGGCCACCCCTGAAGGCTGCACCCGTGGGCCCTCCTCCGCCTGGCAGGGTGCAGATATCAGGCCACGGCCTCCCCTGCATTACTTCAGACCCCTCAGCAGTTCGGGCAACTGATGGCGCGCGCGGACGCTCGTACATCCAGGCGCCCGCCTTCTGGTTGAAGACATAAGCGCCCCCCGCCTTCGTGAACAGATAGACGCCCCCCAGATCGTTCCCCCAGCTTTCGACCGTCACCGCATGCGCGTGAGCTACCTCGACACGCCCACCCCCCAGGCAGCGAATGTCCCAGCCCCATGCGAAGAGGCTGCCACTGTGTCAGAAGCCCGAACCTAGCGCGGCGCGCTTTTGATCGGAGAAGCGGCCCGCGCTCCTGCTCCCTGCGTTTCGCCAACACAACCCCACGGGCTGCGCGGTTTCATCAGCTAAAAACTTGGCCGAAAAGACTAGAGAACGACCGGCGAAAGCACTGGGCCAGGGGTGGCCGCTGATGGGCTCCCCCGCGCGCTGCTTAGTCCGCCGCCCGCCATCAGGTGCGCCGGACGACTCTGTTCGCGGCTCCTCGTCGTTTGCCGCACCACCGTCAGAAAATGGCAGCGCCTCCCCCCCTCCCTCGCGAGAGTGTCGAGAAACCGGAGCAGGCCGCAAATGGCCGCCCGCGGTGCGTCATCACCACCGGCACCAAATTGGGCACCGGAGCAGGTGAGAGACGCCAGAGACTGCGCGAGTGGACACGCGACCGAGGACGACGCCGAGGCGGAGACCCAACACGCGGGCGCTAGGAGCGACGACGGCGAAGCGAAGACCGAGCGCCCAGGAGCCTGGGATGACGGCGCCGGCGCTTTTGGTGTAAGTAAAGCGCCAGAGGCTGGATCCTGCTAGGGGTCACTTCCGTGCCAGCCACTACTTATCCCAAGAAAATACCTGCCGCCCACTCCGGAGGCAGCCTCAGAGATACCTTCCACCCTCTTCCTCCACAAACTTAAAAATACCTGCCACCCAGTTCCAGGACAGCCAGGCTTCGAGAAGTTGAATTTCGAAAAGGGGTTCCTCTTCTTCTCTGCTCTTTCCGCTGCACCGTCGTCTGCGGTGGTGATTAGAAGTGGAAGAGCAGAGACTTCTCTAGTTGAGAAATATGCCACTATGGAAGTTCTTGATTAAATGTTCTAGAAGGAACCTGGATAATTGAGAATGATGCACGCTATCACATTAGCACGTCGATTCCAGCGAAGAAGATGCTCTTTTTCAACTATACATCAACCAGAGTAGAGCCTTAAATCATTTTTGACCAAATCCAAGTAGTCTTGTTGCTTTTCCTCTTGCTCCAGCCGTCTTCGTTTCGCAAATCTAGCTTCTTGCTCTTTCTCCCGTTCCGCTTTTTCCTCCAGTATTCTCCAGTAAGGTTTCACCCGTTCGCCCTTCGCCCTACTTCCTCCTTCATCTTTGCCGCCCTTGCCATCGACCCCGTACTTGCGTTCTTGAAAAGACGTCATCACAACGTTCATATTGCTCCTCTCATGCCTGCCCATATTGTTCTGCCCACGTAGACCCCTCATGTCGAGGCAAGGCTTGACGGGGGCACCAGACTTATTCTTGTCGCCGGACGAAGACATTTTGATGATTCTTGTAGTTTGTTGTGTTAAGAAAACGTGGTATTTAGAAATAGAGAATCACTGGAGTTGGAACAGCGAAAAGAGCATTTTTACTGCTTGAAGCCGAGCTGATAAAACGATGCTTGTAATCGCTTATTAAATCTAAACTCCGATTCGTTATAGGAGATGACAGCGCCAGTGCTTAAAAACATGTCCAGTGCTTAAAAACAAAAGACTACACTGACTTCAACATCAGCACTAATGTATCTTGTTCTACTGTTTTAATAGAGGTCTCTTTCGTCCCTCGTCTTGCTTCTTCGTTTAGCAAAACGACCTGAAGTTGTACTCGATGGTCGGAAGGGTAGAAAAAGTACGATCCATCTTGTTCTTCTGAGAGCAGACCAAATTCAAGGATAAACCGAAATTATACGCAGTGCATTTTTTTCGAGTTCAGAACCTTGTCCTGTGCCACTTTTGTGAACTGAGGAGCGTATAACCTTGAAAGCGCATCATCCGGAACCGAGAAGAACGTTGCTCAGACGATGATCTGATCTGACCTGAAACTAGAGACTGGCTCTCAACACAACTCTCGTTTCCAAGAAGTGACACCTTCGGATGAGTGCTGTGATCACGACGAAACTGTATTCCTCTGGGTGTAGATACGCACCACGGCTCAAGGATTTCTCCGCCAGGACGAAAGTGATGTGGGTCCATTTACTTACTAATGCGGGTCCGCAACAGCCTAATGATGCGGGTCCACAAGAGCCTATCAGGAACGAGCCACACTAGCTCATAAAACCGTCATGCTTGTCAGGTGGTCAAATGTGGTAAGTGTCAATGCAGCAGCTTAGATTTTTGCCTGTCATCCTTATTGTTGTTGCTTCTAGGAACTAACACGTCTTCTTGCTCGACCTCCTTAGAAGGTCATAGAATGTTCCTGTTGTAGCGTGTCTACACTGTGCCTTCACCGCACATCATGCGCAAGTCAAATTCCATCCGCGTGGCGTCCCCGCAACTGCTTCCGCTCATAGTTAGCCCTTCGCGCCTTGCGCTAATGCTCCTCGGAATAACCTTGCTCAAGCACCCATGAAGCCGTCTGATACTTCCGCGTTTTGCGTCTTATCGTGAAGAAGATTCGGACCATGCGGTTCAACAGGGCCAACGTGGATTTTCGTACTCGTCGTCTACAACCTTGTGAATTGGGTGCCGGTGCCATTCAGAAGCCACCTCCTTGACAGAACTACCAGTTGTGACGACACATAGACAGCTCTGGAAGTAAGTCAAACTCGATAAGATGAAATGTGACTACTACTTGTTCTCTGCTCCGCACAGCCCATGCACTTTCTGCAGTCTCTGTACATGCCTATCGCCTTCAAATTCTGTCGTGACAAAACGTTTCACCATCTCCTTCGCCAGATCCTTAGAAGAGCAACAACGCCGTTGCACTTCTATTGCAGTGATGCTAGATGCTACATGAAGTACTTATCAACGGGGTACTCTAGTACTACCGGAGGAGTAGCGGTGTGGGTGTATTGAGAACTAATTTGAACCAACTCGTCTCACTTTTTATGATACGAGGTTGTAAAAAGTAGCACGACTGTCTTCAACCTCATCGCCGTAACTTCTGGCCCAATCGTATTCTGCCCTAGGCACAGAATGTGTGCGTCGTTGTGCAATCGGCAGAATTTCGTTGTGTAGTCATCATGGCATTTCGCCGCACGCAGAGAAGGAACCTGAGAGCTTCCCGACATAAATCTCAAGAGAAACTAGCAACATCTACCTGGGTTTCTTCACATGAAGCTGGTGAGATCTACGGAAGCACCATTTTAAGAAGCTAGTCCTATTTACTGGCAGCATATCATCTTCACCCTGCGCCAAAGATAAAAAATGTGTACCTGCTTCATATTCGTCCAGCATGAGGAATCAAAAGTCTACCTTCATATTGATCCAGCATGAGGAGTCCAGACCGGTCTTGCAAGCGAATATCCCTAGGGCTTTCGGGTTCTCCTTCTGCATCTCTAAGAACTTTGTCGTGTACCCACTGTTAGAGCTGTCCGTAATTCATCTTTCAAGTGCATCCTTGAAAAGTATGGGGGAGTATTCGCTTAGGATACTCCTCCATACGTAGTCCCAAGGATACGTCCAAAGATGTATTAGGTACAGCCTTAACACTGTAAGCCGCCTCATCAGTTGCACCTTTTGTCGTGTACCCACTGTAAGCCGCCTCATCAGTTGCACCTTTTGTCGTGTACCCACTGTAAGCCGCCTCATCAGTTGCACCTCCCGCTTCATCATTATAGTCGACAAACATGACACCTTCGCATTTAACGCCGGTGAGAACTTCCTTCCGCAAGGCATCCCCAGCAGCGTCAGAACCAACGAGGCAGAGCATTTTTATGTTGTCTCCGGAGTAACGTCTACAGTAGTTTAAAAGCTTGTGCAAAAATCTTGATGGTGCACTGTATCTTCCGGAGTAAAGTCTACAGTAGTTTTTTTTGCATGAAGGGATAAACCTAGAGTATAGAGGTGAAAAAAATTTTTACAGTAGTTTAAAAGCTTGTGCAAAAACCACCACCTTGTTCGAGACTCTTCCCTCAAGCTCAACAACTTCATGGTAATTGGACTGTCGCCAGTGATTTTTTCTAGTGACGAGGCTCTTGAACAAGCCTCGAAAGAACTTCCTCGGTGAACACATTCCAGAAAAAACAACCCTCTCAAGAACTGAGGCTGAGAAGCATTCACCAACATCATTGGCGTACAACCTCCCCGTGGGAAATCTAACTTACTGATCCGGGTAATGCGAGTATTGAAGGGGTTGCGCGGGTAGTACTGCGTTGATCTCCTCATGAAACTTGATCGTATCTGAAACTGTAGACCCCGTCCTTTAGGTCATGAAGAGTAGTCTGCCTTCACACAGTTCTTGCAATGTCTTGAGTAAGCAGTCGCTATATTTTCGTTTGATGTATAAGTAAGTAATCGTGGTCGAATCTTCATTGAAACTAGTCGTCCAATGCTTGCGTTTGAATCCATCAAGGCAAAGTATATATCATATGAATCGCCATCGTCATCATCATGATCTACTTCTTCTTCTTTGTTTTCTTACCGGCTCCGTTGCCAGCACTGTTGGCTTCTGGACTGGCGCCTGCGGTGGCCTCCACTTTTTCTAAATTATCTTCGGCCATAGTTTCCGGGCCATCCTCTGCATCCTCCTCTGCTTCCGCGGCTTTTTTCGCACCGTCTGTGAAATTCGTTTCCCTGAGAACACGAGGTTGAGGAAGTGATTGATATTGATGGGCTCATTGATGTGGTGACCATGAGTGATTGAGGAGATCAATTGATGAGCCCCTGAGGTAGAGGGGATCAATTGATGGGCTCGTGACCATTCATGAGATAGAGGGGATCAATTGATGGGCTCGTGACTATTCATGAGGTAGAGGGGCGATTGATGGGCTCGTGACATGAGGTAGAGGGGATCAATTGATGGGCTCGTGACCATTCATGAGGTAGAAGAGCGTAGGACAAGGCGAGGAAACATTGACTGGGAGGTTGAGGGGAGATCAATTGATGTGCTCATTCATGAGGTAGAGGGGCGTAGGACAAGGCCAGGAAACATTGATTCGGGATGTGACTGGCTGGATTGTTTGCGCACAGTCCAATTTGTTCCCCCAAGAAGAAGAAGCCTCAAAAGAAAATAATTCCAACTCCATAACTAGAACCTCTAGAACAATTGTTAGTACTTCAAGTCCTCTAACGCGTTTGCTGCCGCTTCGTTATCGTCGGTTTGCTTCTTCTTTTTGTTAACTTGCGAATTAGCTTTCAATTCTTTCCTCATATCGTAGGCGTCTTCCTTATCTGCGTAATAACCCTTCTCCACATCGTGGATTTCGAAGCTGTTTGAGGCAGTGATATTCAACTCAAATCAGGGATACGAATACCAACCTTATGATATACATAAGCCACATGCATAAGCCACATGATGATGTTCAAAACAGGAGAAGAATTTCTTAGTACCCAAGAACATGCCTATAGAGGGTAAATGCTGCTCTGTTTGAAACTCGCACGTGCAACGACACAAATTCCGCATCGTAGACCTCCCTCATCGCTTCCAGTGTATTCCGCATCAACTTCGTCGCCAAGCCTAGTTTCCTATAGGACCGCAAAACCGATAATGACGTTATGTGGCCGTGGATCTGTGAGGAATCGATGTGGAGGGAAGGTTTTAAAGGCTTCAAGGGTTGGTGGGGCTCTTGAGGAATCGATGTGGAGGGAAGGTTTTAAAGGCTTGAAGGGTTGGTGGGGCTCTTGCGGAATCGATGTGGAGGGAAGGTTTTAAAGGCTTGAAGGGTTGGTGGGGCTCTTGATGTCGTGAATGGCGTCGCGCTGAGTATTGACTGATTGGCATCCCAAGTAGTAATGTAGTTTTCCCATTCATTCATTCATTCATTCATTCATTTACCCAAGTAGTGATGTAGTTTTGGAAATTGACTCAATCTTTTTTCACGCCATAGAGAGACGAAGGCTCCATCCCAGGCTATCAGAAGGTCTCCAAAGCTTTTATTCTTCACCTACTTTCAGATAAAGTAGGTAAGAATTTCGCAATTGACTCATCATTTAGTGTAGGATGAAAAGGAAGCTGCCTCTCATAATCGATACACTCGTACTAGAAATTGTGCTTCAGGAGCATTAAAGACTAGCATCCTTATCCAAACACAGCATCCTCCTTAAAGATGTGTAATACCCCCTCTGAATCTTCATCAATCTTCGCCAACACGTATCCAACGATCTTTTTGGAGCACATTTCCTCTGCCACATAGAGTAATGACGGCCAACTGAGCATGTGCAGCAGGTAGTACTTCATCTGATATTAGAGGTAGGCTTTTGGTGCTCGCTTACCCCGCTTGTTATGCCTTTCTCTTCCTAAGGGAGAGAGGCATAAAAAGCGGTATAATAAGAGCACCTTTAGCCACCTACCCTTAATGATAGTTTTCTGGCAGACAGAACAGGTTGCATGCCTGCATCCCCATCAGTTCGTGGATCGTCGCTGCACGTACGGACACCATCCTTACTGTAGTTATCCTTGCGAGTAGACGCTGTAGTGACCCTTCAATACGGCACAAGGAGGTTGATGTCGTGAGGCACCGTTTGTTGTTGTGACCCTTCAATACGGCACAAGGAGGTTGATGTCGTGAGGCACCGTTTCTTGAAATATTTTGTTCGCTTCGCAGAAAAAAAACTGGTTTCGTGTCGTCTCCAGTATAAGTAGTCACCCAGAAGGTCCTTGGTTGCGTGGTCGCTGTATGACCCAACAACCTGGAGGTCTGGCCCTTTGAAGGAACGGGTATCTATAGCCTTACTCTGCCCCACACGTGAACAGCAGGAATAAATGCCTCATGACTCTGGTTTCTTTTTCGTAGATAGTCAGGCTTACCTCTACCAGTAATCACTCATGTAAATTAGAAAATGAAACTGTGTATAAGAACTCTTCAGCCCACGACCAAGGCCGCCTGTGAAATAGATGGTGAATGAGGCATAGGCATAATTTTGAAGCGGGGTTCTGAACTGGAGTGCAGGAATAGTGGGACTTCATTAGACCTTAGTCCGGGTGCAAGGGACACTTCCACTTCGGCGCATAGAGTACGGATCACTAGGAGCACAAGGAAAATTTGAAGGGACACTTCCACTTCGGCACATAGAGTCCGGATCACTAGGAGCACAAGGAAAATTTGCAATCACCAAAAGCCTGTTCTGAATTGTAATTTAGGACTTTCTTAGGACTTTTCTTCAGCAGCCTGTGTTTCAACACTGGATCCAAGTTTTCAAGACTGACAGGAACAGTGAGAGGAAAAGGGGTGATCCTCTGAGGAGATCCACGTCCGACTTGAGGAGATCGTAGAGAGCTACTCTTCTTGAATATATCATGGATGATGAAGAACACGAAGAACATGAAGAACCTTAGTCTTGGTGCTGTCGCAAGTACTACGCACTATTATCCATTTCGTGCTGTCGCAAGTAGTACGTACCATCTAGCTAGAATGACAGCCTCGTCCTAGAAGCTTCATGATCTGTGCATCAATTGAGATTCTGACTCTTCTTCTTGATTGTCCAGAACATCGACATTGGAAACTTTCATCGAAAAACTTGTAATGTAATGTAATCGACATCGGAAAATTTTTAGCAAAAGGCAACGAATGCATCTGCAAAATACGTCTGCAAAATTTTTCAAGTTCAAGGAAGCTTCATCACACTCATATTTTTGGGTCTCTCGTCGCTATTCTATTTTTTCGACTTCTTTGCCCCAGAAGGTAGGGAAGTCAAGTGGTCCATTCATCGCCCAAACCAGACTGCAAAACGTGGTGTTAGAGCCGTGACCTTCCTTGTATCAGATTGCCCTTGCCCTTGCCCACATCTTGTCAGCGTCCAGGTGACTTTTATTTAGCATCAAATAACAGCTATTACTGTGGATTTAGAAGTGCTCCCTGTCCCTGATCAATTGATTCTTGCGGAGAGCTAGTATTAGTTACAATTCTTGCCTTAACCATCCACACAGCAGCTATTCCATTGCGCGTGGACACGTCGTAGAGTGGCAGCAGACTGCCATCTGGATCTGCAATTTTTTGTACGATGTAATCTAGGCCATGACTGAAGAAAGTGTCGTAGATTCCAAACCAAATCAACGCGAACACACGCAAGGTTGTCCAAACGTGAGCAGGGTGCAAGGGTGCTGGTGGCAGGATGGTTGTGTAGTTTGTTGTACTTCCTGTTCTCTGTCCTGCAGTAGTGCTACCATGCTCATTCTTCAACTTCAATTTGTCCTTTCCTCGACTAGCATTCGGCGTCTTAACACCGGCTGACAAGGTCTTAGACTTTTTGTCCAACGCATTCGGATTTTTACCTCTCAGGATTGTAGCTGTATTAGACTCCCCTTGCTCTTCTTGTTTGTTGTAGCTTTCTGACAGGTTGTCATCTTCTTCACCATCTTCCTCTGGTACACGCTTACGGTATATTGCATGCACCACTTCCCCAACCACAAGCGGTAGAAGGCATGACATCGGTGCCACAAGACAGCGACCGCGGACGCGCCATCTGTAGCCTAAAAAATGCCAAGCACCGATAACTGCACAGTGGGTCCGGTTATTCCATAGCGCGCGACGATAATTTTCCATGGATGAGGATTAGAAGGATGTAAAACATCATCACACCTTACGACTCTTGGATCACCTCCTGAGGTCACACACTCTAACTGTAGTACGTTAGCGTACACGCGAAAATACGAAAGTGATTGACCTTGACGAGGCAATGAAAGTATCCAACTCTTCACGCCATGCCATACGATCCGCGTCCCACACAGACAATAGTGTTCGTAGGTGCAGCAACGTCGAATCGCGGGGTCATCAACGCCAAAACGAGCATGAAAGTGCCCAGAATGTAGTCTTGTTGCATTAGTTAGAAGAACTGTCTGGTTGGTCTCGGTTTGCCTCTCTCCAAGATAAGTACTTACTTCGCTGCTCTTCATTCCTTCCTGACCACGAAATACAGGTAGCATTTGTTCTTAGGGCATTGCTGGACAATATTTTTCACCCGATGCCTCGTGACAAGTAGATGGGCCTAAGCTACAAGCCTTAAATAAGCGACCACGCCGCTGCCTCCAAGACGTTCGCCGTCAGTACTATGAACGTGCACCACACCCAAAAGGATGAGCGTGTCCCGATTTTCGCCTGTGCTGCTATGAAGGTCTTTTTACCTTCTGCGGAATTATGTGTCCGTGCTGTGACACCCAGAGAGGACCAATCCAAACCGCAAATGCAAAAAAGAGCTGCAATCAGCGACGCGCGCTTCACGTTTTCATAGCCGTCAAAGGCACCTTCTCCATACAGGTACTGAAAAAAAGCGAAATTCAGGAGGAAATCTTCTGACCGCCACGATGCCGCGTTTTCAAATTCGGCACTTTCCTCTATAGCGGCTTCCCAAAACTTGTAGGCATTGAAAGACACAGTCAGAAAAACCATCACCCACACTGCGCGAAGCAGATTGCGTATAGGATGCGCACTAAGGAAGCCAAAGGCTGGCAAGAGAATGCCCGCACAAAGGCCTGACGCGATGTCATGAGGGGGGAGTAGGTGGAACATTTTTTGGCGTTGTGGTAGGTTTTCAAACACAGAGAATCTCGACAAGTCAAAAAACCTAACGCAAGCAGTTTCTAAGACACCATCAGGCAGATTTCCTTTGCCTTCTGGTTCTCCTAGTTTCTTTTTTTCTTCGCTATCGCTTTGTCAAGTAGAAATAAGAGCTTTTCTCAATCCGCTTTATTAAACGCGCCTCCTCTCTCTCCTCCAACTCTTGCCCTACTCAGCAAATGCCCCACTTCCACTCAGCAGGCCACGCATGGTCGCCGCACATCAACAGCAAAAATTTTACGGTGCTTGCCATCGAATTCAAGTGTCCCGCATTGGCCTTCGCTCGTCTACGAAAAAAAGGCAGAAGTCGCGCATTCCCTCACATAGAATGAAAAGTCGCGTCATGTCCAACTCCTCGTATGAGGTGCGTATGTAGATAGCCTTTCGATTCTTAGGGCTTCGGCTTTTTCTTCATAGCAGTGCCTAGGCCTATCCCTTCAATAGCCCCGCGCCTGGAGGGCCGCCTCGGTTGGCTGGTTGGCTGGTTGGTTAGATCGTCACTCCAACCAGCCAACCAGCCGGCAGGATTCGGTGGTCAGGCAGTTATAGCGGGAATTGCGCCCATCGCGTCCTTCTTTCAATTAAACAATCTAGAAGAACAACTATCTTCCGTGGCCGAGAAGTACTAACAATACCAGTAAGCAATGAGCTTCGCACGATGCAGCCCAACACGATTCCCGTTCTTTGGAATGACAGCAAAAGCAAGCCCTCGCATCTGTTGCGACGACTACCGGGTGACGCGCTTCTCTCTGTGTCGCACTGCCTGACTTCATCTGCTTTGAACTTCACGGCTGTCCCCCGAACACACTCATTACAGAAGATCTACTGCCGCGAAGGCCTACTGCCGCGCCATCTTCATCACCATCATAAGCCAGATCAAGGATATTACAGCTCCTACGGAGTTCAGCGCTTCCATTTTGGTGCCCTCTCTTTAGTGTACACTGTCTTTCGATGAAGGACGGCCGGCAGACGAGTTGCAAGTACTTCCAAAGTAAATTAGTTATTTTTTGCGCAAGGAAGACTAATCAATAGGCCAAGTTCGTAAGACAACAAATTCTTTACAAGATCAGGCAAAAATATCACAAAAAAGTCAGCTGCTTGCTATCAGCGTCATTGTGGAGGCGGTCATACTTCTATGCGGTTCTATGCGATCTCGAGCGCAGAAGACCTAGTGCCGTTGGCAGAAAATGGCGACTACCCAAGTTGGTTTTTACATGAGAAAGGGTATAATAATCTTTTTTCCCCTGGTTAAGTGCGAGAAATGAAATGTCTGTGCATTTAGTGTTTTCTAATTCAATCAGCAAGCTTCTATTCAGTTAGTGGTGTACCAAGTCGTTCTTTAGTTTGTTCCGAAAGTCCGTCCTACATCATAGCACAAAACCATGTCTTCTTCGAAGAGAAGCTGCATGGTGCTACGTCGAGTATGAAAGTCCATGGCTCTCCTATACAATATTCCTGCGATAGATCATGCTCCTGGTGACGAGATTAGTCGGCTCAGATCTGCCGTCCGAGTCCAATAACGCGCCATCATTACACCAGACAAGAAATATAGAGAATTGCCATGAGTTCACAAGTCTGCTTCCCTTCATCTATGCCGGCTCTGCATCTAACAGTGGCCACAGTCTACCCTTACTACAAGAAATATCACGGCGATCGCTTCTATGCGGACCTCCTGTCGCTACTAGTACTCCTCCTCCGGCTCTGCATCTAACAGTAGCCACAGTCTACCCGTACTACAAGAAACATCACGGCGATCGCTTCTATGCGGACCTCCTGTCGCTACTAGTACTCCTCCTATCCTACTTCCAAACCTCTACACCCTAAGATCTACTAGTTCCATTCAGGCCGCGCCGTAAAAGATTTCGTCCTCCTCTCCCGCCTCTGCCTCGATCTTGTTGTCGAAATTAGAAAGAACAGAGGGTGGGCGACCCTCCAGCATGTGTCTTTGAGCAGCTTAGTTTTTGAAACTGTGAGCAAAGTGGGCAGACTTGGCCACGTCATCTACTATTTTTCTACTTTTCTTCGCTCTCGTGTGCGTGTGAGCGAGTGGGGAATTGCCATAACTAAAACCCGCAGGAGCTTCTCGGCTTCGGTCGGCCGGGCACGACGCAGAGCGACACGAAACACGAGGCACAGCACTGCGATCACAGGAGCAGCGAAAAGACCACAGACGACCGCAATAGAGGCGCGCCCCTGCTGACCATATTCAGCAGGCGTCGAGACTGTGATCTGCGCGGCCGACGATGCACTGGGTTTGAGATAGTTCTCCCACTGGAATCGAAAGAGACAGACGTCTTTCACTGTGAACCCACCTGCGGTGTGCGTATGAAGTTCCTAAAGTTGTGCTCTCGTCATGAATATCGGCCGCTTACCCGCGAGTCAACATAGTTGCGACAGCCGAGGAAAAGGGAGCTATTCTTGATTTTCCATGCTACTACCTTGAAGTAAGTGACAAATGAACTGTCATAAGCAACTATGAATCTGTGGAAATGTACCCTTCATCATCCGCTCTTCGGGATAGACTTCGTCCGAACCATTCGGGCGATAGCTCCATTTCACACTTCGACCAAGAGGGATCTTGATAGTCAGCTCCGTCTCCCCATGTTCGCAGCCGTATTGCAAGTCCCACTTGAGCTGGATATCACCCATGAGCTTGGCTCGCGAAAGCACGCCCTGATCCCCATTCGGTGTTATCGTGAAAACCTCGCGCGCAGGGTCAGGAATCACGCAGCCTTTCTCTTTCTCGATGAACTTTCAGATTAAAGGACCGCTCCAAAAAAAAGCAAAAGCTAAGTGTCTAAAAAATCAAAAATACGCAATAGGGCTACCGCAATCCTTTTCTTCGACGACTGGCCCGAAAATATTGAAGCCCACCTACTAGCTTTACTTGAATCCCCCGCGGTAGCCGCGATTGAGTTTCCAAGTGCTACAGGATCCCTATTTTTCTCCTATGCCACAACCCTGTAAAAAATGCAATGAAGCTCCACTAAGTGATCACTCGCAATCACGATGAAAAACGTTCATAAGAAGAATTCCTCGTCCAATTCATTTGTCGAAGCAATGCGAGTATGATATCCTTCTCTAGCATCCTCGAGCTTTTTTATCCCTAGTGTTCCAAAAGCCAGCACATCCCCGGATATGCGCAGCTCCAAAAAGGCTTTCAGCATCGGCTGGTCCTTTGCTTTCGTGACATACGATATAGCTGCGCCATCGACGTCGACCCCCTGGCAGGTCGGTCCTGTGAATGGGTTTAAAAAAAATTTGCAACTTTGTGTGGAGGGTGCTTCTGGTCGTGTTCTTTGGTGGGAAGGAAGGTGGTGGTGCGAGTTAGTCTCGTCCTCTCTTGTATTTTTGCAGTGCACAAGACCACTATCTAAAACAAAAATAAAAGCTCACGCATGGGCCTGTATGGTTTTTGTTAAAAAAGGCAAATCAAATACCACCTTTCCGCGAATCATCCTCTTTGCTTTTGCTCACGCTGATCTTCTGCGTGGTAGTGCCGTCGCCCTCCCCCACACCACTGTAGAAGAGAACGACAGGGAGCGGGTATCCTCGGCAAGTCGTAAACCTTTTCCCGATCAAAGTCACGTCAACCATAACCTGGATCGGAGTTTGCGGCCCGTTTAAATGAAAGCCGTGGGAAACAGTAACCGGGATGCTAGTAGTCAAGCGTGACGTCTTCGAGGAAATATTTCACAAAACGGAGAACAAGTGGGATAAACACTGGAAAGAACTAAGATTATTTCGGGAAAGGCCCAAGAAAATTGGATGG